ACGTTGAAGATCGTACAATGTTGTAGACATTCGATGTTACTATTGTATATCGTACCCGTGGACGTAGAATTGAAAATAACATTTTAAGTTAGGGGAAAAAAAAGGAAAAAAAGAAAAGAAAAGCAAAAAAAAAGGGATTATCTGGTCACATGAAGTTTAATTATTCATAAATTGCCCCACTTTCCTGAATTCAGACCAATCTGGGCCCATGTTGCCACTTAAAATTCCTAGTCCGGCCCGTCATGTTTCGTACCGCCCCGGAGTCGTCGCGTCCAGGCCGCTTTTGGCAGTCTCCTTATCTCTCTTGGCTTGGGTCGTCTCTCTCTCCTCTTTCTCTTCTCTCTCAAGTCTTCTTTACTTGTCATTCGTTTACTCCATATTCCTGCACTTTAATTTGAATAAACTTGTCTTCTGCTTTTGACAAGTCTGTCATGATCTGCGAATAATCAAAAGTCCAAATGGGCAAATGTATGCAGTCCCACCTCGACTTTTATGATGCGTCAAGTTGACCTTTCTATTAGGGCGTTATGGTGTCGTCCTGGACGCGGGCTCGTCTGTATGTCGAATTTGCTCCGGAGACTTGGAATCATGTCACTAATCAACCATGTAGGGGACCCGCGTACACGTTTACCGATGGCTACGGAATTCTGCTGCGCGAAAGCACGCCGATGTGGAGGAGTTGAAGTCGCTACCGGAAATCAAGACTAAGGAGGAATGGACGAAGAAGATTCACCCTGGTGAGCCGAGCTCGAGCCAATACAAACCCACCAACCCGACACTAACCCACCTACGCCAAAGGTGTTTCTTCATTCGCCAACAGACCCGAATTGGTTGGATCAGACCATCTCGCTCAACTGTTAGACCACGCCAAAGGAATCATCCCTTCCGAGGATGCCAAGGATACTCCTATATTTCTCCTCGCCACTGCGGGCATGCGACTGCTAGGAAATCTCGAGCGACAATTGCTTCTGGATCGGATCTGTTCTTATGCTCGTGAAAACTCGGAGTTTCTGCTTCCGGACTGTGGCGTTCACATCCAGGTGATTCCGGGCGTGACCGAGGGACTATACGGATGGATTGCGACAAACTACCTGATGGGATCCTTTGATGCCCCGGAAAAACACGACCATGGAAAGGGACACAACACCTACGGATTCCTTGATATGGGTGGCGCATCCGCCCAAATTGCATTCGCTCCGAATGTTACGGAGACGGAGAAGCATGCCGAGGACCTCAAATTGTTGCGATTGCGGAACATTGATGGATCCGTTCAAGAGCACAGGGTGTTTGTCACTTCGTGGTTGGAGTTCGGCGTACACGAAGCCCGGCGACGCTATTTGGAGGCTTTGCAGACGGCAATTGGGCCAGGAATCAAAGAGATGCCTGACCCATGTCTTCCCAGTGGATTACGGACTACGCTTGACGGAAAAGTGGCGTCGGCGAGCGGAACGGAAACATATTTGCTAGGCACAGGCAAATTCGACGAATGTCTGCGCCAGACATTCCCATTACTGGACAAGGATGCTCCGTGTGCGGATGAACCGTGTCTGCTTAACGGTATCCATGTTCCAGCTATCGATTTCGACGTCAACCATTTTATCGGGATCAGCGAGTACTGGCACACCACTCACGAGATTTTCGAAATGGGATATAAGGACAAAGCATACGACTTCAACACCTATCAAGAACGGGTTCAAACGTTTTGTTCTCAAGACTGGGACTCCATTGAGCAAGGCCTTGGACAGCACAAATGGGGAAAGAAGGTTGATCGCCAAAAGGCTTACGAAGTATGCTTCAAAGCGTCATGGATCATCAACATGTTACATGATGGCATTGGAGTGCCTCGCGTGGGTTTGGAGAGTACAACTGGCTCTTCGCACAACGGCACTAAAGAAGTCTTGGCTCATGGAAAAGAAAAGGGCTATCTTGATGCTTTCCAGGCGGTCAACAAGATTGACTCGACCGAAGTGAGTTGGACTTTGGGCAAGATCGTCTTGTACGCATCTTCTCAGGTGCCTCTAGAGATCGAAGAAGGTCTCCCAGTAGGCTTTGGCAGCAATGTCCCCGGCATCCCCTCCGACTTCCAGTATCCTAGTGTTCAGCTACTACCGGATTCAGACAGCTTCCACAGTGAACACTGGCATGACGCGCTGTTCGACGGTGATTCCCCGCGCCGGATCCCAGGATTCGTCCTCTTCATGTTCATTGTTGGCATGGTCGGCTTCTTCTTGTGTGGACGCAGCCGTCGATCCCGGATCTTCAACCGCGTGAGTAACGTGTTACGCCGTGGTGGGCCATCGCACCCCAATCACCCGAAGAAACGAAAGGGACTCAAGTCGATGCTACCGTTCATCAGTCGAAGCGCCCCCTCTTACGAGCGAGTTCTCGAGGACGGTGCGCAAGATTACGAGCTTGGTGCCATCGAGTCCGATGAGAGCGAGGATGGTGGACGTCTTTCCGAGGCGGACTCGGCTAGACTGGGACCACCGAAGCGAGCGTCGAGCTGGGGCAGCAATAGCAACACCCCTAGTTTCAAATATGCGTTGGATAACAGTTCAACCGGGACGATTGGTCTTGGAATCAGCGGTGGCTCCGGCATCGCTATGGATAGAGCAGGCTTGGTGGTCAGGACGGAGAGCAGGGACCACCTGGCTCCCATTGCTCTGGGCCCCACAACTAACGGGCGTCGATCAAGAGCTGGCAGTCCAACAAGATCCCACCAAAAATCGCCCAGCATGACGCCCCTGACCGACGAGTAACGTGACATACCTGACCGAATTATGCATAATTTCTTACCTGCATTGCATTTTCACTTGGAGTTTGATTGTTTGACATGCGCCGACTCAATTTCGGCGCTGTCGATTTCTTTCTTTCTTTCTTTCCCCCCCTCCCCCTTTCTCATATGCAAAGGGACTTCATTTCTTATTGTGTCGCGTGCATCGTGGCAGTCTGCTTTCCATTCTTCATATCATATTTCAACACTGTGCTCTGGAGTACCTTTTTGTGGTTGGTTGCGGGCTTTTTCGATCTCAGGCCGGTGATTTACACGTAATGAGGTGTGTACTACTACTGGTTGAGAATGTCTTCCTGAATATAGATTAATACATTGCCAATGTCTACTCCTGCATTTTATATTGTAGATCTTACCCAGGTAGGTAATTATGGAGGCAGCTAATTCGATGCCGCCTTTTTCAGGCGATATAAAGTCACGTGCCAGGACTGCCACCGCCTGGCAAAAATGATGTAGAGAGAAACTGGCGCAAGTAGCTTCCGATTCACTCGTGCCATAGATTTCACCAAGCTTGCTCAATATTCTTCTATAGCACTCCACCTATGCCGTCGCCATAAAACTCACCATCCCGTACACCCCTTACTTTCGGCAACAGCCACCGCCGCCACCATGCGCTTGACCGCTGAGCTCATTCAAAGTTCTCTGACATATATCAATCCGCTCACAGATCGTGAGCTGGATCTCCGAGGTGCGTTCACCCACTACACGCCTGCCTGAAAAGAACAGGTACTACACTTTTGATTAAGAGCTGGATTGATATCGTCTTTTGTGTGGTCGTGTAGGTCACAAGATCCCCACAATTGAGAACTTGGGTATCGCCAAAGTAAGTGCTGTGTTTCTTTCAAGCAATTATTGAGGCTTATATGCCTTTGTTATGTCTTCGAGTTGCCGCTAGACCAATTTTTGAGTCCGCAGGCAGCTCAGTCATACCCTTGTCAATCCGATGTTAACAGCTCCTAGGATCAAGATGCGATCGACTTCACCGATAACGACATCTCCTCTCTTGGAAACTTCCCCCACTTCCCTCGCCTCCGCACCCTCCTCCTCGCTCGCAACCGTATCAATCACATTCAACCAGCATTCGCAACTTCAGTGCCTAACCTGACGAACCTGGTCTTGACCGCAAACAATGTGTCTGAACTTGCCGACCTAGATCCGCTGCGGACCTTGGGACGGCTGACACACTTGTCTCTCCTGCAAAACCCGGTGACACGCAAAGAGGTTTGTCCAGACCTGCGGCCATATACTAGTTAGATCTGGCTATATATGACATGTCTAGACTGTATTGGAAGCCAAGCTAACTGATCCTCGCAGAACTACCGCTACTGGATTATCTGGCGCATTCCCTCAGTCCGCTTCCTTGACTTCCAGAAAGTAACCGACGCCGAGCGCGCTACAGCCAAGGAGCTCTTCGGCACCTACGAGGAACCCTCTTCCCTCGCATCCAAGATTATGGGTGTCAAGTCCCGCACGTTCGATGTTTCTACCCCGGCTGAACGCACCCCCGCCGAAAAGGGCGTGCGAGTACAACTCACCGACAAGGAGCGCAAGCGCGTCGAGAAATTGATTCGCGAGGCGAAGAGCTTGCAAGAGATTACAAAGTTGGAGAAAGAGCTTAATGAGGGGCGGATACCCGGTGGAGCGGATGTCGATGGTGACGATGCCATGCAGATGTGAGAGATGAGATTTGAATCTCTCGCATGGGTTGTGTCGCGGATTATGAACATGCAATCACGTTTTGTCTTTTCTTCTCTGGAGCTTAGCTTTCTGGGTTTCTTTTCTGACCGGGTGGGGTTCAGTGTGTATCGTATCTGGGTATTCATTTATTCATATGTCCCTAGTTTGGGATCAGAGAAAGATTCCAGCTATGAATTTTGAGCATATCGAATCCAAAAGATCATTTGGTGCATCTCCAATAAACGGTAGCCTAAATGTCCGCCTGCTATCCTTTGCTTGATGACCGCATCTATCAGCGAACGGCGATTCTATATATAGAGGCACGGTCTGTCTTTATTTCACCAACAGGGTCTTATATATCATCAATCCCTGTGTAGTATTCAGTCCGAACTAATTCGATGGAGCAAAATGTAATCTCAACGAGACAATTTATATGATATATGTAAATAAATTCCTATGTACAATTATGATTCAGCATTTCAGCCTCAGATATAAACCAACCTGATACCATAAGGATCATTCATACCCAGGATCAAAGATCCTCTTTGTAAAGCCCAGCATCTTCCCACCCTTTCTTGTCTGTCATGGTCGTGGATACGCTCTCATCACTAAACGACACATACTGTCCCATTCCACCCATTCCCCCTTCCACCCAGGCATACTCCCCAGAAGAGTGTTGAACCAGAGACTTGAGCTTATCAATCCCCATGAGAGTATCAAAGTCCCCACTGGTTGTGTTGTATTTATACGCTGCAGCGGTATGCGTCAACAGCAGGATATCGTCATCCTTGTAACTGGCAGAAAGGTCATGACCATTTCTCGCCCTGCCTGGCACCTTGGACAATGAGATTGGCTTTGCATCGCTCTTCAGCTCGATATCTTTCCCTTTTCCCACCACATCATATTTGTCAAGGTATTTCTCCCCGATGGCCCACACCTTGCCACCATGCCAGAGCACGCCGTGAGCCTTTCGAACGGTATATTCATGGCTCTTCTTAATCCCTTTCAAATTGTTGACATCTGACGCATCCATTGGAACATACAGCGTCAGATTACGGGAGGCCGAACTTGCGGCAACAAATGCTCCCAGATAGGGGATTTGTTCGACTCTCCAAGCTTCTACAGGATGATTCAATACACTAAAGGGGAAATGCTTCATCATACGAACCGTGAGGAAAATGGCACTCGTAAATCTCGTATACAATCATGCATCTATTAATAGCACGAAGTATAACGGAAGCAATTAACCCCGAATCTAAGGTGGAGTCAGCAACTCGTACGGAGTACAGTATACAGACCAATGAACTTCCAGAAAGCCAAGTACAAAGTATGGAGTAAGCTGTGCAAAGACTTAGTATAATTCTATTCCTAAATTCTCAGATCGGAGATAATATATAGAACATTGTACGTATAGGGTGGGATTGGTTATGCAGGGGCTGTGTAATACGAGTTCTTCATTCTTTGCAACCTCGGGGCAAGTGGCAGGGATAAAACGGGATATCGCTCGTATACTGCAGATCCGATGGGGAATCTAATTAAACAGAAATGGACAGAACAAGAATATCGGAAATTCACTACGGAGTACGTGGTTGATGATTGAGTTGATGTACGGGGATTTGTTTTCTTGGATCATAGCCGTATGTATACCGAAGCCTCGGCTTTCGAACATTTCTAGTCTAAAACATATGTGTAATAGTATGGAAGTCCCGATATAAACTCTTGTAGGAATCAACTGAAAAGAACAACCTATACTACACTCCAAGATAGTAAGGCCACTAAGATCTCTTGTAAGTCTTGCAGGAGTGAAGGCGGGTCAAGCCGACCCCGATTCGTGTCGGACCAGTGGAAAATACCATCCAACCAGTGTTCCACATGATACGAGCCTCCACAAATTCCTTAGTTTGGCATCATTCTGCGTGTCGATCTGCCTTCCTCGCAGGGCTATTTTCAACAGCAGAGGGGGCTTGACTACTCCAACTGGGCCTAACAAGTCTCGTGTTCCATGACGATCACATCCCTAACAAGAGCTATCCCAGAGGAAAGACTCCTTTACAAAGGCATGAACGGAGTAGTGGCACTTTAGTTACACTTCATATGCAGCTAATCTTAGCTCTTACTCCCTAGATGCAGCAGACTGCACTATAAATTACATCTTCCCGGAGTCTGTCCTCGCTCAATGGTCAAAAGACAAGCCCTCTCGATACAAAAGTCCCATCATGCGGTATACACTAGTCTTGACTACTCTTCTTTCTCTTTGCTTGCCCTTCACCATTGCGGCAGACCCTCGTTACTGCCAGGGAAAGACGACTCTTGCCAGCAAAGACTTCACCCTCAAAGAATCTGCAGACAATGCTCACCTACCTGTGCTCGCAAAGTACTTCAAGTCAAAGGGTAAAACTGCGAGCGTCACTGCGGTTCTTCAATCAGCGAATCGTGCCTTAAGCAAAGGTTCGCCTTCTGTCGGCAATGGGTCTCCTGCCGAAGCATGGGCTTGGAACTCGGGCGATGACAACACGAAGAAGTGGGTTCCGCAAGGAATCACCAGCTCTGCTGATGCTTTCGGAAAGGGGACCTGGAATGACCACGAGGCGTGGATCGTCAGTTGGTATGAAAAGGGAGAAAGCGTACGGCTCAGCTTTGTTGATCGCAAAACACACAAGTATCGCCATGTGATGCTCGTGTATCCTACTGCCGACGACGACTTCAAACCCATCAGTATTCATGCGGGTGGCATCATGTGGTATGGAAACGTACTGTATGTTGTCGATACCAATAATGGTATTCGTGCATTTGATTTGGACAATATCTGGGAGGTCGAGATTGCAGACGGTGTCGGAAAAACCAAAGACGGAAAGGGGTATTCTGCGGATGGGTACCGATATGTGCTTCCTCAAATCCGGTAAGTCTCTATATATTATCTTCTTTTGGACCAAAGTCTGATACCATCGAAAAGCTACTACAAATGGACCCCCGGCGACTCTTCTCCCTTCCGCTTCTCTTGGATTTCCCTTGACCGCAGCGACTCACCCGACACCCTTATGGTGGGCGAGTTTGTGCGCGATGGAGAAACTTTCGATGACGCCAACAAAACGCCAGTCCCTATCCGCTATGTGAAATACAATCTGGATGCTACCACCCGGCGGCTGCGCACCGACGATAACGGCATCGCTACCGCAAGCTGGGCGCACTGTGTCAATATACCCAACGTGCAGGGTGCTGTTTCGTACGACAGCAAGTTTTACATCTCGCGCAGTACGGGCAGAGCTCCCAAGGAAGGCGATCTTTTTACTTGGGAACAAGGAAGACGGCGACAAAACACCAGGGGTGGTTCATGGCTGGAAATGAAGATCTCAGCTTCAATCCTGTTCGCAAGGAGTATTACACTGTCACTGAGTATGATGGAGATCGGTATATTCTGGCCTATAAGGTCTAGCTTTGCTCCCATCTGTCATTGTACTTCACCATGGGTGGCCATGCAGATGGGGTTCTTGTACAATATCATAGCTGCCATGATGGTTGATACAATAATTAGAATCAGTTCAAAGCAGAGAGTCTTTGGCATTACTTATATACGCATTCACCTGCCGCCGCAAGGAAGAAGTGAATTGGACTCGCGGAGATACTAGTCTCATCCTTTGTTATTGCTTTACAGAAATAGTGGATGAATTACATTATATTGATAGGACCGTACATCATTTACTCAGGATCTCCACTTGGATGGGAGATTGGAACAAAAGAAATTATGTCTCACTTGGCATGCGAGCTACTAGAATTCTCTACATCGAACTCGACCGTTCGGATGATGCCTTCCACTCCTTTCCCATTCTCTTCGGTTGGTAGGATGTGTTCCTCGCTGTCATTATCCGGCGCTTTGCTGTGTGAAGTAAGTGTTGCGGAGTATTGATTATTGCGCCCTGTGAAGTCCGGTTGACTGCTGTGAGGGAAAGAGCCGAGTTGGTGGCCGTATTTGCGAGATTTCGAGGTATCGCCGGATGTTGAGAGACCTAATAATCGAGGGAAGTATCGTCGGACAAAGGGTCTAATGGCAGTCACGCAGCCCCCGAAGATTCCGAGGTTCAACTCGATGGTGCACCACATCAGGGCGTCAGTAGTCGTCCCTGGTTTTTTTGTATTAGCGATTTCCTTCTGTTTGTAGGAATTTCCGATCATTACATGTTAAATCAGGGCTTGTCTGAAGAATATACAGAGATGATAGCCGAATACAGCTCACAACCCCAACACTGAGTCCTGACGTTAGTATTGGGTCTACTCTTTGGGATGGAAATATATCACTTACAAACAACCCATTGCTAAAATGACAGCCACAGCAATCTTCTGACCCAACGGCATTTGTAGCCGGCGCAGCCATGGTCTGAAATTAGTTAGCACCTTTGCCGGGTTAATTTCAAATAGCAACATACATCGGAACCACGACGGTCGCAAAGTCAGTAAAAATACCCAGCCCAGCATTGGCAAAATAGAAGGCTGGTCGGTTCATGCAATGCCCCGTTGTAATTGTATCATCCCAAGATTTGGCAACCGGGGTGCAGCCGAATATATTGGCGAGCACACTGGCCAAACTGTATCCCACGGCAATAAAGACAAGGACCCAGACGGCGATATGGAAGTTCCGGCTGGGGAGATGCGAAGGTAGAATACAAGGATGGAACACTTTGTGAAGCCCGTCGCGGCGCAGTAGAATATAGCGGATGTTAAGTTCAACTGTGTCAGAGGTTAGCTATCATCATCGTCTGATAGATACCTGACAGGCTGGGATTGCTAACCTTTTCAAACATTGGCGATAGGTATGCTTCTGGGACATCCCACATATGTTTCCCGAGACCCCAATTGAGCACTGTTGGTGAGTTTGTGTCAGCGAGGCTCCAGTATCAGACTGTTGAGTTCCTTACTCTCTAACGTGACGCCGGAGAGAACACATGATAAAATCTATAGCCAAGGCTATCAGTAAACAACTCAGAAATTAGTTCATCTAGCACACACCAGGGCCATAATCATTAGATCTATATGACTGTTAGTGGTGCCATCTCTTCATGTGCGACACTCCCCACTCACAGTCATCATAGCGAAAGCTCCGGACAATAAACACCCGAGTCCATGTTCTCACAGCCAAACCAATAATAGCCAGCGGTAGAAAGATAGAATTGACAACCACAAATTTAGTACCCGTATAGGGTGGGTTAACGAAGTTGGATGTCCGACCCGGCGGCGGCGGCATGGCCGGCGAGATGGAAGAAGCCATGACGCTCATTGGATAATGAGATCCATCTGTTCCAATCGAAGTCCAGGTGCGGTAGTAAGTGGAAATCGGGTATATATAGATTTATATTTGAATCTCGAGGAAAGACACGTGGGAAAACAAAGTGACATGCAAGCAACCCCGTGTTGAATGAGAATTGACCATAAATCGAGTGAATACTAAAAGTTGGTACAGCAAATAATCTCGCGGATAACGTGGAGACTTTGATCCACTCGATATATCCCACCCATTTTGCATGAGAATCTACCTAAAATGGTAAAGGGTAAATAAAGTCTATACTCGGCCAAATTCCAGTCAATACCGGTCAAATTGGAATATGGAGTCAAATGGTTAACCCGACTGTTGTATCTATGTTGAACTTCGACAGGCAAACTGACACCGAGGTATATAAAAGTGTGAGAACGGAGATAGTTCTCCGGCATATCTCCAAAGTAGCCAAGTCGGGAAACTCGATCTACGGAGTATAGCCCTAACAAAGTAAGGATCGACGAACTGGAAAAATATGTTTTTTCTTTTATGAACTTCATAACTAGAAGTTAAATATTTTATTTATGCCTTGATTAGCTATTCAATCCATGATATCTCTGTTGTACGGAGTACTCCGTACTATGCAATACAAACCATGCAGAACTACCAAAATCGCCTCTACAAGCCCTGACATCGAAGAGAGAGTTAAGTACATATTCTTTCCAATAGCGCCAAACAACTCCCGTAAACATACTCCGTATAATAGTATTGACATGATTATACGGAGTACATGAAAAGGCCAAGTGGAATTGGCCAATTTCCACTCCAATTTCCGCCAGAAGCTGAGAAACCGAGTGTTTAGTCCAATATATACCAACCCAATCATGTCTAGACACTATAAGTTCAGGTGGGTCGGGAGCTTTTCAGCCCTGGGCAACTTTTAAGAGACGCCACACCATATAGAAGTGAATTACATTCTACATTCTAGTGCACTTATACGGCTACTGCACTTGTACGGTTTGCATGGACTATAATAATAGAACTGCGTTAGGGAAGTCTATGAACATTCTCCCTCGACTACAACGCCCACCACAATCTCTGCGAAATGGTTCCACTATATGGAGTAGTATACGCCAAGTGGATGAGACCCATATAATCTCCACTTGGAATAACCCAACCGATCTAACTCGGCAAGCTAGAGGACGAGCTAGAGCTAGAGCAGCTTCAGAACCGTTTAGAACTAGGTCCAAATCCAGTAACGCCTCGGGGTTAAGCTACGATTACCTGCTGTTCCGTTTTATTTCTCGTTGACCCGAACCCCCTAGCTTGATCACAGTTCGAAATTTGTATACACAACCAGGTATACTCTTCACCATGCACATAACACCAGCCGTGCTCTCGCTAGCCGGCGTGGTCGCAGCATCGACACCCGCTAACGCGTGCCCAAATGTCTCGGTAGCCTGCAAGGCGCTGCAGGCGCCCCTTGGGGATTCACTGTTCTTCGCCGACAGTAGCGTCTACAAGTACGAGGCGGCGAACTTTTGGTCGAACACGGAGCTGATGGCTCCTGGCTGTGTGTTCCGACCACAGTCCAGTGCGCAGCTGGCGGACGGCATCGTGGCACTGGCCAATGCCAATGCTCAGTTTGCTGTTCGGGGCGGTGGCCACATGGGTATCCGGGTGGGTTTTTGATCTGAAACTGTCTAAATACTATACTGGGTTCGCCCTGATCTGACGGTCGCAGGGCTCGAACAATATCGATAATGGTGTCTTGATTGTTATGTCGAACTTGACTACTTTGGAGTTGTCGAAGGATCAGTCCATTGTGTCCATTGGTCCTTCACACCGGTTAGTTGATTTTTCCCCCTTTCTGTCGGCACTGGTGATGGTTTTTGCTTACCTCTGTTTAGATGGAGCGATGTCTACGAATACCTGCAGAAGTTCGACCTGACCGCTGCTGGTGGCCGTCTTGGCCCTGTCGGTGTGCCGGGATTGCTCCTCGCTGGCGGTATCAACTTCTACGGTAACCAGGTTGGCTTCGGCTGTGATACCGTTGTCAACTACGAGATCGTCCTTGCCAATGGCTCAATTGTGGAAGCTAACGAGAAGAGCCATCCGGATCTGTTCTGGGCCTTGAAGGGCGGGAGCAGTAACTTCGGCATCGTCACTCGGTTTGACCTGGAGACTATCAAGTCGCGCAAGGTCTGGGCTGGTGCTCATACCGTGTCTGCTGAATACATCGATCAGTTCCTGGCGGTACGAAATGCTGAAGTCCTTGGCTGTATGATTCGTCACTAACTAGTTTCATTAGGCTGCGGCTACCTACGCGTCTGACATTTACGACCCCAAGACGCACATTGTACCAGCCCTCGTGCCCGGCGAGACTACGCTCGCCTCTGTGATTCTGTTCTACGACAGCGACAGCGTCAGCTACCCCGATATCTTCAAGCCGTTCACCGATATCCCGGCTATCAGCAGCACCCTTGACTTCAAGACGGTCGCTGAGTTTGCCACTGAGACAGGTGCAATGGTAATTGATGGCATCAAGTACGATCACCCGCCAAGAAGGCCATCATGGGACTTAGTAGCTAACGAGACTTAGTGACGTATTCGTCGCCGGAACCGTTAAGGGCACAAGCTACAAGGAGCTTCTCAACGGCATCAGTATTATCAACCAAACCTTCTTTAACGAGCTCCCCAAGCTGTACGCGCAGATTCCTACCGCCAACATTTCCACTATCCAGCTGGACTGGCAACCTATCGGTGCCGACTGGATGAAGGCATCTGAGGCTCGTGGCGGAAACACCCTCGGCCTGGACTCCTCGCAGGTCTATCTCTGCTACGCAGAAGTGGTTGAGTGGATTGGCTCAACTTACGACGACATTGTCGCTTCTTGGGGTCGAAGAGACCACTTACAAGATCAACAATGCTACGCAGAAGGCCGGTCTGTACGACGCCTTCAACTACATGGGTGATGCTGCTGGCTTCCAGTCTATCTTCCCTGGCTATGGCGCGCAGAACCACCGAAGGCTCGCTGGTATTGCGAAGAAGTATGATCCTCATGGTGTCTTCCAGACTCTTATGCCTGGTGGATTTAAGGTTTAGCAGATGTATAGATGGCCTTGGGATGTGTATGATTCTTGGTATATGGGAACAAAGCTTGTATATAAAGAATCTACCAACAACTAGTAATATTAGAGCGACATGTCTACTAAAGAAAGGGAAAGGAAACAATCCTCTACTTTAGACGGTTCCTTGCCAAGGAATTTGGCGAGGTATTGAAGAGTCCGGCATCAAGGATTTACGCCTGTTTCACAGCGCTCCGAGGGTTTCCAGAGGTTAAGAACTCCATGTCCATGTGATGGCGCAGCTAGCATTTGGATACGATAGCGAAGAAACGGACCAGTACCTTAGAGATATATAGGGCAGTTCGATATGAGTAGTGCAAGGGTGCGTACATGATGAATGACAAGAGATACAATTAGACGATGAAGTCCAGGAGCTTTTGCTTGTTGAGAATTTCTCCTTCCACCAATCTCCCTGTCTCAGTGACTTGCCCATTGACTTTTTCATAGCGTACCAGCGCGGGGATGTTTTTAGTGCCCCACGTTGTTCGGTAAACATTCTGGGGGGTTATTCCATCTGATAGATATCAGCTGAATGTACCACAGGACACATTGGCAATGTTATTTTGAAAACAAAATGTTGCAGATTCAGACACGATCATGGTAAAACTTACTCGGGCTTTTGCCCAACCTCGACGATAGCTAATTCAGGTGCATCATCTCCTGAGAATGCCTTATTGATATGTGGCAAAGCATCCCGTACATCTGGGCACCAAGGTTGCTTCGTAATTGGATCTGGTGAAGAGATGAAGGCGATGAATAATTTCGAGGCCGAGGTTAGTGCCAGCTCCTTCGTCGAGCTTGGCAGCGCGAGATTCTTGGTGATTGGCATTCTTATAGCTTTGTATATAGTTTGAACTTGAGTGCAGAGTGTAGGCAAGAAGTTTGGGCGAGACAATAGTGTTTTGCAAGTCGGACATGAAACAACTGTGGCTTTTCCGTTGATTCATGACTAAGCAGGCAATAAGGTTCCAATGTTCCACGGTTCGGGCCATGTGCTTTCCAAGGTTGTTCCTACCTCCATATACCTATGTACCTATAACTATGGAGGTAACAGGGACTATCACCAGTTCACTTTTTCCCTAATGTTGTCTGTGCTGATATACTTTTTCTACTTGTATTGGATTATGCAGGTGGTCAGTGCTGAATTGTGGATATCCTCGTATTCTCCGATAACGTTGACACTCGTGCCGTTGGCGCGTGATGTAAGCGAAAAGTTCAGCCCCAGCTTCAAGTGTTTCTCCCTTTATTTGATACTCTGACTGTGAAGCCGTAGGATTTACGTTTTCTAGTATGGATGAAACAGCATCCAATTTTCGTGCGCAGTGGGTCAATCCATCAGATTTATTCTCAATCCTCTTAATTATTGGCGGGGATGTCATTGCCATCGCTCAGGCAGCCCTCTCCGGCGGCCCTATCACCCCCGTTACCTTCTCTTTCGGATGGGTATCGTACGCTATCTCGGCGCTACTCACTGTCCAAAGCGAGGGCCGCCTGATGCCTCCGAGCCCTGACTCTACGCTCCAGGTAATCAACCTAGCCACGGGGTATAAGCGATTCAACCGGTCCTGGACTTTAGGGCGTGTGTTTCAGAATTATGAATACTGGATGCCAGCAGAAGTACGACTGCGACTGCAAGCCCACCCGGTCTTGTACGAGGATGAGGAAGCCAGGATTGCAGACATGGAGATGTCGGCGAAGGTCACGGCAACGACAGAAATAAACCCCAATCCTCGCAAATTTGTGAGCCCCCGCCAGGCCGGCCTCTGCATCAGTGTTTATGAGTGGGCGCTGGATGGTCCCCATCCGGTGGGGAAGCCTGGTCGTGACTGGGTGCATTGGCTAGGAATCGTCGTGACGGTGGTTCAACTAGGCGTCAGTGTGATACCATTTGCCCTGTTCGGAGACTGGAGTATCTTCCTGGTGACGGTGGCCGGGACAATACTGGCCTACGCGTCTGGCGCACTGCCGCAGTGGGGGAAGGAGAAATGGGCGTGTCGGATCTTAGAAAAGCGCAAGGATATTGCGTTGACGATTGGTGTTGGCACGCAGCATGTGATCTTGGTGCGTGGTGCGAAGGGCGGGTTGGATTTGGAAGACATGGCTGGGGGCCAGTTGCCGGAAGACGAGGGGGAGCAGACACGCAGGAGTCCACTGATGCGACTGATGAGCCCAGGCAATACGACGCGCATGGTCATGTTTCTGTTGGTGGTGCTGTGGCTCATGCTTCTCCTCAGCAGCACGGGGATCCAGGAACATTCATGGTTTCTACTCGCGGTGGGCGGCACTGGCATGGTGCAAAATCTCATCACGGCTGGGGCTCCGCGTCAGCCGGCGATGTTGGGAATTCCGCTTCGGCTGGCTACGCGTCCGGACTCGAAGAACGAAGCAAGTCCAATCCCGATGGTGTTCGCCGAATTCAAGATTATGCATACGCTAATGGAGCTCGAGTTGGACTTCAAGGGGGCTGGTCGAATTCTGCTCTCAGAGTTCTTCCCTGGAGGCGGCGGCCTACTGCCTTGGGAGGAAAAATGGTGGTCCAGCGATGACCCGGACGTTCGGCGTCAGCTACTACGGGCCGCGCGAGAAAAAGAATTCAACAAACAGAGGCGTAGAATGCAGGCTGGTTGAAAAAGGAGGTGCGATACCCCAGCATATAGCAATTTGCCACCGGGTCCTGTCCCGCGAGTGGTAGTTGTATTGATTGCTTACATGCAATTTGGCAGATCTCTCTTTGCCCCTTTGAGATTCTTTCTGACTTTCAGGTCTTTGTCCTTATGAAGCTATATTGGAGAACTATTGCATTATGTCGATCGTGGTCATCATTATATTTCTGTTGATCACTTTCTTGGTCCCAATTTGGTACGTAGCGGTAGGTCGTACGACGGTCTGCTACTTATCTGCTTTGATCGAAACAAAGGTCAAAGAACTGTCATTCTATGCATGCAGTGCCCCAAGAGATTTGCTTTCGAAATTCAAGCGACTGGCTTCTTCTCCCCTAGATAACTATCCGCGACTGCGCCAGTTCCAAGATTGACCTTGTCATCATGATTCCGTTGGGTTCAGGTCTTAGAGTGCCACAACATAGGAATCATAACATACCAAATCACAAAAATACATGTACCACTTGCAACAGAGCTGAATACGAAGATGAGAAAAAGAGCATTTCTTGGCACGGGAACTGACCAACCAGTAAGAGACTAGCGCTTTAGGGCACGCCTATTCTCCATGCTGACGCGGGGCTTCATCTGACTGAAAAGGTGTGACTCTCAAATTTTCTTGGGCAAACAATTACAATGGCGGAGCATGTGTTCTTTCCTGACGAATCCCCAAAGCCTCTTCGGATTGAGTACAACGGTTCGCTATATGATGGAGGTGATTGGGATCAGTTCCCGACTCGCTGTGGCTGGAAACTGGAAACAGGAGCTGAAAAATTTCCTCCGCGTCAAATTCCGCAGAGCTTCCACTCTGAGATAGAATGCTGGCTCTACTTCGGCATGCTCCACTATGTGTTCGGGGACCAGCTGGACCAGTCCGAGTTTCTCCTGCGCAGGAAGAAGACCCTCGGCAGTATATAACGACAAAGCATCTCGATAAATATGTCAGCAATGCCAAGGAATGGAAGAAGAGGAAACTCGGCGAGCGAGCTATTGACATTGTCAAAAAAGTCTGCGAGCAACTTTCCGGGTACGGCCCTTTGTACGTGCGGAATGATATGGCATTGGCTATTCGGCTGGTCTGCTATGCTCTCTGGAATATTGCAGACAAACGAGATGGTCCTCAGACCCAGACCCATTGTGTTAAGTCATGGTTGTTCACCGGAGAATCTGACTGTAGGCGGATGGTCGCGGAGGGATGGTGCCCCTTAGAGGCAGCCAAGTGTCGTATCGCCGGTGGTGGAGTGGACACCCCAGTGTATCTGCTTCAGTTAAGGCGTTTTAAGGCTGAATGGAATACAATAACGCATGAGCGCTGCAAGAAGACAGAATGTGTGGCCAACAACATCGATGAGAGCGACTATGTCACTCGACACGTGCAAGAAGAGTGCACCTGTTCGTACCTCCAGTCCAATGTCGAGCAGCTGCATAAAATCCTCCTAGATGGAGGGGTTCCACTTTTGATGCTCACGCCTGATGGCGAGGACGAGCTCGGCAACCAGAATATCAAGGTTGAGATTGTGAGAAAGCGCGTGGGCAGGCAGTACTTGGCCATCTCGCATGTGTGGTCTGATGGGCTAGGTAACACAGAGGGCAACAGTCTCCCAACCTGCCAATTAAAGCTCCTTTATGAGGAGGCAAGACGTGTCCTCACTGGCAGCGAATATGTCCCTCGCTATGAGGGGGGCCCATTCGGACCATTACACACTGGCGTGGCTCGACTAGCCCATTTCGCGGGCAGCAAAACTCTGCGCAGAGATGATTCAGTACTATTGTGGATTGATACCTTATGCATACCACATCAGCCTGACGTTCGGAGCTTGGCGATTCAGCGCATTCGTGAAGTATACGTAGATGGTTAGTGCAAACTGTTAGCAAACTACTGGAAGTTCTTGGATGATAACCTAACCGATTACAGCTTACCGGACGATGATCCTTGATTCAGAGATGAGGCACGTGAATGCCAGCTCTAGGAGTCACCTAGAACTTCTCCTGAGGGTGCTGTACTGCTCGGGCTGGATGCGCCGGTTATGGACGCTTCAAGAAGGACTGGCCGCCAAGAGCCGGCTGTATATGTTGTTCTCTGATAAGGCAGTCAACATTGCCACCATCGCCGACGAGCTCCTGACCAAGCTTGACCGAGGAAAAATGCCCATCATGCAGGAGAGGATTACCACCTTCGCCATGGGTGTCTGGTTCAGCTTCTTTAAACATACCATCGACTTCACATCCAAATTCGAACGTTTCGTCAACTTGGTTGCTATTACTAGTCCTTGGGGCGGAAACGACATTACCAGAGATCAGCTCATCGTATGGAATTGGTTTAATGTAGCCACACGAGCCACCAGCAAGGCACGCGATCGCCCAACCATCCTAGCGGGAATTCTCAATCTCGACTTGAAGGAAATCCTCGAGGCCAAGGGATCCGACGAACGAATGCGGAAGTTCTACAGTCTAATTGACAGTTTCCCCCAAGGCGTGCTGTTCCAGCCTGGACCACGGTTTGAAGATTATGGAATGCGCTGGGCGATGAAGGTGTGTCAATATACCGAAGAGATCCAATATCTCATGGGCGAACCCGGAAAAATTACACCTCGAGGACTCAAGGTCACAGATTATACGTCGTGGGTATTCCCATCCCGCATAGTGTTCGACCTCAGACTCTTTGACCTTGACCCTAGGCAGGGGCAACTGGCTTGGGAGCAGTGGATCAAAGAGCACAATCTCGAAGAAGCCATCAGCTTGTCCAATGTCTGTCTGCTGAAGACCAAAACCGCCATCGTTTTCGAACCAGATGGGACATACGGGATTATTGCGAGTGGGTCAAAAGGCTCTCGACCTGGATCAAATGAAGCGTGTGCAGTGGTGTCACTGCACACGACGGAGGATGCAGTTCATTATGGACAATATGAAGGCCTGGGAACAATCAAGTCTATTGGCAGCTTTGCAGAATGGCCAGAGGGAGGGTATTTTGTGCCAGTAACCTGGGATGAGCGGCAAGAACGTGAATGGATTGTTGGTTAACTGAATGTACTGTTGGTTTGAGTGAATAGTTGGTCAATCAAGATCGCATTGAACGGAATTCGGCCATGCATACCAAGTTCCTCAAGACCCCGGCATTCTTGCCATAACCTTATGGTGTATTTGAATATACGAATCAAATGAATCCCACAAATTAACTCCCCCTGTAAGGAAGCGAGACGGGCTATATTTCCCCAGCGAGGCTGTACCCCGCAGACCTCAGACTGTATGTGTAAAAGGAATAAGAGAAATCAAATAGAAGATCGAAAAGAATAGAGAGCAAGTTCATGATCTTGTGCATCCACAAGCCAAGGTCATCAATGTGAGCCACATGGGGTATGAAATAGGACATAAATGAGCTTAATGGCCCCCTAAAAAAGGAATTCCTCGCATTCAATTGAGCTGGTCCCTCTCACCTTCGGCCTCCATGTTATTTCCCTCGTCACCATGTGCCCACAAGGCATCGATAGGCTCCTCAGGCCACAAGGTGGCACACAGGTCACGCGCATCGGCCCAGTCTTCATAGCCACCATCGGAGCTATACATCATTAAAATGAATTCTGCGGATGTAACATGTAACATACCCAAGATCAAGGTTCTTCGGTGCCAGCATCCAAGTCCTGAGAAGGATGGATGCAACGACCACATCATATGGCTTTAGAGCAGTCTTGCAGAAAGTCCAGTGGCATGGCTTGCGCAGTATGAACGGTTCGTGGGCATTTCCTCTAACCCCATTCAGGTATATGCCTTCCTCAGAGTCTACAACCACCGGTGTAATCTTGTCTTCATCATCGGTTGGGCCGCTGAGAGGAACCCGGGCTTCTTTGATGATTTCGGGAACATCTTGGATGAGCTGGTCCCAGGCTTTTTCCCATTCAGGCGTATCCCAGCCAAGGATGGCATAGTAGTGCGTGTAACTGTATCGTATTAGCAAGTTGTCTTTAGATAATGCTTTGATGATTACTAGACTGACCCCATGATTCAAGTGAAGATGGAGTGTTGTGAGAGGGAAATTAAAATGTTAGGTGAACTTGGGCAACCGCAGACTTATGAAGTCACATGGGCACCTGCAGGGGAGTTACCTCAGCTCACAAACTCCCCCGGGGCCCCGAGGAATTTCTCTATACTTTCAGAAATAGGGGCAAAGTGATGAGAGGTACGATTTGGGACCAGGTTTTACACTGACTCCAACTTTCGAGATGAATCAAATACGATTTGGCGAAACGTTGTCTCAAAGCCTCCAGGACTCTGAGAATTTCTTCTTCATCTTTATTCCCTGTCTCGCTCGGAATATCTTTCAACTATTCACAGAGATGGCCGAAGTGAGTATCTTCGCCTGGATAACCACCTGGGTAACCTCGAGACAATTACACTAACACCTCTTCTCTGCCATATAGCCATCAAGTGAGAGGTGCTTGGATCCAGAGCTTCGCCAGGCTCTTGATGACTTGAAGACCGCTGTCCACTCGGCGAATTGCTGTCTAACTACTTCTCGCTTTCTGGACTCGTTTCCAGACCTCAGCACTCAACATCCGGAGATCCAGAGAGCCGTTGAAAAGGTGGCTCGATTCTCGCGGGACCAGGAAGAGAACGCTGCCCAGGCGGCAAAAAAAGCGCGAACGACATTCGAAGCTCTGTCTCCTGAACACCAACACGGCTTGATGCAGTACTACGGGGAAGACATCAATTTCTACCTCGAGATCGCCACCCCCCGACCTGTTGCCCACTCCCTCAGTTTCTTTAAAGGAATTTCTGGTTTTGTTATTTGACATTGAAAATCTCCACCGTGCACTCGCCCGAGTACGTGGGGTGGAGGCGAACATCACCAACGTCTTTCGCAGGCTACCGTCCATCCAACGACTGCGGCGGGAAAATCGTGATGAGGAACTGCGACTGTTAGAACTACGCAGCTCGTCTGAGATTCAACTATGTGTGAAATTTCTTGCCTTGGATCGGGAGCAACAGGACATGCTCTGGCTATGGTATCAAGATTCTATGGGGATCAGTGGAATCCAGAGGGATGACAATGCGGAATACCCCTACTCGGCTAGGAGTTGAGATGAAGATAACGACAAGGATGAAAGGATTGCCAATTCAAACAGTACCCCAATGTGCAATCCTTGAAGCATGCAAAAGCAATGAGCAAATCGAGGAATATCAGATGCCTCCAGGGCTGTGACAGTGTCTGATTGGTAATATCATTCGTAGAATCATCAACACATAGTTCATTTAATAGCCAGATACATATGGGTTGTGACTCAAAAGTCTCCCGATATAAATATTTTTATCTCGTATTCTTTTCTCTTCAGATATTGCCGGGATGCTTGGGAGTGTGGGGTAGATAACGAGGGTTCCCGGCCAGATTGCCGAGTTTCGGGAAATTGTCCTTTTCCTCATCCTTTACATGTCCACTCCTATATGGCCCTTCGGATAACTGTCCCAATCTATTGCAATGGATTTTGCCTCGAAACGACGACGAAGAAGGCGGGTTGCCGACGAGAATCGCAAAAGGGCACCTCGAGCGTATGCATGATCCATCTGAGTTGAGGTATATTCACTAACTGGGCCCAGATGTAATCGTTGCAAGGCGAGAAAAAGCAAGTGTGTGGAGGCGATCCCGGGAAGATGCCAGCGGTGCTGTGCGAGCAACTTTGCCTGCAGGTTTGAAAGGTATCGAGTCTATTATCCTTTGGAAAAAAAAAAAAGCGTCTGTCTAACCCGAGACAGGGGAGATCGCCTTCTGGTCAAGATACCACGTCTAGTGATCCCACCGAACCTGGTGAAGCCACCGTATCAAGCAACAGCCAAACTCGGCTACGGCGAGATGACGACAATCATAATGATCCGCTTTCTCCAGCATCAGTTTTGTCCCAAAGGCTCGCCGAACATGTTGTTGCAGGTCAATCCAAAAGGACCCCGTGGCCAAACATCCTCTCCCGTCTGAGGGAGGCGTTCTCGCTAGGTCCGGATGCTGCTCCCGAAGAAAGGGATATGGTCAGCATGCAAGCAGTGAGTCATATCGTCCTGATTCTGAACCCATGCCAACTCACGAATTCAAGCATATGACGCGTTCAAAGGCACTTAATCCATCCGAGGTGGCACGTTCACATGCAGCAATTGACGCATTTCCTCCACGCCCTATTGCCGACTTTTTGCTTTCAGTATTTATCAAACATGCAACAGATACATTCTTCTACTTTGACCAGGATCAAATATTGTCTGAAATTGACCAATTTTACAACGACACCACCTCCCCGTTGAGATCTGACTTGAGCTTTGTCTGCCTTGTAATGGCAACATTCGCCCTAGGCAGTCAGTGGACGCCACTAGAAAGACCGAATGAATCTGCAGTCAGCCTATGTCGGGATAATGATGATTTAGGCCAAGTATTCTATACCCATGCCAAAACGCTTATCCCTGACCTGATTGACCGGCCTTGCCTTCGATCCATTCAAGCGCCTTTCTTGTTGGGTGTCTACCTAATGCCAGCAAGTGCCATTGGATCATCCTATGTCTATATGGGCTTGGCGTTGCGCAAAGCACTGGCGTTTGATCTCCATCTTAACCCAGAAGATCAAGCAGTTGATGACCGGGAGAGAGAGGTCCGGTGTCGGTTATGGTGGTCAATCTATTCCCTCGAGAGGTAGGTGACAGGGCCATAGTCAAGGTCAACCTCGCTAACAACCCCAGGTGTACCACTGTCAAACTAAATAGACCTCGCTCTATTGATGCCAACGTAGCCACAGTGCCACATCCATCGCCTCTCCCATCACTGGATTGCCTGCAAAGATACAACAATATTCAATTTCAGATGGCGTACACTCGTCTGATCAAGATTCTCGATCGAATTGCAGAGCCATGGTACGTTTTGTCCACTCCGATAGAACATACGAACTAATAACTACTCAAGTAGCGTTGGCACCGCAACAGATGGGCAGTCAGAATCCGAAGCTCTGGCCTCTGATCTTCGGCAGTGGAAGAAGTCCTTACCACTAGACTTCAAGCTTGACAACATGGACCCTAAAGACTCAAGATACCGCACGATCTTCCATCTCTATTTGAATTATTACTATGCGTGGATAACCATGGGCAAAGTCGCCCTAGTAACTGTTGCCAGAACTAGTCTTCGCCGTCATATGGTTCCTGCATCGCACCCTCCTGATCCAAGCGAGGCTACTTTGAGGCAATCTCGAGATTGTGCAAAGGCAGCTAGAAAACTTCTCCTGCTGTTTGAAAATCTGACACAAACCCGCAACATCACTCGTTTCTCCTTCACAGACTTTCAGGGATGCAGTATTGCGACGATCGTGACACTAGTGGCTGGAATCACCGAACGCGATTCAGGATACAATTCTCGAGTGAAATTTGGTCTAGATTGCCTTCGGAAAATGGCAACAGGGAACATGACAGCCAAATTGGGAGTGAAATTTGTCGAGGCCGTGCAGTCGATAACAAACGAGGCCGCAGAGAAGCTCCATCAAGCGTCCTCTACTCCCAGCGAAAGGCAGGATGTGCAAGCTTCGGCTTCCACGTCTGATTACAACCAATGGGCCGAATGGCTTACCAGATTGGAACGCTCTCATACAATGGAGCAAAGAGTAATCCATGAGGTAGAGCCTGAACTACCGTTTTTACATACTGTACAACACCCACCACAGCCAAACGAGAATATTTCCGATTGGAGGAATGCTGGTGAACAGTCTATCTCGGAAAGCTCGATCCCGCAAAACCTGGCACATGGCTCTGGTATGCCACGGGAGTTCCAGTCTATAGAGTACGACCTTTTATCAGGACTCCAGAGTGATGATCCAGCGTTTCTCATGGGTTTAACTGGGCTTGACGTCCTAGACTTCTCTGGGTTGACATAAAATATCAAGGATCGTAGGGGGAAAACAACGTGCAACTTGGACTTGGATATGTTTATTCCTGTCGTAACACTGAGAACACCAACCACCATGCAATGTGTGCAATGCAGTACACGACAATATAATCATTGTACTCTCACCGGAATCTGCCCATCCTCTAGCAACGCATCCCACCTACTTTTATAGACACGACCATCCTTCATCACACCAAGCACATGTGTATCAGGCTTATCAAAGACGGTCACATCCTCAAGTGGATTCTTGTTTAGAACCACAACGTCAGCATGGAAGCCCATCTTGATCTGACCCAGCTTATCCGCGCATCCCATCATCTTCGCGGGATTGACAGTAGCACTACGCAAGACTTCAAGTGACGATAAAACTTGCGAGCGGAGTGCAAATTCATGGGTCTGTGCAGATCCCAGCGGGCCCAGCAAATCAGACCCATAACACATAGTCACACCAGCCTCCGAGGCAACCCTCAAAGCCTCAAGACCAGACTTCAACACAATAGAATTTTTCGTCTGGGACTCAATGGGTAGGTAATTCTTCCATCGTTCGGAGGCCATCTGAGCATACGCGATGAGCGTAGGTGTCAAGTAGACCCCCCTTCTCAGCCATCAGCTTGGCAGTGGGTGGATCCACGAAATTCCCGTGCTCAATACCGCGGACACCATTATCGATACAATGCCGGATAGCCTTGACGGTGTATGCATGGGCCGTGACAAAAGTCCCAGCATTATCAGCACATTCAACCATTGCCTGAATCTCCGCCGCTGTAAACTGCAGATGCTCCAGCTTATCCGTTGGCGAAGCCACACCACCAGAACCCATGATCTTGATGAAGTCCGCTCCGCAGCGGACCTCCTCACGGACAGCAGCCATGCACTCAGGGACGCCGTTGCATATACGGCCCAGATGATTATTGCTATGGGTGCCGCCGCAGCATTCCGTAGCTTCATGTGGACCGCGCAGGTCGCCATGCCCACCAAATTGAGAGAGGGCATGGCCTGCGATAAATACCCGCGGGCCGGGGAAGACACCGTCTTCAATTGCCTCTTTCAGAGCGAGCTGGGCACCGCCACAGTCGCGGATGCTGGTGAAGCCGCGATGCAGCATCTGCGAGGCCGTGTAGGGTTGCCGCAATAGGTGAACATCATTTGGGTTTCCGAAGGCTTTGGATAGGTCACTAAAGCCTGGGACTGCGCATAGATGTACGTGGGCATCGAACAGACCGGGGCAGAGGTATTTGCCTTGACAGTCTACTGTTTCGAGGTTGGTCGGTGAGACTGGGATGGATGATTCTGGGCCGACGTAGGTGATTTTGCCATCGGTGGTTATGAGGGTTGTGCTTTCTTTGATTGTGCCTGATTCGACATCGACGATGTTTGCGTTGGTGAACTTATATCCCTGCGGTGCGGGACGGGTCCATGGCTTGATGTCCGAGCCGGGCAGGGTAGTTTGTGACATGGTGGGGTTGAAGATGAAAAGATGCTGGGTAAGCCAAGATTATGAGTTTAAATATTAAATCTGAGAGTAGAAAAAAGGTCAAGTTGCGGGGAGAGTCTCTCATTCGGCAAATTGGCTGCCACATTCCCGATGGCCATCGGACCGATGCCCGTTTCTCCGCATATCACGGCAGTTGAAGATAAGCCTCCTTTTAAAAATAGGGAGAAATCCGGGGAATATCAGCCCTTTCCTGAAAATTTGGTCATCCTTGATTGTTTTAAAAGACTGAGCTTGTGCAAATTCAAGAGAAAAGAAAAGAAAATACCAACATTGCGTCCCTCTACCAATATCACCTGCATTGATGGACAACCTGGAGAAGCATGCTGCAAGCAGCGATAATGTCGATCAAACGAACGGTGAGATGCTCGAGATTCGTGGGAATTACACCGTGAAGGAAGAGAAAGCCGTCCTCCGCAAAATTGACTTGGTCATTTTGCCCTTTGTAAGGGGATCAACCTGTCCCCTTGGCTATTTGTCAAGCTAATGACGCATACTTCCAGATGTGCTTCGTCTTTTTCCTGCAATACCTTGACAAGCAGAGTCTCAGCTATGCTGCCGTCTTTGGTCTAATTGAAGACCTCAACATGACAAGCTCACAATATTCATGGTCAAGCTCGATCTTCTATGTTGGCCAACTGGTCGCCGAGTATCCATTTATCTCATCTCATGAGTCGGCTCCCATTGACCAAATTTGTCGGTGCAACTGTGTATGTGAACTCTTACATGTTACTATGCTTCTGCCCATCATATGCTAACTGCCAATTCAGAATTGTCTGGGGAATTGTATGCATGTGCCTCGCAGCGCCGAACAACTTCGCCGGATTTGCCACCGTGCGCTTCCTTCTCGGCTTCAGCGAAGGCGCCGTCTCGCCTGCCTTTGTCACAATCACCAGTATCTGGTACCGAAAGAAAGAACACAATGTCCGCACGGCACTATGGATCTCCATGAATGGCCTGGCGCAGGTTCTAGGCTGCTTCCTGATGTATGGTATTGGCAAAAACACCTCACTTCCCATCGCCCCCTGGCGAGTGCTATTTATCATCTGTGGCACGATAACTTCTGCCGCAGGTGTGGCGTTCTTTTTCCTTATGCCCAACGGGCCTAAAGATGCATGGTTCTTGAACGCCCGTGAAAGGGAAGTCCTATCGCTACGGATGTCACAGGACCGAGATGGTGGTGACAAGGCCTGCTTTTCTGTTGCCCAGCTCAAAGAGACAATGCTGGACCCTAAGGCGTGGGTTGTCTTTTGGTTTGGTGTTTTGGTATGCATGCAGTCGCCGGTTTTGACCTTTGCATCTCTCGTGATCAAATCGATTGGTTATGATAACCTTGAGACTATGCTATATACGGCTCCATCGGGAGCTGTGCAAGTCGTTTTCCTGTGGATCGGTGCTGGTCTAGTGTTCATCTTCCCCAACCAGCGAACGCTGGTCGTTCTTGTTCTTATCATCCCGCCTTTAATTGGGACTGTCTTCTTGATGAAGTTGGACGTGACGGCTCAGTGGGGTCTTATTGTTGCCTCGTGGCTGGTATGTATTCTTATTGACCGGGTCGCTTTTCTATTGCTAACACCGTTCTTTGCAGTCTTCATGCATTACCGCATCCATGACACCACTTCTCTCACTTGCAGCATCAAATTTCAAGGGAAATACAAAGCGCGCTATTGTGAACGGCATGTTTTTCATCGGCTACTGCGCTGCCTGCATTGCTTCACCTCAACTATGGACTCACAGCCCTCGTTACACGGAGGGTGTGATAACATCCATTGTGACATGGTGTCTACTTTTCCTGGTGGTGATATTATTCCGCTTCTTGTGTGTATGGGACAATAAGCAACGTGATGAACAAGCTGCCAGTTTGGGTGTTAGTGTGGATCAAGAGGTCAAACTGGACGAAAATGGGTTGCCACAGACAGATCTCACGGATAAGCAAGACCGACAATTTCGATATGTGTGGTAACTTATTGATATTTGTCTTGGAACGGATTCCTTGGGTCAATATAATGCTAAGAATTCCAGTGACATTTCCAGGTCAACGCTAACTCTAGTCCCGCGGTCCTTAGGTGAAGCAGAGGCTGATATGTCTTAATTTCACGAAAGTGTGCGTTGGAACAGTGATCGCTTCTCGTCCGTCAACCACTAGCTACGCTAGGAAGTTAATACCGGCTCTATTTCTATACAGTAGGTAGCTACTACCGATATACTAGTTGATAGGCTTATGAAGCTTCTTCTAACGTAAGCTTATAGAGCATTTATCGATTTACTCGGCTTAGTCGATACCTAGTACTTACAAGGTGAGTAAGTTACTTAAGTAAGAAGATTTTTCACTACTAGAACCTATAGGGTAGCCTCTAGGGGTGTATATTAGCTGGAATTACACCTATCCTGTCGCTTTATATATATATCTTTTTCCGTTGCTCCAACCATTACTCAAGAGTGAAATTCCCTTCCCGTAGTTCTTCGGATTCCCCATTCCATATAAAGACAATACCCCTAACACGCTCTTCTTCGTCACCGTTTTCGCTAGGAAGCTTGATTATGCAAGCCTTAATGCGATACTTGCTGGTCTCATAGGCACTTAACCGATCGAGTTGCTCCTGTGACTGAACCTCGTATGCTAGGCCATCAACTGGGTGAAGAGGCGGTCCAACAAGTAAGGCAGGATATGGTCCCCAAAGCTTGATATGGTATCCTATCACTTTAGCTGGTCGCATAGTAGGGGGTTCTGAAAGTTGTAGCATTCGTGCAAGTGCCGGTGGGTCCATCAGGGTTCCGTAGAAGAAACAGTATTGTTTTTGAAACGGCTCAGGTGTCCAGTAAGAGTGCGAGGGGTCGGCTAGACACTGGCTTGATGTATGGCCCTCCGAAGCATCTTGCTCGGCGAAAAATTGCATAAATTTGCGCTGCATGAGCGATGGCCGGTCCTTGTTCATCATGACGGTGCGCGAGCTTTGCAAGTTAGTCACAAGCATGGTTCTGAGTCTGGTTGCAGCCTTACTTTGTATCAAGTGGATGAGGAGGTGTCAAAGTCTGTTCCATACTTTGGTGTAGATGAAGGTAATTATGATGCCATATACGTAGGGCTGGAGTAGATAAGATCCATACAAGGCTTGGTACTAAGCCTAATTAGGTAGATTTGGCGCTCTTAACTACAACATATACAACATAGAGACATAATCTGGGAGCCCAGATTAGAGGCTTGCAGAATAGATCGATTTTAATGAAGTTTGACTGTGCATGTGTATTTATTTCCGGTCCCCCCCCTTTCCCCTTCCCCTCCATCTTCCCTTTCTGGAACTTCAATACCAGATTACTAAGGGCTTTGATCGCCAAACACAGAGGCTGCAAAAATGGCCAATTATTCTTTTTCACAATAGGAATACCTGTTATAACACTATGCGTACAATATCTCCATTCAGAAGCACGATACCACATTACAACCGCCCCTTGATGATATCGGCCGCACGCTCAGCCACCGCATACACGGTGCTCTGGAGGTGACCACAGACCTGGAAAGGCATAATGGATGCATCCACAACACGAACGTTTGATGTTCCGTAAACCTTCAGCGATGTGTCGACAACACCACCAATCTCCTTGGGCAGCATGGCAGCTGTGGTAATCGGGTGGAAGTTTGATCGGTCTAGTCAAATGAATCGTTAGCAATGTAATCCCCTCCAACCATCTCTGAGCAAAGCGAAGGATACACTTACATTTACCCTTGATGAAATCAGCCCAGGCCTCGTCATCTGCATCAGCAGGAACAGTAGAAAGACCGGGGGTGGTTTCAGCACCAGCCATATCACCAAGTGGCTCAGTGTTGAAAACTTCACGAATAAACCGTGCCGCCTGCACCTGGGCCTCGAAATCAAAGTCCAGCATGAAGTACTTGGGGTCAATGATAGCCGCCGCCTTAGGGTCCGCAGAAGAGAGGTGAATGCTACCGCGAGAGAACGGAACAGACCCCCAGTATTCGCTGCTGTATACGTTTCCATACGGCGATAGCAAGATCTCTGCGACAGGAATACCATCCTTAAAGATCAGATCCCACTGGATCTTAAAGAAGCGGTAGATGTCGCTGGCCTTGGTGACATTGCCGTTGGCGGATGCAACTTGGGCTGCATAGGCCGGGAGCTTGCGGAGAAGATTGGCTCCGAGTGCTGTGGAGTTGGGGAAGAGCTGGGCTGCTGAGGGGTATGAGACGTAGTCAGTGCTCTTGCCGTCGGCGTGGGATTTCTTTGACTCGAACTGGAGGCCGTTGTTCATTTGGTCCTGCAGGTTTTCGCCAACAGTTGGCAGGTTAACCTTCGTGGCGATTCCGTACTTCGAAAGAATGCTAACGAGAGGGTTTTGGTTAGTTTTGGTCAAATGTATAACTGAGCGGTGTTAGCCTTACTCTGGGTTTCCAACACCAGAAAGCTCCAGCAGAACAGGAGACTTCAACGCGCCAGAAGCGAGAATTACTTCACGGCTAGCCTTCACCACGGTGGTTTTGCCGTTCGAAAGGGTGACTTCGACACCATCAGCGGTGGCCTCGTGGCCATCCTTCCAGGTAATTTTATTGGCGTGTGTATTGAGCCAGACATGGAGGTTGGTTCTGTTCTGATAAGGATAATAGTAGGCACGAGCAGCATCCTCACGGATGTTGAGTTCGTAATCAAGCGTCTTGGGATACAGACTGTATCCAACCATATCTCCGCTGTTGGGGTCACGGTTGAACTGAACGGGAACATCGAGGTTCTGGTAGGTAGCATTCAATTTCTGAGCAAGACCATCGTTCAACTGAGTTGAAGGCCAGCCAACCTTCAGGGGCCCAGTAAAGCCGTGGTAGGCCGGATCAAAGCTAATACCCGATCCATCCAAGACAGGGTGCTTTGCCGGATCTTGCAATTGCTCGCCCTTTTTGAAGTAAGGGAGGAGAGTCTTCCAGTTCCAGCCCTTATTTCCGATGGCTTCCCACGCATCGATCTGAGCTGCCTGGGCACGGAGGTACACCAAGCCGTTGATGGTCGATGTTCCTCCGAGTGCCTTTCCAGCACGCACTATCTGTGAGGATCCACCGGCATATTCTTGGTCTGTTGTTTCGTAGGCCCAATCAATGTCCGTTCCAAACGCCTTGCCGTATCCAAGAGTGTCGGTCACATTTGGGTTGTTATATACGGAGCCACCGGCTTCGATCACGAGGACGGTGGTGTTCTTTTGCTCGGACAATCGGTTTGCAACAACGAGGCCACTGGTGCCACCTCCAACGACGATGTAGTCGTAAGTCGAGTCTGACTTGTGTGAGGCATGGGGGACTGCAACTGCTAGTGGAAGCAGTGCAAGGCCAATAAGGCTGCGCATGATTGATATAATATTGGGCCCTGAGAGAGTGTGATTAATGAAAGTGGCCCGGAGGATATAACAAAGCTTGTTGATTTTCTTAACAATTTACCTCGAGGCAACACAGTTGATTTATACTTCGGGGTCACAACATGATTTGCAAGCATCACGATCCACTTTGATTCAGGGACATGGCGAAACCCTTTGTCAGATCAACTAATCTCAATATGCCCGATCTATGTGCCCGTTATGGAGTAGTGAGAGAAATAAATCACTGCCTACCACTAGGTATCCCCTTCATCCCAGTCTAAGCCGCACGGGATGGGGCCGGAATGAGAAGTAGATCCTTCGAATGTTGCAATTGTGGATAGAATGGACAATGTTGACACCTGAAATCTCCGTTGTTTTTCCGTTAAAGCGCCGATAAGCATTTTAAACTTCTTGTAGTTTCTCTACTTGTCTCTGGCTGACAAAATCTTCTCTGTAGATCCACTTACTCTGCGGAAGATGGCCGCATCAACGTTGGAAATCTTACTCATCTTTAGTCAGGAACAATCATGACCCACTTTAGAAGAAGAGTCGGGATTAATAGGCATGCCGATCTTACTCGGATTTTCGGAATGCGCCCGTGCCGAATCTATAACATAGGTAGATTGTACTTTGTAGCATGTCTAGAATATAAGACATAAAGATAAGAGTGTTTCACTCACTTCTGTAGGCTGTTTTGAGTGAAACAATGGAGGATACTATGGATATGCAAACCTAAAAATCCTATAACTACAACATAGGTAACCATTTTGACCCAGGATTTGAGCGAGTACTATTGAAATTGTTTTTTTTATTTTTTTTTTATCTCTTTTAAGTACTTTAAGTTGTACGTTTTTGATCTGATAAAAATATTTCATGGCGAATTGAGTTATTCTACTCCGTAGGCCCTTGAAATATAAAAAAGTCCCCGAATGGTGTCACTTGTGGATACAATGTGGAGACTTAGGACCTTAATCACGCTGCCTCTTCGTACAATATCGTGATTGGCCAATAGTCTACATAGAGAAACGGCTTTTGTCAGAGAGATGCAGGGCACCTTGGAATAAACTCTGGTCTGGCATTTACTACTCTAAGATGCCTCCAAATTTGGCACGGAGGTTGCCTATATCCTAAAAGGTTAGCTAGCGCAATGCATATCTAATCCCTAATCCCTATTTCAGGAGAGATCTACGGAGATTTCTTGGGTGGCTTGTAATGTGAGTCGAAGAGTTACGGAGTACAAAAAGACAATATTCTAGACTATAGAATCTGACACTCTACTTGATCAACTACGGACTAATCCCGGATATTCCTCTCCTATCCTCGACACCAACCTCTTGGCCGTGGCAAACAATCCCGTCACCACGGGCTAGTATGGGAGACATTCGGATTAGCACTACCAACCCCTAAATTAAGGAATAGGGGTCGGGAAATTAGCGGGTTCGCAAGTTGGAGCCAGACTTGGCATTGATTGATACCAATGCATAATCTGCAAGAATAATTCGGCGCTTATACGACTTTACCATGTCCATTTTGATGGTCTTTCGATGGTATTTTTCTTGAGATGTTTCCCCTCTTTTATTAGCGTTATAGCTGGAAGGAAAGAAGAATTAGCCACATACACGTAATATATAATATAGGCGATTGAAAAGGTGTAAGGTATGATTAATTTCTTGCTTTGACTACTATCGGACATTCAGCTTTGTCTGTAAGGAATGATTCCGAAAAGGATTGGATTATTATGTAGGAAGAAGACTGATAACTCAAGATAACCTAATAGCAATTACTACCTAGGCAGTATTATAATATTATCTGATTGATTATCTCACCGGTTTCCAGCTATTAAATCTTACTAAATAGTGACGCTCTGTTGATTTTTGAGATAGTATAAGATCAAATATTACGTGTATTTGGCCGATAATCTATCCCTCGGCTTCCTCGTGCTTGGATTTCGCTGGCCGCCTCTCAGCTCGATAACCCTTGAATACGTAGATCGCACTAAGAAACATCCCCAGTCCACCGAGACCAACAGCCAGGTATAACGCGCCCCTATACGCTCTAAGGACATCGTCGAGAGTGTGACCTCCATTGTTGACGTGAACCTCCACTGTACCGGCGAGTCCCAAACTTAGCGAGATGCTATAGTTGACAACAGTAGTCACCAGGGATGCAGCGACACCTTGATGCTTGCGCTCGACGGCATTTGATAACATCAGAGTTGCTGCAGGGAAGGACATATCCATACCCCAAGGAATAACTAACAAGCAAACAAACGTTAGGGCCCAATAGGTTTAAGCCACCAAGCCAACTGGGAGAAGACTGCGCCGAAGACAGATCCCAAAAGCGCACTATTTAGGGCAGCGGCACCGAAGATGGCGAAAATCATATTCTTTTTTTTCCTAGCTGGTATGTGGCTCCAATAAGAGCCAATGCGCCACTGATGCCTTGGAAAACACGTGCAAATATGAAGAGGATATAGTGCGAGTAGACGCTGAGACCTGCAACAAGAGACCAGAGCGCAATCCAGCAGAATCCGATGATGAACATTCGACGATAGCCGAATAGATCGCCGCACCGGCCAGAGACCAAGATGAATGTGCCGACAGTCAAGGAGTACCCAGCCATGAACCAGCTCAAAATTCCGGGATCATCGATATCAAAGCTATCACCCACAACACCAAGCGGTGAAAGACATACGCCCTCCCGGTTGATATAGCGTCCATGCAGGTTGACTACTCGTCGGCGACTCTTGTTGATACAAGACACGTTCGGAAACCGGAATGAATGGCGAGTACGAGACAGAAGCTGATGATCATGATTGTATGTATTAGGGTACTGATCGCTTTGTTCTCGCCAGTAAGATGCCATCTTTGACATCCTTTACAAAGGGTTTCTCCTTGGCTACATGACCCTCTTCTCACCCCTTGGCGTGCGTCCCTGAGCTCCGCCCTTTGCCGCCGCTCCCTTCAGAACCTCAAGTGTTCTCGCAGTAAGGTCCCGCTGTATCTTCAAGTTATTGAGTATTTTCGCGAGAGAGATGATATTGGCATCGTAACTGCCAATCTGAAGCTCATAATGCGCGATAATGAGTGATAACAACCCTTCTGGCAATTCTTGCGCAGTCTGGATAGGAGAGTCTGCTGTTGCCTGCGGGGGTTGTGTACCAAGTGCATCCTTGTGCGTCTTAACAGTTGTAGAAAGATTCGACTCATTGAGTGTGCTGGACTTGCCGGGCTCCTCTTCATCCGCGCCAACCTTTTCCGGTTGCTGCAGCTTATTCAAATCACAGCGTTCCCCATTTCCTCCAAAGTGGCAATTCGCGCAAACTTGTGGCTTGTCTGAAGTGTTGGGGACCTTGACGCAGGTCAAGAAGGGGCCGTGTCCTAGGTTGCAACTACTGCAGCATTCTTCGTCGTCAAGCTCGGTGCCCACTGCCTGCGCATGAATTGCTTCAATGTTGACTTTCTTGCTGCGGATCATCCCATCAAGCCGATCGCCATTCCAAATCCTGGAAGTCCTAAGGACAGGCTCCCTGAGAAGTTGCATTTGTTTCATATGGTTGAGCAGGGTTCCTTGTGTCGCATAATCATAGACTCCTTTCGACCAAGTGCGTGTGTTGATTCGCCGCGCCCAGTATCCTGGAGCTTGTCCCGAGTCCAACCCAATGCTCGGATTCTTGATTCGTTTTTTCATGGCTCGACCTGTCAAGTCTTCGTCTGGTTTCTCGGCATCCCCAGAAATTCTGATGGGTGGTTTGCTATCGGCGAATTTGACTGGAACTCGTCAGCTCTTCTTTTCAGTTTATTAGGGTGTCACGATCTTGGCTTGTTGCTTTGGAGCTCGTACCTGATGTATCAATACTCTCCTTGGTTGTATTTAGCGCCATGATGACCAGATGATATGCACCAGTCGATCGGGATTGGGCTTGTGGTTCGGGTGCTGGGCTGAAGAGAAGTGGTGTGAAGAGAGGTTGGAAGAGAGGCGATGGAAATCTGAAATCTTCTGAGGGCCCCCTCGTGGCTTCCGGCTCTTTGTCGTACTCGATGGCAAAAGATGACTTGTGGGCTTCCTAGCACTTCCTATCTTTAATCCAGGAACGATCTACATTTTCCGGAGAAATCGGTGCGAATTGCTCTAATAATTTGGATGTTTCCAGTTTCCTTCCTATCTATAGGTCCCGGCGTCTCGAGGGAATCGTGGAGCAGCATCTCCGTTCAATCACCTGTGGTTAAGTCATGCGTATATTTGTTAAGACTAGGCGTATATCTCATTCACTTCTATTGTAAAAACTCGTTGAATCAAAGAGGATTGCCTATATCCTTTTTAATTGGAGACAATATACGGCTTGGCCAATCTCCTATCCGAACAACTATTCATACAGATAAACGCGAAGGCTCTGGTGATTAATTTAACGCACGTCAAGATAGACCGATCCGGAAATTATGGGGCCTCATTGCCGATATCGTGGAGTCCACTGACTCCACAACTCAATGCCGCACATAAAGTATTCCAGACCCCTTATGTACATCTCCAATTCATGTGTCAAGTTTTCCAAGCTGTTGTGTCGAATTTCATTGCTGAATTGCTTGAGGGCAAGCTCCAATTCCCGACAATAGCTATACATCAATCGCTTGCAGGCTGTGTATAGTAGTCCTGTCTCGTTGGCAGAAATGTAAATGGCGGAGAATGGATGGGCACCATCGGTTGGGTTCGCCAGGTATACTTTCCACGCTCTCTCCCAGCTATATATATCTTTCATAGCACTGACATGCCAAAATGCGATGCTTGCCAAAAGGTGCGGTCTTTTCGAGTTCAGCAGTAGTGAGATACAGCCTGGCACTGAATCTAATGAGAGCTGAGTAGAATCTAAGGGCCGTCAGTATTCAACAATAATATCCGAAAACGAGCAGCAACGGCAATACATACCCACACCTAGCTCCCTAGATTCGAGGTATGACCCAAGAGTTGTTATTGAGGTCCTCTCCCGGGCTGTCTGGGCCTGCAGTAGTTGGCAAATCCCTAGGCAACATCATTTGCCAGAACCTCGTCCATACTTCGCATAGCCATGATAGTATCGTGAAGCATCCACTCATGACAGATACGTCTGTTGGGGCTCGCTGCTCCAAGGGCGACTTCCATTATCCGTTCCTGATACGACAACATTTGTGCAGAACTCATTTTTTTTAAGTTGATATATTTTAAAGAGTCAGTAAATGTCCAAAGCCAACCTTCAGCGATGGGCACTAACCATCAATGAGGAAAGACAAGTAAAGTATCTTGCGTGTCGCATCAATCCGATTATCTAGTGTCAAAGGAAGAAAGCGACTAAAAGCACGGGATAACCCAAGACCAAGGCACCCCTTTTTCTCCTTCTCGCAGGCAAAACTCCGATTGTTTCCAAAGTAAGGGCCAACCTGAGCTTGTATTCATTTCCATCCTAGTGGGTGGATTTTGAATTCTAGCTGGTGTGGTGTGAAACTCACAAGGGAGATTTTGTGCTGCTGAGTACTGCCTGATCGATTTGTTTATTGGATAGATATGGGGTGAAAAGATGGGCCGGTTAACAGCCAACGCAACCTCAGATCGGCATTCATTTGCCAATCGATTCCAGATACATGTCCGTTGAACGTGATGCATTGCAGCTGCTGTCTATTGCACTCCTTGTACCCTGGCATTCTGGTTGGCATGCGGATCTCCACAACGGACGCTGTACACAATTACGCACGGACCACTGAAACGTGATGTCACCATTAGCACCCAACCGTGGTCCATGCAACTCTTCTTTTTATGCTTATCTCTAATTCTACTCCAGGTTTGCTTCGTGCGACATACGCATGTGCAACACCAAGTTAACATTTTCCCCTTATTGCTGTCTCATCGTGCAGGCTGAGTGAGGTTAGACATCAGCTCTACCCCCACCAGTCCGATCTTCGCATTTGCAAGAGGCTAGGACCTTCGGTACTATCATATGGTTCCCGCTTCCGCTTCCGCCAGCCACCAAAGCTCTCTGCGGGCGGCCCTACGGCGCCTTAGTGCAATCAAAGTAGACAGCAGAAACTCTCCCAGCTGCTCTTTGAGTCTCTCAACAAAGGCTGTCACAATGGGCACACCGTCAGAGAACCCACAGCGTGCCCCATGGCGCGATCTCCTTCATTCTCATCTCGAACAAACACCTGGGTACGAATTCACAATTGCAACAATTGGCTACAATGCCCAACAACGACCTGTACCTCGCCTGCGGACTTGTGGCTGTCGTGGTTTCTTCCCAGAACTCGAGCTTCACCCTCAGGGCCAGGAAGCCATGGATCAACAGGTGGAAGGCGGGGGTAATCCGCCCGTATTCGAAAGTGACATGCTGACATTTACCACCGATGCTCGAATGGACAAGCTTCCTCAACTGGAGTCCTCCGGTCATGCGATTGAGGCTGTGTTCTGGTTGAAAGATCTCATGACTCAATGGCGCATCAAGGGGACAGCATATGCAATTGGCAACCCAAGTGGAGAAGATGCAGAGGAAGAGAAGACATCCCGAACTGAGATAAGAAAAGCATTGAGGGTTAAGGGGGATAATGACGGTGACATTGCAAAATGGACATGGGAGAAGGCTGTCACAAAGTACTTTGCGAACCACTCCCCTATCGCAAGAGGTACGTTGTCTCTACCTCGGCTCTCGCGTGCAGGTGCTTTATTCCTTCATGGATCTTATGCTCATTGAATATCCCTGTCTGCTTGTCATCCCCAGCTCAGGCTCATACTGACTTGGGATCTAGGTTCATTCCGAAACCCTCCCCCTGGACAACCTAGGTCCTCAACTCCTAGCCAACCGGATTTCAAATTGGGTCAAAACGTGTCGGACCTCCATGACCCTGTTGCACGGGCAAATTTCCGAGTAGTCGTCATTCAGCCCGAGGAGGTTGAGCGTTTAGACCTTACTGATCAAGAGAACGGCAAAAGATGGAATTGGACGTTGATTGATGGAAGCAATGGATCTTGGAATGAAACGGAGTTGTGGCCGTGATTCTAGTAATACTGCAAAGGCGTCTCTTTTCTACATATTCTAATAACTTGTATCCAGGTAAGGTGCAATCGGTATGTTTGTTTTGATATTTGCATGATATCTAACTACCTACCTTAGATGGTTCCATCTTGAGATTATAAGTATCTATATCTATAGGCTTCAATAGAATATCTCCAAAAGGTTCAAGCAAGATGCTGGTGGTCTCCATAGGACCTTTGTCTTGAGGAGTGCTGGGTGGCAGAAACCGTTTGGTTTGATACTTCGGTGTTCTGCTTTCTGGCTGTCGCCCACTTAAAAGGACTTTCACTTTTGCACACCTGTCGCAACTCGACCGCAGCGCTCAACTCGGTCACACGCACGACAAATACATTTCATTTCTCGTCTACCCCATATCATTAGCAAAAGTAACTTCCTCAGACCTGATCTCTTCACCCGCCTTATCCCAACATCCGCTGACCACAGACACGTTCAAACAGTGTCTGACTCCGAGATGCCTAACCATAACCCTGCCTGTGCTGACTGTAAAGCCAAGAAGAAGCGGTGCATTCACCGTAACCAACCCGTGAAGGTCGCCGAGGCTGAAGCCATCCCAGCCAGCATGTCTTCCCCATCCGCTCCCGCTGCGGTCCCCACCCCAGCTGCCACTCCTGCCCCCGTCGAGGCTCCTGGTGCTGCCACCCGAGGACGCCGCAAGGCCGCTGAGGCGAAGTCCAAGGTATGTAACATAGACCTGCCTGTGACTGCTTAGTGGCTTTGTCACAAAGCTAACAGATGGATGTAGGAGATGAGTCCCGCCCCCGCCGAGTCCAGCGATGATCTTTCTTCTGTGCCCTCTGAGCCCGAGCAGAAGCCGGTGGTCAAGAAACCCACCAAGCGTACTCGCCGTGCCAAGTCCGCCGCCGTGTCTCAGAAAGCGGCCCCGAACTTCCCCGACGAAAACATTCACGCTGCTTCTACCATGTCCGTGAACCAAGTTTTCGCCAACAAGCTTCGTGACAACCTCCAGGGGCTCCAGGAGCGCATGCGGACTTTCGAGGAAGCTCACCGCGATGTCATGGCCGGCACCCTCCAGGTCCTCCAGGAGAGCGTGGAGACCCTCGACGAAGCTCACCGCGACGTCCAGGCCTCTGGCCAGACTATCCTGAACACTGTTGAGGGCTGGATCCAGTCTTGGGCCCGGTCTGGTCGTTAAACATTCTCAACGTCTATCATCGCACCTTCCCAACGTCTTGGTCAGGGTTTCTTTGGCTCTCATGCGTTCGGGATGGATATTTGCGGTCGGTTGAGATGTTATTTGGTGGAGTTCTACAGAGTACTGGTTTTCATCTGAGAAGGAAATGTTTCGGTCCCTGATATGGGACGTGCTTGACCGGGATTTTTCACGTGGCTTGAAGCCACGTGAGCCTGGTCGGCACCCATGGATTGGTTTGTTTTGTTTTCGAGCAACGGTGTTCCTGGCGTTCCTGGCCACCTACTTAATCCATGGATTTTTCGAAGTCGAGTCGTTCCCCTGTAAGCGTCAACCCCCATAATTTGACATGTAGACTGCGTATTTGTAGCCTATAATGATTTTAGCCCAATGTTGGACACTAGAGTTCCCAGCAAGATTTGTGTATGTCACATGTTAAGCCTAGACCTAGAGACTTCAGTTTTTATATGTTGTAAAATATTATTTGAGAAGAGTCGGGGACTAATATGAGAACAGGGAAGTACGCAGTACTATACTCCGTACTCTATGCATTTACATTTTTAGCGAATGTGCAGAGCAAGTTTACAATACTGGATTTACACCGATCAGCCAACCACCTATCAGTGGGTCCCCCGGCCTCCAACCACGGACTCTCCCGGGTCTTCCGCGGGAGGGATCGTCCGGTTCCCAATAGTCCCAGAGTCTCAAATGTTTCCAAGGTTGGTATTTGGTTTTCACAGTACACCGTATTTTCGTATTTTCGTATCCCCGTATTCCCCGTGATCCCCAAGTCCCCGGTTTTTGGTCCCCAAAAGGAACAAGCGGCCGTTACGTGTCAAACCTCTCCTTTAGGAAAGGTACCCGTGTGTTGATGTCTGTACAGGGTTCTTTTTGTCAAATTAGAGTGTTTTGCTGTTCGGCCTGGTCTGGTTCAACAGTCTCCAAGGAATATCCTGTCTTTCCTGTCTTTCGGTTGCCGGGAAACTCGACTTTCCGAAGAATGGGTGGCTTGGATGCAGTGGTTCTCTGATCAGGATCTTCTGTCACACTGATTATCATAAAAGTTTTGGACTCCATGCAAGACTTGTTACGTCCAATGGTCAACTGCAACATACATACTCCGTACTGCGTAGAGCAAGCTAAGTAGTGGTGTTGTACGAAGTACTCCATCCATTTAGTCCCCTAGGACAACACTACTCTTTAGCCTGCATAAACTGACACTGACACATGCAGCAAATCCTCCCTCACCGCTCCTCAAGTGATTTCTGATCCAAGCGATCCAATCACCTACAATTCAGTAAGAACAGAAGTTGCTGCAGTTGGCCCTAGAAGGGGTGCAGGATTCCGACTATCAAATACAAAGTACATCACACAGGGGTGTCTTTTCCATACCGAAACCGCCTAGCCCCATATAAATTTTTTTACAAATTGGTAGGCCCACAAAACAAAGTAATTACCATACTGGTACCATACCAGTCCTATTCTTCGATTTCTCGATTCCCATTCTTTTCTTTCCCTTCACTTCCCCTCTCCAGACTCTCTGCTTCACCGTTACTTGCATTTTTAACTGCAGATCATATCCAACGCACAACTTATCATTGAGGGGCTACTAAAGAAACCCTTCTCTTCCACTCCCGCACCGCGATCTACCTTCTCCGTGGCGCAACTTTGTCTCTCCGCAAACACTTACGATTCCGGTGGAACTCACGATTTATGACGAAACGAACACCAGAAGCACCTACTCCAATATAATACTTTGACCGTCGATTCCTTTGATTTCCAGCTGTGAAAGTGTGACGAGCCCAGGGGATCCAACAATCGAATATTTGTTATCACGGCCATGGCATCAATGGATGCTCTAGGGGCCTTCACCCACATGAAAGACAACCTCCCTGCATGGATCAATCGCGTTTCAGAGCTTGCTACACACACCCACAAGAAACACGGTGAATACTCAGAAGCCTACCGACGTCACGCAAACTTCAAGCCCCGCCGGCGGAAAAACAGCTCTGTTTGCTCCATTCATACCGATGACCTCGTTCCAATCGCACAAAGAAAGGGTCCCAGCCCAGAACCTGTGGCAGTTGAGACACCACAGGATGCGTCTGAGCAAGGTCAACGTTCAGGTCGCAAGCGCACTACAGATGAGGCCCCGTCAGTCGAGTCCAATGAAGAATACAACACGTTGGTAAGCACACGGCACAATGTCATCATTGAGTATGATGGCCATACGCAGCAGACGCTTGAGGCAATCGTACGTGATATAGGAGTGGCCAGGAACAACATCAGGCGGGGGCAGATGGCATTGATGCCGCGTACAGGGCTTCGCGCGGGCCTGTTGAGCAAAGGCATGAATATGCCAAGTGGACTGGGACAGACAGGGCCACTCTCTTGTGTTCGCAGCACCCGGACCACCGCTGGACTTGTCGGTGTCTCTGGGACTAGCGCACTTCGGAAAGACTCGCCTTTTGACTTTGCAGACAAGCAACTGGAACTTGCCCACTCGCTTTGCGAGACGGCAGCTTATCAGGTCCTTCGATCTGGCGACTGTGGAACGGAACTGGACGGGGTGGAGGAGAAGTTCAAGATGCTACTCGAGGCGGCTATCAACGAAGTCGACCGTATCATGGCCGAAAAGAAGCAGCAAGAAGAGCACGAGCAAAAACAGCAAGAAGGGACGGCAGAAGAAGGGCCTCCCAAACCGCCCCCTACCCCATCCGCGGCGCGACTCGCAAGGGTTGCTGCTATTGCTGCGAGCAAGCCCTCAATGGCGGCAGGCACCATTGAAGTCGATGATAACTCGTCTCTCTCGGCTGAGTCGATTGACCTATCTGCATTCCGATCCCGGATGCGAGCGTAAACACTGGCAACAGCCACCACTTGACCGTCATATTAGCGATTTAGCGTGTGTTGAAACCCTTCCAGCAAAACCATTACAGCCAGTTGATACCTTTGATCTGTTGAGACCATTTCTTTCTCTCTGATTGGCCTTTTCCTTTTTGCCTTTCTGCATCTTTGATTGCCATCTGATTTGCAGTTATGGGGGCGCGCATACCAATTACACCATTCGTTCCCTTGTTTGCGATCGATATTTTACTCCTTCTTACTGTCTTTGAGCAAATTTTTTTCAATATTGCCGTTGTTTGGGGTACATATCTCCTGTCTGTCTCTTGCATCAGCTCATGACTCATTCCCAAGGGAGCACGGCGTTGGAATCGGCGTTTTTATTATTATTTTACCTGCTTCTATCCCTGGCCCATTTGAGTTATCTTGGCCTCTCAGCGTTCATTACCTTGATCCATTCTCAGTACATATTTATGGGCAGGAATTTGACTTTTGTGGATTTTTCAGCTCCATTGTCAGGCTTGCATGCATATAGGATCCTCTACAACATCCAACATACAATCAAATAACTGTACTTTGTACAACATATATTGAAGATGCAACAGCGACATTCCATGACCCATTCAGTCGCGTTCCGCCAATTAATGTGAAGTATACAAATGAATTTAAATTGCCTCGATTTCCCTGTAATAATCCTAGACATAGGGAGTACTCCGAATGCAGCTATGACCCAATGCATGACCGTTGCCATCCCCTGCCTACGGGAAGAGAACTGGATGATTCGCCAAGCCAAGTCGCCACTCTCCATATTGTGGGGTCCGGGAGCCATTGATACCCAACCTTGGAACTCTGTCCCAATTAAGTAAACAGTCTGGTAATAGAGGTAATAATAGAGTACGGAGATTACAAGTGGACCTTGGAAAACTTCAACTCTTTGTCCAATATTATGTTATGCTCTAACAGATGGAGTATCACCCGTGTCCACGGGTCCACGGGTGGGCTCATTGTTTAGATCAGTGTTTCCCACCTCGGCACATGGGCACGTTCGGTCTCCACGAGGGTTGAGGCGGCAACTTACTATGTTCCACATTCAAAGTTGCCTTCAAGGATGTGCACAGTTTGCATGCATGGCATATGCTGCGGAGCATGAAATACAAAGGACATTATGCGACACGTTAAAGGTACTTCGTGCGTAGCGCGGTAAAGCCTTATTATTCTTTGAAGTACAAAGTACGCATGGCAATGTACGAATCTTTCTACATGCATTTTTTAGAGGCAATTCAACTAAGACATGCTCCATGTTGTACTCCGTGCATGCTATATTGTACTAAAAAGGAAAGACTTTAATCTAGTTTTCGGTGTGTGCGTGGACATGATATAACATGCATATGGTCTAGACACATTCATGGATGCAGCTGAAATAATAATATTATAAGGAGTACGGAGGACAAAGTGTGTGGCTCCCACCTGTCAGGATGCAAGTGCAGGGATGTTGCTTCTCGAATATACGAAAGTACGGAGTACAGCGTAACTAAAATATATCTTTGAATACATATGTACAAGTCTGTATCCTATTCTTTCCTTCTCATTCCATAGACATCGAGAGCCTCTATCACTAAGCCTCCCGTAGGGGACAGTGTCTCACTTTGAGCATGGGCTCTAAAGATATTGGATACAATTCAAATCTAGTTGAAGTTTAACATACATTACGATGCTTAACATCAAAGGCAGTCTGCTTTCTCGTTGATATTAATACATACAGTACAGTACATCAATACTCCGTATTAAGCCCCCGCCCGTCTCCTTGCCGATCAATTCGCTGTCAACTTCGCTTTTGGGCGCGGATAATTATTCCACTTGTTTTTTTCGCGGGACAGAAGTACCAACATACAATGCAGGAGAGAGGGGGTTAAAGGAGAATGATACGGTAGAATTGATTTCAGGTGAGGTTATGCTGTGCAAAATACGACATACTATATATATATATATACGCACACATACAGAAATGTGCCTTACCACTTTAATAGGAGATTCTATCACACATTTTCAGTCTTCATCTCAGAAATAAACCAAAGTAAGCACAATTACCAGCGAAATTTTCGTATTTGCAATTTATATTATCATCCCCACCCCCACTAGCCAGAATTGACAGGTGCCAAAGAACATAGTAAGCCAAGCAAGCCACCGCGGGATCTTACCGGAGGGCGCCAATTAGTCCCGGAAGACAAGGATCTCTTCGATGAATTTGACGGCAGCCCTTCCTCTAATTATTACTTAGTGCTGAGCTCACAAGGATGGATGCGAACTAAGGCGCATACCCTATATTAAACTCCTGCCCTCCTTGGAAAGGTCGCAGGATTCTCCTAGCGTGCTAGCAGGGAAGATTCTTCTCATTTCCATTATTACAATGGTTTCAGGGGGATAATGGTACTTCTGGATGTGATATCTAAATTGTGGCGTAATGAAATCTTTGTGTCTCTGTACACGGTGTCATGATACACAGCATAACCCTTTTGTGCGGGTATTTGATTGTTAAAAGGTAAAACCCACTCCAAACAAGCTTGGGGAAGAGGGTGTTTCGGGTTGAATTAAATACGACAGCATATATTGTAGAACAAGTTGTATCAATAACCTCGGTCTCGACAAAAGTACCTACATGTCACATGCACACGTACTCGGTACTATTGCAAAGTACAAAAGAACATGAATCGTATTTATAACTGGGGTGGTCATGATGTATGATATAGCACAATAAACTCGAGGATGTCTCGTACAGTCATGTTTCATGAGTATTTGCACCCCAGTACTTCCGAAGCCACTTATTTTCTGCCAGAAGAATTTTGCTTCCACTCATATCTAATCGTACTACGCGTGTGGGGTCTATACCTATAGTAATAGGGAGGCGGTATAAATAGGGCGGTCAACTATCGAAGTATTGGGGTGCAAATACCCATGAAACGCCTTTGTAAATACAACATAGAGGGTCAGCTAATTTTATTGACCGACTACTCAATACAATGACTACATCGCCTATCCAGTGGATTGCAGTAGCCCGAGAAATCATCTGATATAAAGAGTATAGGAGAATATATGTCATGCAGTTGAAGGACAACCTCACTAAGGTACATACATATATAGGCTTTCCTATAAAGTTAGGAGATTGAAGCTTAATAGTTAAACTCCTAGCATTAGCTATTCTAGGAAGAATCTAGGCAAAGATTTTTAGTTCAACTATGTTATTGAATCATGGGCCAACCATGCCAAGGTGATCGTAGGAGTAGTTAGTACCTTCCCAGGATTGCTATAGGAATTTAGAATTTTGTATATTATACATTCCGATGGCATATATGTAGCTTTCAGGCAATAACTGTGCAAAATCTATTTTGTCTAGCAGGCAAAAACACCATCAATTGTTCAAAGTATAATTCAAGTCATTAAAAAAAAGAATTGTTTTCAAAAATATTGAAGAAACTTGATGCATTGACGGGGAATCGAACCCCGGCCACTACTTATCAACTCAAAGATTGAGACTGGAAGAGTAGTATTCTACCACTGAACTACCAAAGCTTTTTTTGTTGTTATCGTTGCCTTATAACGAACTGTGACTTCTGAGGATTTGAATCATATCTAGGACGTTGTTGGAGGATATGAATAACCACCTCCCTTCCTATACCCGTCATGACCACCAACATGGCTGGAGTGTGGAGTATAGCCGTTCTAGGGCATCCAATTCAGGAGGCCCCACGTAGTTCGCACTGAGACCATTGACAACGCCGATTCCTCTTCAAAATGACCGGAATCTCTAATTACTCACTCGTACGAAGGAGGTTATAGTGGATTGGTGGTGCGGAAGGCCAAAATTTGATATAGGAGACAGGGCAGATGCTGAAGGTTGGATGTATAGGGGATCTGTACTCTGTGAAAACGCTTGATTCTCACAATGTTCTGTTAAATGAAACCGAATATTTGCATAGTGTACATAACTAGAAAGGTTTTAGGAAGCACTGTCATGTTGATTAAAGGTTATAGTTCCGTATAAAATCAAAGAATGAAAGATGCATACATGTAGATAAAGGCATGTACAGGAGACCCGGACTTGCGTCCAAGAAGTGAATTCAGAGAGGTGTAGGAGTGTAATTTCTCAATCTGTATCTGCCTGCTATTTGTAAACCTCTGTAGATAAATGATTAAACAAAACTTGCGAAAAAGAAAAGAAAGGATAGGTAGGGCCAATGCGTAGGGAGGACATAGTTCCTACAATATATAGTGAGAACAATGGGGTCGGGTTGCCCTTAGAAGTTTGATGGACGTATTGGAACAGCCGTTCACGGAGTAGATATTAGGGCGCACTTACGACGTGCTTGCGTAGTACATCATCGACTTTGAATTAAAAATACCTTTAGATGCCCCGGAAAGTGAGTCAACACTTGTTGACTTTCTAATGTCCCTCGCTATCATGTGGCTCACTATACCTAGGTATATATTTATTTAGATCAAGGTCTATTGTCATCAGCTTCTCCTTGCCTTCTTGATATACGGCAGGCTTGCCTAGACAGGGTGCAGCCAACATGAACCTAGAAAATCGTACAGCAAGCCGGTCGTTACTTCTTGGCTCAGCTAGCATTGAAACTTCGCTAACATACCCGATAGTCCTATCATACCCTTCCGCTACAATAGTCCCCACAAAGCTCAAGTATTGGAGCATGAGGTGGCAACGCGACAAGCGTATCATCAGAGAATGTGCGCTGATCTCGCTGATAATATAACTGTTGTGTCCGCTCATGACAAGTGTGGCTTGTCTTGATCTTTTGGCTAAGATGATAGCTCCAAGATCTCTTTTTATATGTCTCTTTTTGGATGTCGTTGCCTTCTCATAGATCCCGAGAGACCGACTTTCCCACCCTGAGGACTGCGTGTACCAAGGAAAAAAGCCATGGAAGTCAGTCTACTCGAGGAGCCCAACTTCGCTGCCTACTATGGAATTGAACACCGGTCATGATCCCCAGAATAGGACAGAAATGAACAGCATTGGAAGGATTGAATATATTTTGACATATTTGAATTCAGTATCATTCATGTCCTATCAAACATAAGACGCAACTAAACGGATATCATCACTCATAACCCCCGACTCCTTCTATTTAACCCATTGAAAATGCTCAACGTAGCCCAGCCCTGAAATACAGACAGTATGAAATAAGAAAAGGAACATAATCAAGTGACAAAAACCACAATCTCGTCTCACATCTCCTCGAACGCACAATCCGGATGCATGACGAAAAGGATCTTTCCGTCATTTTGCTGGGCGTTCTCAGTTCCATCTGTGAGACCAGACCCGGAAATACGCAGCAGAATTTTGTCCTATAGAATAACTTTGTTAGTGACATGTACTTGGTGGAATATATAGATATTGCCGTAGCAAAGGAAGAGAGACTAACCTTGACCATGCGTTTCAAGACCTTGCCTGCCAACTCGCGCTCGCGCTCATAATCCTCTTCGGTGTTGAGTTCACCCTCAATTTGCTCCAAGTACCAAAGTACAAGATCTTCTTGTTCGACACCTTCACCCGAGTTCACCTCGTCCTCGTGTACCCGCCTGACGATCTGGTTCAGGATTTTGGCGTACTTGTCATAAGTGATCTTGGTCTTCTGGCGTTCCGGCTGGGCAGGAGCTTGAGCAGGCTCTGCGACGTCGCGCATAGGGCTGTCACCCTCGTTGTCGCCATCGGCCATCTCCTGGTCCTCGTCGGCGTCGTTGGTGCGACTAGGCACATCATCTTCAATCTCAACATCATCTTTCTCAACAGTCACGATACTCTGACGAAGAAGATCGTATGCCTCGATGACGAACTTAGGAATGACCTCCTCGACACAGTTGGCCTTGGCGACAGCCTCGGACAAACGGATCAAAGATTCGAGCTGACGAACGGTGATACGGTATGAAGAGCGGCCCACACCTCCCTGGGCGTCATTGGAGCGCAGCTCCTTGTATTTCTCGACCAGCAGTGCCTTCGCCTCGTCAGTGAAGACGGGGCGGAATGTGCGTGCGAACCGGATGTAGCGCTGCAGTTGTTCTGTGCTCAGCTCGGGCTCAACAGCCTCATCGCGGTTCATATGCACGTTGACAATGTGCTCGGCTAAACTGCGGTCAACAGACTCCTTTGGATCATCACGGATAACAAAGAACACATCGAAACGACTCATAATGGGAGCGCTGAAGTTCAAGTTGTTCCGAAGGGTTTGTTTCGGGTCGTAGCGACCATTCACGGGGTTGGCGGCAGCCAAGATGGATGCACGAGCATTGAGAGTAGTATGGATACCAGCCTTGGCAATAGAGATTGTCTGCTGTTCCATGGCTTCGTGAATAGCGACCTGATCGGCGATATCCATTTTGTCGAACTCGTCGATGGCACAAATACCACCACCGTTCTATAAGGGAAACGTCAGCAATGGAGCCACACTCAATTGGAGCCAGATTTGGAACATACCGCAAGCATCAGTGCACCAGCTTCAATGGTGAATTCGCCTGTCTCGGGGTCCTTCACAACTGAAGCGGTCAAACCCGCCGCCGAAGAGGCTTTACCACTGGTGTATACTGCACGAGGGTGCAGTGAGCAGACATATCTGAGGAACCATGTCAGCAACTAATATGTATGTGGGAGAAGTTGGCAAAACTTACTTCAAGAACTGACTCTTACTGGTCGACGGATCACCAACAATACAGATGTTGATATCACCACGAAGCTTCATGCTCTCAATCGAAGTCGACTTGCTGACACCACCAATCAACTGCAAAAGCAGACCTTTCTTGATTTGACGATGACCCCAGATCATGGGGGCAATCGAGTCCACAAGCCGGGAGTAAATATATTCGGAGTGTACTAGTCGCTTGAGATCCTGGACTTCAGCCGGGGTAAGACTTTGCAGGAAAGCTTCTTGGGCTGATTCATCCCCAATATCAGCCTCCTGGTTCTGGTTCAAGGAAGCCAGGATATTATTGGACTGGCCACTCAGCTGCTGCTCCGGCTTCTGGCCAGGAGTCGTTGTGTCTGGGGTAACCATGCAAGAAAGGAAGGCCAATCGGTAAGTCAGATCGCGCACGCCCAGCGACTTCAATCCAGAGACTCCGCTACCACCGACCTCGTTACCCCGGAAGGAATTGTTATCGCGGACGGCCTCGGGGCGCACACCGGGCAGACCCAATTGACTGACATCAGGAACGACAATCAAGGTTCCTGTAAAGACACAACGTTCGCCGGCCTTGGCGCGATCTACCATCTCACCACGCAAGATGACGTCCATTGTGCGAGGCATACTACCAGTCGGGATTTCGTGCGACGATTCCTGGAGCTTGACCTTTTGCCAATCGACAAATGTACTCTTTCCGATATCGAGGCGCCATCCCACGCGGTTGCCGCATGTATTATTGGGGCACTCTGTCGGCTCCGTATACTTGAAAGTCTGTTCAACATTTGGGACGACAGTCTTACAACCTTCACAGATAAAAGTTCCCAGAGACAATTCTGGTCTAACTTCTGAAGTTCTCGTCACAGTCCCAGAGACGGAAAGCAATTTTCCGATCTGATTCGTCCGAAGTTGTCGCAGTCTGGAAACCAAAGGCAGGTTGTAAAATGCGAGGGCAAACAATTTGTCGGTTTGCTGATGGCGAGTCTTCTCGCGGATCTGACGCTCGAGGTCGGGGTTATCTGAAACACCCGCATACGCTGAGGCAACCGAGGTGCTGGCTCGCGAAGAGGCGCTGGCAGTCATTCGATGGGAGACGAAGTATTCTGGTTCGTACTTGGCGATGAGATTGTGCAGTCCCTTAGTAAGGAAGGGTTGGAATCGGTAATATTGGCCGGCAATGGCATCTGCCAAGACGGGATTAAGGATGTGTGTGAAATCAACGTAGAGAGTTGAGAGCTCGAATTTCTTCATCCCCTTGATCTGAGCAATATAATACTTGTCGCTAAGAAACTCTCCTGATGAAGGCGGTGCAGAAGACGAGGGTTCATCGATGTATGACTCAAGCAGCTCTTCAAATGCCTGCTGCACTTTCTCTGCCGCCTCGTCGACCACCGGTGGGGGCCCAGGGGCATATGGATTCCGCATACGGCTGACTGCCGAGCTTCCCGCTCCGACGACTTGGTCATCTGGGAAAGCATTCATATCACTCATAGGGCCATTGCTTTCGGAACGTCGGGAGCTGGGCAAATTGTCGGATCGGAGGTTTTGATCACGAGAAGGCGCAGAGCCCAGCTCGGACTGGATCACGGCGTCGAAAAGGGAAGACATGATAAGAGGACTAATGGCCTGAAAATGGCCAGGGCAGTGAAAAGGGTATTAAGCTTTCACGTCTCAAGGAGGGGGAAAAAAGGGAATGTGGAGAGATGATATCGTAGACTCAGTTTGCTATCTTAGTTTTTCGTGGGTCTCCTTCGCGGGTCTCCTTGGGCAACTAAGGCGCGACGCGAACGCGTATTCGGAATAATAGTTGATCCTGCGCCGACGCGTTAAGTGGTTTCCTTATGTAATTATACACGCTAACCCATGTAGGCAATAGGTCCTCTTCATCTTCACAGCATTTTGCAGCAAAGTAACTTTTGAGTGCTCTGCTTAGCGCCCCCACTTCCGCTCATATGGGGCACACAAATGTCAGCTCTTAGATTTTTTTACGGTGACCTGGCTGTTGAATTTAAAACCACAAGCTTGGAAAGTACGTTCATCTTATATAATTATACCTATGATCAAAGGGCAAATAGGGTAGCATATCCTTTAAAAACTGCAGGGTTGGTCAAGTCTGGTCAGTCTGGTCAGTTTGGCCCGAATTATTTGTCAGTTCTAATAATATAAGAGTCATAATTTTAAGTGGGCTTCTGCTTGAGGGTCACGGTCTTGTATTCTTATTTGTCACTCGTTGAGTAAAGGGGGTCTTGCCCAGGTGATTTGATATATCTCAAATCCCGGGTACTACTTCGCATTCCGGAGTACGACGTAATATATATTTGAAAAAGAAATACCCATGTACTCTGTAAATCCGAGGTTATTTCACAAGTGCACGAGTACGTTTATGAACAAAATATTAAGCCTTTAAGAGAATAATTACCTTTATAAGAGGGATTGAGGATACTGAAGGTAGATTCTTGGCAGAGAGTCAACTGGTCATTATTAAACTTCCAAGGTTGAGTTTAACGCTGCCGTGCCGGTTTCTCCATTTGGGTAAATGGTTGATGCTTGGCGCTTATATAACAGCTTCTCCTCCCCGGGGTGCCCGCACTCGAAGCACCTGAACCCTTATTATTCCCTCCCGGGAAATATAATTCCCACTCTGGTATTGCCTCGTAAGTTAGACTGTTTCTGTGCTAGCGCGACTCTCCTTTCTTCCGCACATTCTCCGTGACCCTCTGACACTATCATCACATAGGACTTGTGTGTCTTGCGATGGTTTCTCCCAAATCCCGAGTCCTTGGCTGGAGGAACCTTGGTGACCATCGGCTGATTATGCAGTTTTGACTGCCTCATCGTGTTGACAAAGGATATCTATGTGTTCGCTGCTCGACATGTCCGAGAACGAACAACGGTTAGTGACGACACTGACCAGGCCCAGTGGTGTCGGCCCGTCTGACACGGATGCATCGGGTACCCGCCCCCCGCCTTGACAAGCTAACCTCTCAACTTGCATGCACAAATCAGCTAAAGCTTTACATACAGTACCATCTGCCTCTGGCCAAGGCCATCAAACTGCCAAACCCGGAAGGCGACGGCGCGCCGCCGAATCGACAAACAAACCTCCCAAGAACCAACACTTCTACTTTGTTGATCAGAACTCGTCATCCAAAGAAAAGCGCGCTCATGTTATGCGCCACCATGTACAGGAAAAAAGGAAACAGCGCAAAATGTCACATGCGACACCTCCCAGAGACCATATCCCAGATTATACCTCATATCCGGCAAAGAAAGAGGCAGGAGCTGCCGAACAGAGTCGATTGGAAACGCCCTCGACAGCTGCGCAAAACTTCCCCAACAGGGAAACTTCGGTATGGGAATCCCTTTCCTCTTGTCAAGTATCTAGACTACAGCCAAGGCTGGAATATCTAGGTGTAGGCTTAGCTGCAAAGGATCATGGATCTAGATGCTAACGCTATGGTGCGTTGCAGCTTCAAATCAGATTCTCAAACATGAAACCGCAACCTCATACCCCCGTGCTACCACACATTGGCTCGCCAATCACTATACTCGATGCTTCGCGAAGGGATCCGTTCGCCAGTCTCCCAATCGAATACGACAGTATGGATGTTGAATTGGCTGACTATTGGAGGAACAAGTTGTCATACTGGTCCGGACAAAACCTTCACGTGAAAAACCAGATTTTCCGTACGGCTATGGGACACCCTCTTTCATTCAAGGCAGTAGTCCTGTCATACTGTGCGCGGTGGAAGGCACAACTGTACGGCATCTCTGACAGCACCGAAATTCAACGTCATGTTGGTCAAGCTACGAAACTCATCGATGACGCTACCTCAGGCTCGGCGCTAGTCAAAGCGGATGATCTTGCAATGGCCTTGGGTGGAATGGCCTTGCACGAAGGGCGTTTCGGGAGCAAGCAACTGGCCCAGGTATATATTGACCGTGCGGTCCAGGTCATGCGACCGCGAACCGGAACCAATAGGCCCGTGGAAGTATTTATCCACTACATCCGATACCTGATGATGCCAGAAGGCCCCGAGATCAGCTTGACTGAGCAGCAATGGCTGCTCACTTTTCTGCACGGAGCCGAAGACCTCATGCGGCAACACAGCTCCCCCGAATACCTCCTCCAAGCACCTCATAGGCTCAAGGTTTTCCAGATGGAAAGCCCTCTATTTTCCTTGCTGTCTAGTGGACCGCGGCCCTCCCAAGTGCCGCACGAGTCACGTGTATACGTCGTTCGCGGTGCGCATACCCAAGAAGTCACCCGAACGGCGGCGCTCATTTATATTACGGCTGCACTGTGGGATTTCCAGGAGTCCCCAAGTAAGACCGACCGGTTCCTTCACTTTTTATCTGCTACGGCGAAACAGCACCATCTTGATCGGGATCCAGCTTGCGAAACCCTTCTGTGGTTACTGCTGGAGGAAGGATACGATTCCGATTTACAAGACCCCGAACGTGGATGGTCCACTGGCGAGCTGGTCAAGGCGCACAAACGGCTACGGCCTGACCTCCAATTCCAGTTCAATGAGATTCTAATGAGTTTCTTATCTTTTCAGACACCTATTCGCGGGGTCGCTGCATTTGAAGAAGAGCTTCGAAGTAGTTCACATAGTTCTCAATAATTTTTTTTTTTTTTTAATTCACCTCAACCCAGCTACTACGGAGTACAACTAATGATATCAACACACAACTCAGGTACGGTTAGAATATCTTGGCAGTCCTAGAGGACCCGGGAACCAGGATAAGTCTAAGCGTCATTGAGTTCACCGCAGTGGAGACTAAGGGGGAACCTGGGAAGCTCTAGGGCTCTTTGCCCCTCTGTTCCAGATTTCCAGACAATTTGATATTCTCTGTATGGTAGTAGTATATCGATGTAGGGGGAAAAGAAAATGGAAAAATGAAAAACTTTTTTCTTCTTCAGATGTTGCCACACTTGCCAAAGGAAAATCGGGTCTCCATGAGTCCCAAGCGCATGCGTAACGCCGAGGTATCTCCACAGCAAAACCGACCCGACGCTAAACCAAATACAGTGTACCACCCGTCGACTTATCGTCACCACATCCATCTACTCTGTGTCCACCGCGACTTGTGAGATCGATCGTCATACAATTTGCTGGCCTGTGACTAGCGTTACAACGTATGTTGTAGGTAAACTATGTGTATATTCAATGTGCAGTCCTTGTTCACTTCATCACTTATTTTGAAACTAATTTTCGTATTAAAGTGCGATGTAGTGTTCTTACGGCGTAGTAAATGCAGCTCGCTTGTTGTCTAGGGGCGCAGCTGAGGTTTCAAGCTGTGAGAATGTCAACCCGTTCGCTAATTTTGCCTACGATATGGATACTCTGGAGTACTAAATTCGAGTCGCGAAGGGGGTTTCATGCCAATCTTGGCTCCACTGAACACAAAGATCTGGGTCAATCAATAGTGCAACCCACTTAGCCTTAGCGCTCTCTGTGGCGACAAATCCCGATATACCAAGAGTTACGTATTGGATCCAGCTCAGATATGAGATTATAATTTGACGATCGCTTTGTGACTGAGCGTCCTGGGCATGCAATAACACGAACCGTAATCATGTCAATAGCCGATACGAGTAAACAAAGCAAAAAGTGAAAAAGCAAAAAAAAAAAAAAGCCCCTAACACTCACACAAAAGATAACCCATGTGCTTTGTGACTCTGACCGGGTGGAGACGCAAATAACATACCCCTGGATTCTTTAAGGGCAGACAGATAAATTCTCTGGGACTTGCTCCAATTCCGAATATGTGCGACCGAGGATTCTATACGGAGTACAGTGTACGAAGTATTCCCGAGAAGTTTGTTTTGTCTCACAGCATCCCTTGCGCAGTAGCATAATTGATAACCACCCCTGTTAACTGAGCGTCATGATCGTCATCGAAGTACCTACGGTAGCTCATTTAGGTTGTACAACACAGAGATGTGTGGCTGAGGGTTGTGGCGGACTTCTCCGTGTAGGGAAAAATTAATTAAATCCATGGTTTAAAAAGAACCTATCCCATATGATTCAGCCACAGAATGGGGCCACGGGGGTCATTTGATTACGACGAACGAGAGGATCTTTGGTCGCATCTCAACCATTGTGGGAAGAAGTTTGGATCGCCCACTTACCACCCATGGATTGACTGGCGCTAGATGTGATATTTAGGTTCAATTGCAGGAGGAAAATGAGGAAAAGAATTATTAGAATAATAAAATAGCAAAATCACCAAAATAACTCGAAAATATAATCTAAGATGATCCAATTACATTGGTAGATCGCAGATCTTAGCCCCTCTTCTCCCTGCTGCCCATGGGTCCTTACCCAAACTTTAAGCTTCTCTCGTCCACGGGTTTTTCTTCCCTTATTTTTCTCACACATTTGGGGAGACTTAAACCCACCTCCCCTCCCCTCCCCTCCTCGACTCTTTACACGCGTGATTTTAATCGCATTTTGGACCTTTTGATACCATTGCGAATAACCTTCACAATGGGCAACGATGCCGTTCACTGGCAGGTTGCCAGGCAGGCGGTAAGCTCTCTTGCACTCCTAAGTAGGTAGCTGGTTCTTTACTAATGATACTATGTTGTAGAGCGAGAAGCCGCAGGACAGTTCGCCGACACTGTCTGGTCTGCTCACCACCCTAATCCCCGCCCTCATCTCCTTCGTTGTGATGGTGTTGCTCTTCATCATCCTGCGTAAGAGCAACCGCAGAATGTACATGCCCCGAACCTACATTGGATACCTCCGTCCCTGGCAACGCACCCCCGACTCTCCGACCGGATTCTGGAACTGGATCCAGGCCATGTATCAGCTACCCGATACCTACGTCCTGCAGCATCACTCAATGGATGCCTACCTCATGCTTCGTTTCCTCAAACTGTGCTCCGTCATGCTATTCGTGGGCTGCTGTATCACTTTCCCCATTTTGTGGCCCGTCAATGCCACAGCTGGTGGTGGAAAGAGCCAACTGAACATGCTGAGCATTTCGAATATCAGCGACACTCAATACGGTCGTTACTACGCGCATTGCTTCGTCGCCTGGATTTTCGTCGGCTTCATCTTCTTCATGATTACCCGCGAGCACCTGTTCTATATTAACCTGCGCCAGGCGTACCTTTTCTCACCCGCCTACGCTAGCCGCATCTCGTCTCGCACCGTCTTGTTCACGGCCGTTACTGATGACCTCCTGAACAAGGACAAGCTTCACACCATGTTCGGCCGCGACAAGGTCAAGAATGTCTGGATCGCAACTGATACCAAGGAACTCGAGGAGAAGGTCAAGGAGCGTGATGCTGCTGCGATGAAGCTCGAGGGTGCCGAGACCAAGCTGATCATGCTTGCTAACAAGGCGCGCAGCAAGGCTCTTAAGAAGCAGGGCTCGGCTGAGAACCCCGAGACTGACATTGGAAATGGTCAGTTTGATGATGAGTCTGGCTCCGTCGCTGCTCGTTGGGTGGAGGCTAAGAACCGCCCCACCCACCGTCTCAAGATGCTTATTGGCAAGAAGGTCGACACTATCAACTGGGCGCGTTCCGAAATCGAGCGTCTGTCTCCCGAAATCGAGGAGTTGCAGGCCAAGCACCGTGCTGGGGAAACCAAGCTAGTCTCCTCTGTCTTTGTCGAGTTCTACAACCAGTCTGATGCCCAGGCTTCCTTCCAGTCTGTGGCCCACAACCTCCCCTTGCACATGAGCCCTCGCTACATTGGTTTAGACCCTACTCAGGTTATCTGGTCCAACCTCCGCATTAAGTGGTGGGAACGCCTCGGTCGTTACGCTGCTACCATGGCCTTTGTGTGCGCCATGATCATCTTCTGGGCCATCCCTACTGCAGTTGTTGGTGCCATCTCCAACATTGACTCTTTGACCAAGATCGTTCCTTTCCTGAAGTTCATCGACAGCGTTCCGTCGTGGATTAAGGGTGTTATTACCGGTCTTCTGCCCACTGTCTTGATGGCTGTCCTCATGGCGCTGGTGCCTATCATCCTTCGCCTGATGGCCAAGTTGGGCGGTGCTCCTAGTACCCCCGCCGTTGAATTGACTGTCCAGAACTGGTTCTTCGCTTTCCAGGTTGTTCAGGTCTTCTTGGTGGTTACCGTTGCCTCATCGGCCACCAGTGTCGTCAGTGATATCATTGACAACCCCTCCTCGGCCGCCTCTCTGTTAGCCGAGAAGATCCCTACCGCGTCCAATTTCTACATCTCCTACATCATCCTACAGGGATTGTCTTTCAGCGCCGGTGCTCTTCTCCAGATTGTTGGCCTGATCCTTGGCAAGATCCTCGGCAAGTTGCTGGACAGCACCCCTCGCAAGATGTACACTCGTTGGTCAAGCTTGGCTGGTCTCGGATGGGGCACTGTCTACCCTACATTCACGTTGTTGACCGTTGTCGGTACGTCAAACTCATAGCCTATTTATTTGATTATGATACTAACTTTGTTATAGCAATCGTCTACTCTTGCATTGCGCCGCTTGTGATGGGCTTCGGTACCATTGGTCTTTACTTGTTCTACTTCGCCTACCGGTATAACCTGTTGTACGTGTCCAATGCAACCATCGACACCCAGGGTAGATGCTACACTCGTGGTCTGCAACAGCTCACCGTTGGCTGTTACCTGTCCATGGTTTGTCTGATTGGTCTGTTCGCCATTGGCTCCGGTGCCAACAGAATGGCACTCGGTCCCCTGATCCTGATGATCATCTTCTTGGTCTTTGTCATTCTGTTCCACCTCGCGATGAACACCGCCATGGAGCCCCTTCTCAACTTCTTGCCCAAGAACCTCGAGGCCGAGGAGGAGGCTCTGCTCGCTGCCGAGAAGGCCAACGTCGGTACTATGAACGAGAAGTCCAAGACCGAGGACCTGACCGGCGCCAGCGGATCCATCTCGGCACCCCGCGACAGCGGCGTCGCCAACGTGGACAACGGCCTCGGCAACGTCGACTCTGCCGAGAAGGGTCTCACCGGTACCTCATCGCCAGCACCTAAGCCCAACGTGTTCACCAAGTTCCTCCGTCCGGACCTGTACCACAACTACCATCAGATGCGCAAGCTAGTCCCCAGCTCCTCTGAGATCCCCACTTACTCCGCCGAGGTCGAGCGTGACGCCTACTGCCACCCGGCCATCACCTCGCAGGCCCCTCTTCTCTGGGTTCCCCGCGACCCTATCGGAGTCAGCGCCCAGGAAGTCGCGCACACCTCGCGTGTCATCCCTATCACGGACGAGGACGCCTATCTCGACGAGAAGTGCAAGATCCAGTGGAACGTGGAGAAGGGCCAGCCCCCCATCTACGAGGAGAAGGTTGCTTACTAAACGCCTTCTTTACATGTTCGACCTCGACCTAGTTTCCGTTCGCGTTCTAGTCGATGATTTGTCTCACCGGCTGGTGAATGCACCCTGTTCATATGCCTTGCATATAGACATGCCACCGCTGACCCGGTTTATTCTGTGATACCCGGCCAGTTAGTCCATGTGACTGGCTGGCTCTACCCCGGGCATTTTCTTATGTTTGTCCATCTAAGATTGGTCTGGAGCTTCTACAACTCCTGGGCCTTTCGCTTTCCTTTTCTATAATCTTTAAAGTAATCACTCGGTGCTTTTCCACGCTTCATGTCGATAATGTGTGTTGCGAGGTTTTTGGCCACGAAATTGGAGATTTTGACCATGCTTTATACGATGCTTGTTTTAGAGTATTTATTGCATGATGTATTATATTCACCCGGCCACTTTTCGTTAGGGCTATGAATGATATGGATAATTTTTCCTCTTTTATCTCTTGTTCCTCTTAGCCTTCGTGCAACTAAACATAGAAAAGGGCGTCTCTTTAGCTATATCGGGCTTGTCTTGGCATCCCTCAACACATACCCGGGTAATCTGGTCATGTTTCCATGATTGAGCTGCTACATTTGGTGAGAATGGATTGAGAGTCCCGCTGAAGATGGAATATATTTGTGGCTGGAGGTGGAGAGCTGGCTGGTCTTTGTGCAGTAGAGGACGTCAGCCATCGCGTACTCTCGTGGCATTCAATGCTTCAAGAATAAGGTATGGTGCAAATGCCAATTACAGGTATATAGACTATCCAGTAGTAAATTCACAGACGAGTTTGAATTGCTATAAGTACATGAGGGGAGGGTATCATAAGAGAGGAGATCAGCACAATACTACTACTAGGTAAACCACCAATCACCAGCGATCGTCCACAGGTTCAAACAGATCGTTCTCAGCTTCAGGCTCGGGAGGCATCTCCACAATTTTGACGCCGCGCCTCCTAACAGTGCCATAGATATGCTCGCAGGCGATGCGAGCCTGGTAGAGGACATTTGCAGGCGCAGGAACCACGCGCTTCCGATACCGACCTTCCTTTTCTTCATGATGCAAGTCAAGGACAAAAGCGAGACGCTGCAATTGCGGCAGAAAATCCTTCGATTCAAATGCGCGTAGCCAGGCGGACCAGTGCTCGGATTGACACAAAGAAGCCGGACCACGGAAGAATAGGGTTGTCAGATTGGGTGGGAGGATCTCGTGTAGGGTCGGAAGATATGATGGATCATTGAACACATCACCAACCGTCAAGTTCAGCGTCTTCAAATTCGCCAACTGCGGCAGTATGAACCGGAATAGTCCCTCGTCGAGATAAATAAAATCCAATCCGCTCGTAGAGCGGATACGGAGTGTTTGGAGGTTATTCAGCAAATGGGGCTGATCCATCGTCAGACGACAAAAAGTATCAACCGCATCGTTCTCGAAGATCTCCAGTGTGTGCAGGTTGATCTGATCAGGAGTGGGTACGTTCTCGGGGTCTGACTTTCCGTCAAGATCCGAGTGGAGCTTGTTCATATGCCTGCAGACCAGACCCGGCATATAGATCACCTCGAGCCGTTTCTCCTCCGGCATCCCCTGATTGTGCGTAATATATTCCGCTTCTATTTCTCCACGCTTCACTTGTTCCTTGTGTTCGCGCAACAGCTCCGAATTCGTTGAGCCGGCGAAGCGAAGCCCACCAGTGAGAAGCAGACTCAGATGAGCGACTCGCCCCTGGAGGATGAAGGGACTCTGCACGAGCTGGCCACATGCTGACCGTAGCTCGAGACGCCGAAGAGGCCAGTGTTGCGGAATATGTTTATCGTTAAGGTCTTCGTTGAACCCACTGTCAAGCTCGAGATTCTCCACGTGGGAGAAATGAGCACTTAGGAGTGCCCACTCCTTGTCGGAGGGAGTGTCTTCATCAAGACGGAGGTACTTTGTGTTCCTTTGTATAGATTGTAGCTGGTCTTGAAGATGGGTCTCATGGTCGGGCCCGGCTTCCTCGTTGGGCCCCTGGATCTTCACGGTCACCGGCGAGTGGGGCATGGGTGGGACGGGCCGGTCGATCGAGGTGTAGACGGAGGCGTGGATTGGACTGTAGACGACCTTATCGGCACCCGGAAGATCGAACGGTGATGTTGCAAAGGATGCAGTGAAGACTGAGGGTTTGATGATTCTTGGTCGCGACCGCAAGACTAGTCTAAACATCTGGAAGTGAGCCCTTGGCTGCTGGGGAACCACAATCAATGCAATGCTTCCCAGGGGCATAGATAGCCGGATGTATGAATTGTATGAATTGTTCGAACTGTTTACACCCTGAACACCTTGAATGACTCCGTTCCCTGGAATTTGCAAAAGAGTCCGGTGTTTGTGTTTACTCCGGATAAACCGCGTACTACGGTAGTGTATAGCCGCCAGTGCGCCATATGGTGTTTTTCTATATTAAAATTTGACTGTCATACCCCCGATTTACTATTACCTACAAATTCTAGTGATTAATCCCTACAATAGCAACTTCTATAGGGTCAATTTATATAATGGTGGTCCTTTTTAGTGGTCCTTTTTAGTAGACTTCTTAGGTAGGCCTTTTAATATCTAGTCATGTAGATATTTTCTACCCGTCTCAATTTACTAGGTAGATAGTACAGGAAAGGGCTAAAAAAGGCTTCATTTATAAAGAGAGCATTTCTGTATATGACCTTGGATATCTTAACTTCTACAATATCTCAAATTCCTATAGTGTCAATTTTATCAATTTTTATCTCTATAGTCAATAACACACACGAATACTAGTTTTATAAAATGTTCTAGCAGAATATGATATGGCGCACTGGTGGCTTCACAGGCCACGCAAGTGATATACTGAATACTAGAGAACTGAATAGCCCAGGGTGAGGTAGAATCCATTGCTCAGATAGTAACGTACCCGGGCATAAGCTTAGATATTTTCGCATGTATCTATATAATTGCCTTCGATATAAAACTATTATCCTATCCGATCTCCCCGGGAGGTCTAGCATACGACATATATGAAAGTATCAAGGGAAGACGATCTATATAAGGAATATAACTTATTATATGACATATACCCATATATATCTTCATATATATCTCCTATAGCTGACTATCCAGACTCCTTCATGCAAAATCAAACACCAGGCTTCATTTCCCGGCTTTGTCTTAGCATCTCTGCCTCCATCTTCACCACTTAACCAAGTTCGAGCATTTCAATCATCTTTGGGCTTCGAGATATCTATCCCTACTCTTCTCGTCTACTCATTTCGTCTACTCTCCTCATTCTCCTTTAGCCTTTCTTCAGATGTTCTTCCTACACCTTGAACATCCCCTGCTTGTCTCTATCTTCACCTTCACCATTCCTTACCCAGTACCTCTCTGCTTTGTGGTCACCTCCTCTTTTTCGTTCACTCTCTGTTCATTCACTCTATTTATCAAACCTTCTCCATATATGCTCCTCGATTCTTCGACTCTTGATCTCTAACCCATTCTTTGTTTTAACCACTCTTTTCACCACCGTTCAAAATATCTCCCTCATATCAACCTCCGGGGTCCCTCCTTTGCTCTGCATTGCTGCATTGATCTCTTGCTTCTTCTCGGAGCCTCTTCACCCGACTGTCCCTTCGTCCTCGATTCCTAATTCCACACACACACACACAAAGTTCTCTACTCAACCTTGTTCACTCAACTTTGCTCACTCAACCTCCTGCTTGCCTCACCCCGATCCATCCTGCAGCTTCAACATGCAAAGTCGAGTCAAAATGGATCAATCAATTGAAAATTTCACGAACTTCCTCGAGGAGGTACCAGACGAGACGCCAAGTGCTGTCAACGACGTGCAGGTAAAATCCGAGTCAGCGGATTTGCCTAAGGAACCCGAGGAGGACTCGCTGGATGGACCAGACTTGGAAGATTCTGATGATGACGCACAGTCTGGCGATGACGAGAGCTCTGCCAACGCTGAAGGCTCTTCTGGCGAGGATTTTGAAGCCACCCCAGGAAATTCCGACAATGACAGCGAGTGGTCGCCACAGAAAACAAAGATGGGGCCCTCAAGCAAGCCCAGCAAGCAAAGACAGAAGGAAAAACCCTCAACCTCATCAAGCTTGAACGCCACAGTCAAGTCTTTGATGAAATGCGACATACTGAGCGCGAATGGGAATGAAAATGATATGCAGCAATTTGCCCCTGTGTCCACGCTTAGGAACAAGGCGGAAGCGCTCGCCGAGGAGGTCGCAAAGCTCTCGATTGACGACCAACCGCAAGCTAAGAAGGACGCTGCAGCACTGATTGAGGCCTCGAAGAAGTTCGATCCTTCGGCCAAAATTTTCGACATGAACTGGAAAGTTGAGGGTCTGAAGACGTTGCTGAAACACCATCAGGTTCGAGATCTATCAAACTCAATTTGTGATATGTGACTAACCACTGAAAAAAGCTCAAGGCCGCTGCTTGGATGTTCAATCGCGAACGTTCAGAGGTGGAGCCTAATGGAGGCTTGCTCTGCGACGAGATGGGCCTGGGAAAACAGTGACAGTTCTCGGTAAAAATGAAGAACATACGGCCATCCCGCAAAGTCAGAAGCTTACCTTTTTTCTAAGCAATTCTCGCACATGAAAGAATTTCATCTCGTCGAAAAGCCCCGACGCTGATCATTGTTCCCAGGAGCTTGGTTACACAGTGGTATGTCTCATTTTGTCGACTCAAGAATAATGGATGTCTTCATTAACTCGACTGTTATAGGCTCGAACAAATCAAGCTGCATTGTGCGGAAAAAATAAGCAAAGACGTTCTCGAGCATTACGCCGGTGCACGAACGGGCCAGCGTGATGTTGCGAAGGTGATGCGAAAAACGCTTATCGTGTAAGGCAAATTTCGATTCAAGCTGGTTACTAACCATCCATGGATATAAAACACGCTTGCTGACCTTATAGGATTACCACATATGAGGAGGTCTGCGGTTCGCATCCGAAGTTGAAGCCTCCAGTAACGCTCAAGTCTCCCGAAGAGATTGAGGCCTGGAAGGAAAAGGAATACAAACGCAGAGCTGGACCTTTCCATAAGGTTGACTGGCACCGGATTATCCTTGATGAAGCTCACGCCATCAAAAACAAAGATTGTGCGACCTCTATCGCCGTTCGAGCCTTGCGCGGCAAATTCAAATGGGCTGTCAGCGGGACACCTTTGCACAAGTAAGCACTAGCTCCTATATATATAGCAAGCTTCAAAATCACCTGAAATTCTTCGTGCTGACTGTATGCTTTAGTGGCGTGGAAGAACTTTACCCATATCTGCATTTCATCTTTACATCGGAAAGGATGGAATACGAGACTTTCTTGAAAAAATACTCCAATGGTTTGGATAAAGTCCTTGAAACCGTGCTGCACCGCAGTACATACAGCACTCGGATACTTGGCAAGCCGATCGTCACGCTCCCAGGGATCAACAATCGAGTGGTGGAGGTCGAACTTTGCCAAGCTGAAAAGCTTCTTTACAGGGAGATTCAAGATCTTGGCATTGCAATGATCAATGGGTTGGCTGGTACGAAACAAAAACAAAGCAAATGCATCTTCGCCGTGATAACAATTCTGAGAATGTTCGTGAGCCATCCACTCCTCGCCGAAAAGACTCTCGAAGCCGTGCTCGATCAACGTGTGATCGGAGAGCTTAAAGCCATGGCAGAAGCAGAAGGTGTGGCCGAAACTCCATCAGGAATCATCATCGACTTGATCCTCGCTGTCGGAGACAAGGTTCCTTCCCGGCCAAGGCCTCCAGGGGACTTTCCCAAGCTTCTTGAACTATTTCACAATCATCTCATGCACATCCGTCAACAAGATGGAATGTTTGAAAAGTTTCTGCGTATGAATTGCCCTCGTTGCGAGAATCTCGTAACGGAGGAAGAGCCATTCGTTGTTACCTCTTGTCTACACGTTTACTGCAAAGGCTGCTTTGATGAACTGCCCGGCCAAGATGGAAAAACCGACACCATCACCTATGTCTGCACCTCATGCAAAACATCCATTGAGGAGGCCGGATATTCCGACGATTCACCAAAGGACTCACCAAAGAAGGGGTCACCAAAGAAAAGCTCACCAAAGAAGAGAAAGCAGTCCAAGCCGAAGGAAAAGGGCAAGAACGTCTTCAAAAAGCGCCCACAAAAGTCATTCAAAAAGCAAGTTCTACTAAGAGATCCATCAGATGATGAGTGGGATGAGCCCAGTGAGGATGAGGGTGATTGGATTTCGCGTATCGGGGATCGTATGCCATCGGCAAAGACCACAGCCGTTCGGGATATCGTCACGAGTTGGGTAAAAGATGACGAGGAAGTTAAGATCGTCATCTTCGTCCAGTTCCTAAAGACAGTCCAACTTCTTCAGCTAATGTGCGAGAAGGAGGGCTGGAAATACACAGTCGTACGTTAAAATTAGGAGAGCACCGAGTGACACGAAACTAACGACGCCAATACAGATTACAGGGAAGGTATCCCCCATCTCGCGCGACGAACGGATTGAACAATTCAGCAAGGAAAAAGACATCAAGGTCATGATTTCCTCCCTCAGGACTGGCGGCGTTGGTCTCAATTTGACCATGGCTAACAAGTGCATCCTCGTGGATCCTTGGTGGAATGAAGCTATCCAGGACCAGGTAAGGGAGTCAGATTCCGGATTTCAGAGGGATTGAAAGACCATTGGCAAGCTTGTTAACAATGAGTTGCTAGGCCTACTGTCGGCTGTACCGCATTGGACAACCACGTCCAGTGGAATACGTCCAACTTGTGGCAAAGGTATCCATTGACTTGTGGATGATGAGTTTGCAGGACGAAAAGACCCGCAACATCCATCAGCTGTTCAGCAAGGAGGCACTAAAGGAGATACTCGGTGTCTCCGAGGACGTCAGCGAAGAGCCCAATGGTGGGTTTTTGATTCCCGCTGGAAAGGGAAACAAGCATACCCAGAGCTGGAGACAGGCCGTGGAATCAGGGGTTCTTGACGAGGTGGATCCTTCGGAAGAAGATTAGGGGGGCTATCTGGTGGGCGAAGAAGAAAAGGAAAGAAAAACCAAAAAAAAAAGGATAGGGAAGAACAGGAAATGGGCGCAGAAGCGAAAGAGGTTTATTCTTATTATGGTTGCGCTATGCAGATGGCTTGGCTGGCAGGCACATACACTCATTTAACATTCGGTACTCAGGTCTGTTATTACAGTCAATGCAGTAATACTATCAGTCCGCGACATGCTTCGATCTGTGCTATGCACAACATTGTGCTCGTGCAGGTCTCATATACTTACATAGTCATAATGAGGGCTTTTAAGGCTTTTTGCCCGGCAGAAAATAGCATTGTACCAGGACATGAACCGAATCATTTTCATAAGCATTGCTAAAATTGTTTGATTTAATATAAAACTACTATCTAGATCTCCAGCACCTATTGATATAACAAGGCTGGATATGAAAACTATGTGATGTATGCAGGTTGTGACAGCTATTTATTCTCATCCTTTTAGCTATAGCGAAATATATGACGAAAACATATCCAAGGAAATACATTAAAAGTATAGTTTGAAAGACTGCTAGAAAGACCTCTAAAAGGATCATTGAAAATACATTGAAAATACATTGAAAATACATTGAAAAGACCATTGAAAAGACTACCAAAAAGACTACCTCAACAAACATAAGGCCCAGGTTCGATCTCAAACCCTAAGTGTGGTTATAAAAGGCTGTCATTTCCGCACCTTTCATCTCTCCTCCTTCACATTCCTACAGTGTCGTCCATATTTACCAAAGCCGCACCACTTTCTGTACTCTTTTCGTTTTCTATGTTTCATTCCAAATCCCAGGACGTTGCGGTTACTAAAAGCTTTCGTTTCCTTCGCACCATACGTCCTTCCTTTCTCCTTCTTCATACCCATGTTGCTACGCTGTCGTCTACACTACCAAACCAGGGCCAGTGATCATCTGATTGATTCATTTTCCCAAGTTTTATTTCAAACCCTAGGTGTGGCGGTCACAAGGGCTTTTGCTTCCTTCAATCCATATGTCCATTATCTCTCCTCCTCCATATCCCCGTTGCTACACTATCGTCTGCAATTACCAAACTCAATCCAGTCACCATCTGATTGCTTCCATTACCTGTGTTGCACCTTGAACCCGAGTGGCGCTGGTTATAAAAGGATTGCACTTCCTTTTATACCATTTATCCACCATCTCTCCCCTATTCCCTCGTTGCTACACTACCGAACTTGAGCCAGTCATCACCTGATTCATTCGTCACTCTAGATTATATCTCAAACCCTAGCTGTTGTGGGTATAAAAGGCTTTCCTCTTCTTCACACCATTCATCCTTCATCACTCCTTCACATTCCTGCTGCGACAAGTGTTCTCTACAACAACAGAGCTTACACGAGCTTATACTTTTTTTTTTTCTCATTCTTCAATTACCCCTGCCATACTCTCGTTCTTACTTCCAGCCATGCCTGACACTACCAAAATGCAATCCTCCGCGCAAAGGGAAGCACCCAGTAAGAACAGGGCTCCTGAAATGGATCGATCCCAATTCAAACTGAGCGATGGCCGTCTCACTTTCAGACCCACCGATGGGACTAGCTACGCGTCTCAAGACCCAGTTTATTCAGCACTGCAGAAATTGGGTAATGGGCAACCTTCTTCGGCTGGATTGAATAGTCCGCCGATCAAGAAAGAATTTCCCGATGAGAACGCCCAGCAAATCAAAACCTGGGACAAATTCAAGCCACCGTTGGCCATCAAACAAGAACCCGGAATCAAACAGGAACCAGACATCAAAATGGAACTGCAGGAGTTCAAACATGCTCACCGAGGCCGTCTCGTCATTGACCTTACAGAAGAAGACGATGATTTGTCAACTCCAAAACGTCCAATTCCGGGCCCGGCATTATTGATGGCAATTTACCAGCGCCAGAAGGCTGCAAAAAAACCAATTGAGTCTGTTGAACAACCCGTTGAAAGTTTGTTCGTGCAAGACGACGATTCCTTCTGGCGCTAGCTCGCCAAAGATCAGCGATCCGTTCCTTGAGGCAGACGAGGATGATGTTTCTGGGTAAGTGCCAAGGACAAATCCTCATGACAACGGTGATCTAACGGGCCTAGTTTCAATGAATACCAGAAACAGTTCCAAAGCCTGCAAAACCCCTCCATCGAACAACAAATTGAGTTTGAGAAACGGAGGGAGGAAGAACTACAGCGAAGAAGAAAGGTCAAGAATGACAAGCTCTGTGCCCTCAATGCTCAAGTGGAATCGGGAGAGAGGTCCGATGGCGAGAATATTTCTTCTGGCTTGGAAGGACAGCCTCAACCCAGAGAGTCTCAGCCCCAAGCACAAACTGAGCCATACTCCAAACAGCCTGCTACCGCAAAGCGACCAACTACAAGAGTTTCAAAATTCAAGATCCAAAAGGCCAAACGACTTGGTCTTCTTCAGTTGCTTTCGAAGGAAGGTGCTCGAAAACGTGAGCAGGCCGACGAGACTGAGGCTGAAACAGAACAAGGACCTGGCGCAAAAGGAGCGCAGAAGAAGCCTCGTCCGCCCACAGCATTGTCCAACAAAGAGATACGGAGTATTTTCAGTAACGACGATGGCCACAAAACAGCAAAGGGTCCCTTACCCCCCGGTTTGTCTCGACGGAAAAGAACAAGCAAAAGGCTTTCAGAGAGATGCTTGCAAGCATCCCAGTCGCAGAAAAGGCTGGAGCACGTGCTGACATCTCTATCTTGGACGAAGCGACCCGGACTTTCACTCCATCCGCAAGGTCGGACGGCCAAGGAAAATGGAGGGTGAGAGGGCTGAAAACATCCCTTATGGTGAATCAGGTTTGTGTCACACATTCACTTTTATTAAATGCAGTTCTGACATTCAGAATAGATACTGGCTGCCGCGTGGATGGTGAGTTCGAATTTCTTCCTTCAAACCTCGAACTTACTGACCAATATAGTGCAAACGCGAGACCACATCCAGCAAGCCAAACGGTGGCTTACTATGTGATGTGATGGGCTTTGGCAAGACTCTGTCAGCCCTAGGTAAGAGAAAGAAAAGGGATACTGTGGAAAGACACAGCTAAATATTTCTAGCATGCATCGTGAACCGAAAAGTGCCCTCTGAGCCAGAAGGTCCAACTCTTATTGTCGCCCCGAGAAATTTGATATCCACCTGGTACGGCTTTCCCTTCGGCCATGCCAAGTATTATATTTTGACGCTGAATTTCACAGGATGTCGCAGATTCGCCAGCATTGTGAGACCAGGGCAGCCGGCAGCGTCATTGCACATTGCTCCGGTTCACGCTTGGAAACCGATGACCTCGCCTACTATCTCGCACAACAGGGGATTGTGTAAGTGTCTTAACCAGACACCCTGCAACTTACTAATAATTGCTAGGTTGACAACGTACACGGAAATATCATCCTCCTATCCTAACCTAAAGCCGCCTCCGGGACTCAAGACTGATGCCGCTATCGAAGAATGGTGGGAACAAGAATATGACGGGAAAGCAGGAGTCTTTCATCAAATCAACTGGCACAGGATCATTCTCGATGGTAAGTGATTAGAAATATATACCTAATGAAACCGTGATTAAATACAGTCAACAGAAGGACACATGATCAGGAACAGGAATACCAGAACGTCGATTGCGGTTCGTGCTCTAAGTGGAAACTACAAATGGGCTTTAACCGGAACACCTTTGCACAAGTGAGTACAAGTCTTGTCTAGATAAATCCTAAAAGGAATTCAAGCTGACTTTTGAACATAGCCGCGTTGACGAACTTTACGCTCTATTTGCATTCATCGAGGCGCCCAACAGTGAACCCTACAAGGTTTTCATGCACAACTATTGCAACGTAAGTTTTGCACTTTATCAACAAAATGCAAATGTAGTAATCCTTTGCCAATCTAGGGGACGCCTGTTGCGAAAGAGCGTTTGATCAACATGCTTCGTGCCATCATCCACCGCAAGACCCACGAGAGCCGTCACTTGGGAAGACCCCTTATCGAGCTCAAAAAGTTTGATCTAAAGGAGGTCAAGATTGAATTCTACCCAGTCGAAAGACAGATCTACCACGCAATCGCGGAGAGGTTCCTCGCGAAAGTCAATGGTGAGCCTGCAACCCATCTGAAGTTGTAATACATTGAATTCGCTGCTAAAAAATGCTTCAGTTACTCGAAAGCAAAAGCAGAAGAAGTGCATTTTGACGATGATCCTGAAGCTACAGATGTTCTCCAGTCATCCACTTACCGCAGAAGATTACCTCAAGCGAGTGTGCTATTCCGACAGCGCGCTAGATGCAAAGCTGAAGGGTTGGATAAAAGACGAAACGAGTCCAGGAAAACCATCCCCATCAAGCATAATTGCAAAATGCTGCATTGCAGGGAAATACCAGACTAGTATGCCTGTGGTTCCGTTGAGATCTCGAGCAGCAAGCGAAAGTCTTCGACCACGGCCGGCTGGAAAACTCGAAGACCTCGTTGATAATTTCAAAAAGAAGATCGAAGAATGTAACAAAGCCGGCGCATTCTACGAAGTTGATAATCGGGTATGGTTTTGTCCTGGCTGTCGTGGTCTCCCAGCAAAGGCCATTATCACTGACTGTCAACACCTTTATTGCGAGGAGTGTTTCGACGCACTCGCTGACAAGGAAGGGAACACCGATGGTGTCGCTCGATTGTGCCGCCGTTGCGTGGAGCCTATCAAAACCGCTGCATTCTACGGAATATACGATGACGATGACTTTGACACACCTCAACTGGATGATGCCGAGTCTTCTTCTGTTGGACCGGCCAGCCACCGAAAGCGACCAGCGCCATCAGGTACGAGAATGCCAGAGAATTCTCAAACCAAGAAACGCCGGAAGGGTAAAAAGGATGGGCAGACTTTTACAGAATGGTTGTTGGCCGACGGAAACCCAACATCTAGCGATGATAGCAACGAAGAGGAGAGCCGAGACGAGGTGGAAGATGAAAGCCCTATTGAGGGCGATGTTCCCAATGAGGAAGAGAACGATAAAGGACAAGATTGGATAGCGGCATTCGGGAAATCCATGCCAGGCTCCAAATTCGATGCAATCACGTCTCAAGTGAAAAAGTGGTTCGAAGAAGACAGCACGGCCAAAATCGTGATTTTCACACAGTATGTCAACAGCGCCAAGCTTCTAGGATATCTGTGTAAAGAAAATGGCTGGAGTTACTCTGAGGTAAGGCTTTCCACCGCAATTAACCAACACAGCATATATAACTCGATTTGACCAGATGACGGGCAAAATGGCCAATAGGTCACGGGAAATCCACCTGGACAGGTTCCGGACGGACGATGAATGCAAGATCATGATTGCTTCGATCAAAACGGGTGGTCTAGGTCTTGATTTCTCCGTGGCCAACAAGTGTATCCTGGTTGATCTATGGTGGAACGAGGCTGTCCAAGACCAGGTAAGTGGACGGGCGTGAATCGAGAGTTGGAGATACCAGTTTCCTAACCGAAATGGTAGGCATTCTTACGTCTTTGGCGTCTTGGCCAACAGCGCGATGTCGAATGTATCGTGCTCATGATCAAAGAATCCATTGACGACTGGATGATGGGTACCCAGAAAAGGAAAGCCAAGGATATCAGCGAGGTCATGAGCCAGAGTGTACTCATGGACCGAAACACACTACGAGAATTGCTGGAGATGTTCGGTGAAGTCGATGATGACCCCCAAAAGGGATTCCAGGTCTATTTACCGCCGAAGGATACTTCCAAAAATTCCTCGAAGACAGCCGACAAAGCAAAGGCTGCTAAGAAACGGAGTTAGCTTGCTGCACTCTTCACAGAAGAAGCGAACGAAGAGAAAACAGACGACCAGTCCCGACGGATATAGCAGGACACCAAAAAAAGAATGAAAACCCCAACAAGACCATCAAAAAAAGGAAACATATGGATCATGGCATTCTGCATGGCAGGATGGGTTCGAGATCAGCTGCTTGAGCGCTGAAATGCTCATTTACTTTACTGGGAGGGATGTTTTCCAGGACACTCAGTGTACCTAGGTAATAACAGAAGCGACGCCCGCTTTTTGCTGATCAACATGGATAGTCCCTAATATCACATTAGGCTTACTCGACTTATGCAAATAGGATAAGCTGTACTGGCTGTGTCTACCATATTGGTTGGAAAATAACAGCAAAGATTCATCGGCTATCAATAGACTACTCATACACGCCGTGAATCGTGAAAGCAAATTCGAAGAAAAGAACACAACCTGAAGATTGCAGGTTGTGCAAAACAAAGTCAAGATGTTCGCAAGATAGCGTGGAGATTACGAGGTCATAACAGTGTTAAATCGTGATCTCAGGTCAAGAAGCCGTATGTTCCCAGATTAATGCTCCTGCTCGTGCTCCTGCTCCTGCTCCTGCTCCTGCTCCTGATCATTCTCCTGATCGTTTTCCTGATCGTTTTCCTGATCGTTCTCCTGTTGCACCTGCTGTCCTTGCTGGGGCTCCTCCTCGTTTTCCTCGGAAGTGGCAGAGCGAGTATCTTCGTTGTCCTCGGGAGTCGCAGAGCGACGTTGCTCGTTCTGCTCAACAGGGGTAGGACGATCCTCACGTCGCTGGAAAAGGACGCGGCGAACATCATTCAAGTCGGTACGAGGGCGAAATGGGGTGTCATCACGCACTTGGTAACGGTTAGACCGGATTCTGGCTCGTCCTCGTCGGTGCATCGCCTCATTTTGCTCAATATCCCGCAGCTGGCGGTCGGTCAGACCATTATCTTCCTGACGGACTTGTGTCTCATCGACCCAAAGGGTTCGCAGGACCTGTCGACCACGACGCATGGGAGGCTCAGGGAGCGGGGTGTCCTGAGGCGGGACGAAATCGGACATCTGACGGTGAAGTGGAAGACCGAAGGCATCGCGAGGGCCGGTGGAAGCTTCGTTCCAAGCGAGGTTAGGCATGGTGCTTTCTTCCTCTTCGCCAGAGCTTCCCAAGTCGGACTGAGTAAGGAAAATGTTCTCTTTATCCTCTTCCAGAGGGTTGAGTGGTTGCTCCATAGGGCTGGGATTGGGTGTCTCTTGACCCGGTGGGTCTTCGTAAATGGTGAAGTGGAGGTTCGAGGGACGGTAAGATTCCCAAACGCGCGAGCTGAAGTTGTTCGTTTCACGTGGCGGATCGGGTAGCTCCTCAGTGTCTAGAGGAGGCATCGAATTGAGAAGCTGACGTTTGGCGCGTGGAGAGAGGCCAGACACTTCGGTCCCTAGATTCGGACCAATGAGTTTCTCATCCAATTATTTGGGAGTAAACGGAAGGTGGGATGAATGGGAGTAAACGGAAGATGGGATGAATGGGAGACTTACCAAGCCGGGTCAGGCGAGGGTCATCAGGTGGGGAGGCGCGTGTAAAGGTCAGAGAGTTCCAGTACGCAGCAGACAAGTACCAAGCGGAAGGTCCTACGTCCTTAGGAGACTGATGTTCCTGCGCGTGCGTGGATGCAGTGTGACGCTTGCGCTTCACCCGGGTAGAGCTGGACTCAATGAAAGGGTCCTCGTCAAAGTCGTTTTCCACAGAGGGTAGCACGTATGGAACGGCAGGCTTGGTGCGAACGTGAGCAAGCTATGTGAATGCCGAGAGCAAACGTTAGCTTGACATGCATAATGCGCGGGCGAGGAAAGCGCCGAGACGTTGACTTACCCCATCGTCGTCTACTTCAATCCTCAGCTGCACGTCTGCGGGATCCATCTTGACAGCCTATCCGGCCATTCAATTAGCAAATGCCCTTCGCGATGCGAGTCTTACCATCAGGGATGTCTCCATATAGCCCAATTTGTGTAAATTGTTAATTTTTGAAGAGATATCATACCTTCGAACAAGGTAGGTAGCAATAACTTTGATTCGAACGATCAAGTATTCGCCCTCGCCGGTTGGCTCGAGCGCCTCGACCTGTATTTCGAGTATGTTAGCATGGGATCGAACGACTAAAGACCGGGTTCAATGCGAGGGGATACTTGGCTGTTTAAATCACAATACAACGAAACCTGAAGCTGGATTGTCTGTAGCTGTCCTCGATACTCGGCGGCCTAACCCTGCACACTTTGGCGTACAAGGTTTTTGGGCTGCGTCGGATGACGAGGAAAACAATACAGAATGGAGAGACGGAATTAGTTTATTATTTCTGTGAGGCATCTGGACCTCGTCGTTTGTCGCTTAGTCGTCGACACTTAGTCGTCGTATTTTGTAGCCCTCCCGAGGTCCCTGGAGATGCTGAGTCGTTATAATCCTTATACATAGGCACGCTTAATATGTAATTCATAGTATCTGCAGTTGAGGATTTATTTATTCTATTCCTTTTAGAAAGAATATTTGAAATGTCTTAGTAGATCATATAACTGTGCAATGCTGAATGATATGATCTTATACTTCGCAATGGGGCAAGGTTTGTCACGTGCAGTGCATGCTCACATTCTACAACAGACTGGTTGACTTGTATAGAGTAATCACTGCATCGAATTTGATCATGTCTTTGGAAAGTCTGTTTAAGAAGTCTTGAAGATTGAGCCGAGCCTACATTGACAATGTATCTATCTGTTGTAGTGCATTTACTACCTAGGTAGGCTGACCGTCTTTAAACACATAGGTTTCCGCGCTCTCTTCCCTCCTGATGTGCAATTTACCGACAAGAGATTTGCCGACTGGAGTTTGGCAAGACCATCCAAGTATGTACAACGCACGGAGTAGCGGGACAGACCCCTGAGTGGGCCTGGTGATCGGCATGGCCATTTCTTTAGCTTAAGTGTACTCCAATGAAATCTTTGGTGCAATTGGAGGAGAAGCTCTGAAAAGTAACGAAGGATGTTCAGGCTATATCTACCATCCAAGTCTTAGTCTCCTTGTATTATAGACCTTTAGCACATGTGCATTTATTGAACAAAATAACAGGCGTAATGACTGTCTGTGATTTGCTTGTATAATGCTAACTGAGTTTACAGAGTCAAAAACTATACTAAGGCTAAAGGGTATATAGGATTGCGAGACAAAAGAAAATAATTGTACAGGGCTTGCGCTATTATAGATTTACAGTTTAATATCAACCCTTCGTTCTTCAATATAATAGGTATAATAGAAAACGGCCAGACTGTATTTAAGCAACTGGCAAGTAGAGAATCGGTTCCCGAGACTCTGGTCACCGCCGTCGCCACAAGGTGGCTTGTGTGCTTCTCCTCATCCAACCTCTTTTCCATAACCCACCCAACGCTGCCTGCTTTCTATTCACCATATTTCGCTTGAAATATTCCATTCCCATATCCTCTTTTATTCCTCTATCCGGCTTTGTTACTCCAACCAATGAACCGGTCATCACTGTGAAGAAGACCACACACACACACACACACAACCTCACAGACCGAGCCGCCATGGCGCGACGGTACGAGATCGACGAGCTGATATGGCTCCGCGGCTCGCCCCTTGTCGCAAAGCCTCCTGGCCTGCCTCCGATTGAAGAGTGGATGTACAGTGGCTCCAATCCTTACAATTCTTCGGCTGTCCCGCACCGCCAACCTCCAAGACTGACCGTAACCTCTAGGCCTCAACCTGACCCGACAACCACACAACGCAAACCCCATGGCACCCGTGATGCCAACAATCCGACTGAGACTGGCACAAACAGAAGGCCCAGCTTTTTTGAAGCCAAACATATCTCGCGGGGATCTAATTCTGGTATTATTATCTCCCTTTCTGTGGATCATCAAGTATCCCGATAGATCTGCCATGGAAGCACTTACTAATTTGGATTTCTTCTGTTTCCAGAGGACATTGTACTCGGCCCCCCGAAAACCGCCTTCGCCTCATCTCGCATCGGCGGCAAAGGCTCGTTGGATCTGACAGATCGACCAGCGGCGCGGCCCAATGATTCGGATGAAACGAAGAACGACCGATTCAATTTCAGAGACAGGTTGTTTAAGGACCGCGATGCCCCGGATAAAGAGTTAGATAGACGGGATGCCAAGTCAGGGCCATTGGCTGGCCGGCGTGGTGAGCGAGAAGACTGGAATGCTGGGCGCCCACGTCGCACATTTGGCCCGGATGAGCAGGAGCGTAAGCCCAGACGAAACGGCGAATTTGACAGATGGGAAAACAAAGAAGGACCCCGCGATTCCAATGCTGAACGAATTCCCCGCGACAAAGATGGCCGATTCCCCACCCGGAAAGAAGGACAGCCCCCACGGTCCAAATATGAAGGAAGCTGGTTCCGCGATGAACATGCCCCAGAGGGTGCTGATGCTGATGACGACAAACCGCCGTTGCGCAACCGAGAATGGCGCCAAAACCAGACCCGACACGGCACCGAGCGCGAGTGGAACCGCGGCGCCAAATTTGAACAAGAACCTGAATGGCTGGATGCCAATGACCGAGACGAACCACGACGAGTACACACCCAGGAGGATTTTGAACGCTGGAAAGAGCGTATGAAGGCTGGATCGGGACCATCCGCACAAACCCCGGCACATGCCGAGGAGAAGAGAGAAACACACGTTGAAGAGCAAAAGCCGGAGACCCGTCGTACTGATGGTGAGATCTTCAGCAATTCCGGTGCTCAGTTCATGTCCGACGAATCGATGGAACGATTCTTTGGGCTCCTGGGTGATTCCAAGGCTCAGCCCCAGACCCCAGAAGTCAGTACTCCTATGGCTGCCGATCCAGTCGCTAAAAAGGAACCCTCCCCCTTTCCCGGAAAGACCGGAAAGTCATCTCGTTTTGCAGGTCTCTTTAGCCCCATGCCAGAGAGCCCTGCCAAAGAGCCCGAGCCGATGCCTTATTTCAGTGCCCCACCCCAGTCCCAGCAATATCAACAGCCCCAGTCGGCGTCTGAGAGTATGCCTTTTCCATCCCACAATGCGGACCAAGAAGGATTCCAGCGCATTCTGCAGATGCTTGGTGGACAACGCTCGGAGAATTCTACGCCTCACGAAATGGGTTTGGCCCAGCAGCAACGGAGTATGCCCATGATGCACGCTGAGCAGCAACATGCCGCACTATCTCTGTCATCCCCTTCCAGGGAACCCCCCTCACCGATCTGATTATATGGGCGCTGGCCCCGAGAACCCCATGGCCCAAGTTGGCCCCAAGGATCCCCAGGCGCTGGAGAGGGCGCACTTGCTTCGTTTGATGCAGCAAGTCCGAGTCGGTCCACCGTCTGCGGGTCATCTATCCCAGCAGTCTCCCAACCCGGGTATTGCCCCTCCTCCAGGTCTGATGCCAGAAGGCATGCCACGCCCTCCGCCAGGGCTTTCTGCCCAAAAGACGCCGACTTTCCTCGATGACCCAGCAATTGCAAACATGCAGCGACCAGACAGCGAGCACCTCCGCCGGCGACCCGCTAATGGTCCGCCTATGGGATTCTTTGACGATATGACATTCCCCCAGGGTAATCAAGGTCCTATGACTCCGGGTGGCTCGCGGCCTCCTCAAGGCGCAAACCAGCCTCCCATGCCGCTTCAACGACCCCCCAGGCCTCGAGCATCTTCCACCTCCTGGATGGACCGGCCAGCCTGTCCCGCAGCAGGGAAATGTACCAAGCCCTATGGGCCCTCCTGGAATAACCACCCCGGGCCGCGGCATGAACCCCAACTTCCCTCCTGGCATGCTTCCTATGCCTGGCAACGCGCCTGCGATGAACGAGCGTCAAGGATTCCCTCGCGGCCTGCCTCCAGGCATGATGCCACCTCCGGGTTATATGAATGGTCCTCCCCCCGGGCTTCCCTCCTATGCCACCCAACCCCGAGGCTATGATGGGACTAGGTCCCGGTGGCCAGGGGCCCTTTGGACCTGGCAATCCTGGTCCACAGGGTCCTCCCCCCTCATCTAGACACCTCCTGGAGATGTTCGGCCAGTCCAACGGCGGCGATTCCCGCGGCGGCATGGTCGGTCCCGGCCAGTTCAGATAAACGGAAAATATTGGAAAAGGATTTCTATCGCCTCGATTACATTTACGCACCATTTACCACTGCCCAATGACCATTTATGATTATTTACGCAAGCTTGGTGAAGCCGATGTACAGGGGCTCGTGGTTCTCGTTTTTCATTTTCCTTCCACCCAGAAGATCCTATGGCAGTGTCGCACATCCTCGCGAAGAGAACAAAATACCCATTTTCTTGTTTGTTTTTCCTTCCCTCGATGTATTTGCTCATGCCCCTTTTCGGCAAATGATGACCGTGTTCAATAATTGCCCCTACGCCTCCACGTTTGAGCCTTTGCTGCGTTGGCTTTCTGGTGTGATCTTGCTGGATCTATTACCGGGCTTTTTCTTTGCCTCCCCCCTTCATATTTTCCTGGTGTTCTTGAAATCTTTCAAGGGGTGATGCGTCCATGCTGGGTCTTCTGGTGATGGATTTGATGAGTATAGTCTTGACGACTATGACTGGGGGTTGACAATATGTGTCGATAAGGTGGTGGATGGATGGTCTTCAACTATGACTTTATTGGGTCGCTGATCTTCGCTGGTTACCGGTAGATCCATTGTTTCCATAGATAGCTGACCAGCCTTAATTTATCCATCACTTTATTCGAGAATCTGGTCCTCGTAGGAATTTTACAGATTCAATATATGAACGGCCGATACGTAATATGTCTGATCGTACATGGTGTTTCAAACCAGTGAAAACTGGTGTCCACGACGTCTTAACTCCCTTACATGCAAAGATGCATCTACTCTAGCATACTAGAAGAACATAAAAGTCTGAGAAGGGAGTATATTAGCCATTAGGTCCAAAACCGCTGTACCCCTATAAGTGTCCAGCAGCCTGGGAAATTCCCACTAGAGACTGTCCAGGCCACTCCGTGTGTTTTGGGTAAATGTTTGCTGTTCATGACATCGTTACTCTTGAGTCCATATGTATGTATTTATGCGATTAATCCCCAATGGTTTGATATCGTACTATTCCACTGCCGATTCCAGAGCTTCTTTTGCAATATTTATTCCTATGAGTTCTCTGTAGGAGACTTACACTAGATTGCCAAATTCCTATCATTACATAGCATTGTGCACAATACAACCCTTACACCTTCAGCACACTTTATTGCGTTAGGCGGATGGTTGCTCTTCCGCGTCTTCATAGTGGCCATTGCTGTAAGAACGTTCGGTCTCTCTTTATATATGTCCTTATTTAATAAAGAAATAGCAAGAAATTAGCTTTATAAAAGAAAAAAAGTGATGAATTTCATTTAAAGACATGGAGGATTGTTTGTTGAAAACAATGAGCCAGACACGATGCATGTTTCCATACGTTGAGTCACAAAGCTGCACTGGCATATCGGGAAAGATACAATAGCCAGTCAAAATAGCGTCATCTTCTGTTACGAGAGGAGAATCTCAAGATAACACAATGATAGTTTCACCCACAGGCTAGATCTTTGACCATCGCAAGAGCACAGCAGCGATGATCACGGGCAATACGCTAATTAGCTCACCCAGTCCCGCATACTCGGGCGGAATCCTGGCATTCACAAAGGCCCCAGCCGCAAGAAGCACGGCAAATGTGTTGTAGACAAAACTCCAAACGAAGTTGAATTTGATTCGTCTCACAGAGACCTTGCTAGCATTCATCATGGTGAGAAGGCCAGACAGATCTGGACGCATAAGCACGACATCGGCTGCAGATTTGGCCACATCGCTGCCTTCGTTCATGTGAACGCCGATCGTTGCTTGCGCAAGCGCCACGGCGTCGTTGGTGCCATCACCGCAAAATATGACAATCGGCGCCTTACCATGCGAAGAATTACTCAGGAGTCTTTTGATGTAGACCTGTTTATCTGCCGGAGAGCTGCGGGCATGAACGTTGCCTTCGGGGATTCGTAACATTGTGGCCACGTTTTGCACGGCGGCTTCGTCATCGCCCGATACCACATGAACCGATACGCCGCGTCTCTGCAAAGACTCGACCACGTGAGTTGCATCAGATCGGAGAGAGTCCTCGAGACCGAAGACTGCAAGTAGCACACCGTCGATGGTGAAGCAGAACGCCGTATAGCCTTGTGTAAGCACCGGCTGCACCAGGGGGTGGGTGGAAACCCCCAGCCAGCGAGAATTCCCAGCTTGGAGCCTTTGACCAGCTAGGTTCGCTTCCACGCCTCGGCCAGTCAAGCTTTTGACGTCAGGCACAGCTGTTGCAACAACCCCCTTTTGCTGAAGACGATTACTAACAGCCACCGAAACCGGGTGCTTGCTGTCGCCGACCAGGCCTAAAAGAATCGACAGACAGGATTCTCCGTTTCCAACGTGGTGCTCAACAGCTACGCTGAGCTTTCCTTGGGTCAGGGTTCCTGTCTTGTCAAGGACCACGTGAGAGGCTCTGTGGGAAACTTCGATAGAATGTGCGGACTTGAATATCACGCCTCGCTCCGCCGCAATGCCGCTGCAGATTACAACCACCATCGGGACGGCGAGACCAATGGCACAAGGGCAGGAGACTATAAGCACCGTGATGGCGTAGGTGACAGCCTGGACGGTTGCTTCGGATCCAGTCTTGCCTTGCATTGCTATGCCAACAGCCACCCAAATGACAAATGTAATGATAGTCAAGCCCACAATGACTGGAACAAAATAGGAAGCCACATTGTCGGCAAGTTCTTGGATCTTTGGCTTAGAGAGTTTGGCTTCATCGACCATGGCGGCGATAGTGTTAATGGCGTTGTCACCTGGAAGGCGAGTTAGCCTGACAAATAGAATTCCTGAGCCGTTGATTGTTCCTGCAATGACACGCGATTTGGGATTCTTTTCGACAGGTCGGGACTCTCCAGTGAGCATCGACTCATTCACTTCGGATGACCCAGATGAAACAGTTCCATCAGTTGGGATTCTCATATCGGGGAGGACCTTAAGCGTGTCTCCGTATTGCAGCAACCTGACGTCGATTTCCCGTGCCTCGGAGGAGTTTGATTCGTCCACAAGAAGGGCGGTTTGGGCCTGAAGTGACCGAATGGATATTGACTCAACCGCCTTTTGTCGGGCAAGCGTGGCGATATATCGTCCGAACATGATCAATGTAACCAGAAGTGTGCTTGTCTCGAAGAACTGGCCAGTAGAAAGAGGTTTACCAGCAACGAGAAAGCCGAAAGAGACGACAGAGAAAATGAATGCTGCGCTGGTACTCAACACGATAAGAAGATCCATCTCAATGACTCGCGAGAAGACAAGAGCCTTCAAAGCTTTGGGGTAGAAAGGCCCTGCTATCACAACCTGAATGATAGTAGCCAACGCCAGTGAGGCAGAACTATAGGCGATTTCTCTCTCGGGGATGGGAGCCCATGCCATCACTAAGACTGGGATCGTGAGGACTGCAGATAAGAGAGTCATGAGCCCGGAATGGCGGACATGCTTGCTTCCAGCGGCGAGTGCTGGGTCACCACAGATGGGCGCAAGATTTGCTATCTCACTCCAGTGTTTTTCAATGAGATCTCGTGCACCAACCACTTCTGGATCAAAGGAAACGCGAACAGTACAATTCTCCACAAGGGATATGTCAGTCACGCCTTCTGGCCAAGCCTGGTTGACGATTGAAAATGGATCCCCAGAAACAATGATATCCATAGTTGACCCATTACTGGTGATGGTCTCGCATTTGAACTCTGTAGTACGCTCCAAGTGCTTGATAACAAAGTCCACAGTTGAGAGATTGAGGTCCAAGTCAAATTCAGCTCGAGAGAGAACTAGACTGGTCTTCAAGTTCTTAACACCTGTTACTGTCGCGAGCGTTCTGTTGAGTTTCGTCTCACAGCCAGTGCAAGTCATACCAGATATCGAGAGAACCACATGCTCGACGCCTATGGCTTGGCTCTCCAGGTCACGGGCAATGCTAACAAGCCCACTCTTCTTCTCTTTGGGCAAGGATGGCCTTTTGGAGGTGCAGCAAATATCAGCACAGGAATCATCCGCTGACTCGATTTTCCGTTCGTCTGCTTCAGAGACACAGGGACCGGTCAATCTGTCGCTGAATGTGCTAATATTGGGTTTGCAGCAACCTTTGCTGGCACATTTTTCAATACCACGCGCATTTCTATTCTTTCGGCCCTGGTTGGTACGACGAAGCAGGGATTGACTGGTAGACGTGCCACTTGCGCAGCGAGACCCAATCGAACCGAGCGAAGAAGACTGCTTCAAGGCTCCTTCAGAGCACCGCGCCTTCTCCGGCGACGAGCCCTTTCGAGGCTCACAGCATGAGTCTTTGCCAAGGGCAACAAGAGCACGGCAGATACATCCGAGTGCTGTAAGCTTAGCAGAATATTGCTCTCTAACCGAGCGACGATGACGGTCGCAAGCTCCACGCTTGAGCGTTGCAGCTTCCTGTGTGGATGTCGAAGGGAAAGCTACATCGTATCAAAATCAGTAGAGTAATGTGACAGTAAGGCTTTCCATTTAACATACACTGTCCAGCTGCTTCCATGCAAGGGGTGTTGGACCCAGTATCGCACTCACGTAAAGCCAGACGGTCGAGGCAGGTCTCATTACAGCAGGGCGAAGACTTGCCCTCGCAGCACTCTGCTACAATAGGTTCAGCGGAAGTAGCAGGTTCGCTCGACCGTGGGGTACCGGAGCTGGCATGTGTGGGAGTGTAGCCTGAAGAAACACTGCAGTTTAATACCCCAGCTTCGGTGGTAGCACTTTCTGCACAACAAGCTTCCTTGGAAGCAGAAGAACCAAGGGAAGGGACACTCTTTATACCAACAGCCTCGGCAGACTGGTCGCCGCAGCAGCCTCCCTCGCAAGCCCCGGGCGGAGCCTTACCCTTGCTGGTCTCAGTAGGCTCCTCACACCAGGGGTCTGCAATTTTGGCGGATGATGTTGTATTGCTGCTGCCGTTGTTTTGAGCAGCGCCGTTCTCACGAAAGTTCTCTTGACCGGATATCTCCGACGATGTACCGCCATTGCAGTTGACAGAGGTATCTGGGTTTTTTACCTCTGCTTTGTCAATTGCATCTGCTTGAGAGGGCGTGCTTCCGCAACAAGAGCGTCCCATAGTTGCTGGTTCGATAGTTTGATGTGGAGTCGTGGAGGATTGTGGGGATATCTAGGTCCAGTTGTGGGGGATCACCTGATGTGTAGTTTAGCTTGTTTGCACATCACTCAACTTGTCCCAAGGAGCAAGGAGATCCCAATTTCTCATCCTCCTTCAATCTGCTACTGTGTCATTCCCCTTCTTTCTAGCACTAGATCGCCTCTTAGATCGGAGAATTGAAGCTGAACATTCTGCTAAGAGAGCGAGTATTTCAGGCAGAAAGCAGATATCCAATAATGTCCCATTATAGCTCAGCTAAGTGGTCCAGTGCGGCTGGCCACGCTCCCAGCGACTCAGCTGTACTTAAGTCCATTACTATACGCGGCCAATTCTCAAAAAGCCCTTGGCTTTAAAACAGCGTTAGATTTCGTGTTAGCGTGAGTGTGAGTGACATGGGCTAGCCCACCAGATGCAGAAAGAAAAACAGCCATTTCATTGCTAACCATACCGCGCGGTCATCCTATTCAATCTGTATCTCTTCTCGTGTCAAATTTGTCCATTGTAAAACTAAACCTTCCAATGTATCCTCCATTTCCCTGTTAATAGCCGAGGGCAGTGATATGTCTTCCTTTGCAGTCTTGGGCGTCAGGGTGGCGCCTAGGTTGACCTTGTCATATTCTGTGCTTTTTTCCAATTCACGGTAAGGAGACTTCATTCGACGACACTTATGTCTCGAACCTTCTTCTTCCGATTGTCCATCTCCTCTTGCAGTCTCCCCTACATCAGATACTGCATGACTGATCAAATCTCGATTATAACGAGTGCGAGTGCGGCCACGGGGCGCATCGTCGTCATCAGAGCAAGAGCGGAACCGCTTGCGGCTCACTTCTTCTTTTTCCTCCTTTTTCCTGAACAGTTCGCGCTCCTCAGACCTTCTGCGATCTTTGTGTTGGGAGTATTTGTGTGCGGCATAGCCTAGGCCTGTGGCGCCGAGAGCTGAGGTGATCTCTCGTGGGCGGCTGCGGTCTTCACGATCTGAGCCCGATGGGCTGCTGTAGCGGCCTCCTCCGCGGCTGCGACTGCGACTGCGGTTGCGGGTTGAGCGTCTGCCGCAGGTGTTGGATACGGTATAGGGCACGCCATGGCTGACGGGCTGCCCGTAGTAGTGCTCAGCGGGAATGCTACCTGTGACGGGGTCGTTCCCGTATTCGATCAGGCCGGCTGGGTCGCGGGATGGGTCGGGGTAAAACTGTGATGGAGCGCGGCTGCGAGACCTTGAGCGGTGTTTTCTGCGGCTTATACCGTCCTTCCCATATTTCTGGCTTTTCCTATTCTCGTAGAGGCCTGTGGCAGCAGCAGTAGCAAGTCCGGCACCAACGATTGGAAGAGCCTGTTTGACTCGACTTCTGGAGCGAGACCGTTCACCCTTCCGAGAACGTGAGCGGCTGTGGACCTTTTCATCCAGGCCAGCAATGGCCGCACCGGCCAATCCGGCGCCAGCCATATGCTTGCGGCGCTCAGACATGCTGCGAGCCGAGTCATCCTTTTCTCCATCCTTCTCCGAGCGAACCCAGCTGAAAGCCCGAGAACGGGAGCGAGTGCGAGGCCGGCTCTTGCGGTCTCCAGCATTTGACTTGCTGCGTAACGCAGCCAAACCAGCAGCTATGGCCGGGGCGCCGACACCCAGCTCGAGGAGAGTCTTCGCACGCGAGTGAGAGTGAGAGCGGCTACGGCTCCGGCTCGGACCACGGCCATGCCGGCTGTGGCGGTGTAAAGAGTGATCAGATTCGAAGGAATAAGAACGGCGATGGCTCTGACTGCGGCGGTAATAGTCGCGGGCGTGCGACGCAGGATTGACAGCCCATGCACCGATAGCGCCTGCACCAATAGTCTTACTAATGCGGCTGGCCCCGTGGCTGACTTCGCCATCTTTCTTACTGCGGCTGCGGAGAAATTCGGTCGCACCTATATCTGCCAATGCACCCTCCGCCATATAACGGCGGTGATGAGGATGGTCTTCACAGTGGCGGGTTTCCTTCCGGATGTAGGCCATACTGTCATCGCTGCTATAATCCTGGTCCTGATTGCCGCCACGACGACTGGCCTGGGAGATGGAACCACCAGGGTCCAGCTTACGCCGGGAAGGGCGGTCGTATTCGCGGACTCGACGGTGTCGATGGTAGTAGTCCGGGTCCTCTTCGGCGTCAGAATGGCGAACGACATTGTAATCAGATTCGCGAGGCCTGGAATAAGCATCTCGGGCTTCACGAGTAGGTAACGATTGTTCTCGAGTGGTGACAGGTGCAGGGAAACAAGCGTCCCTGAATTTGAAGAACGGGTCATCAAAAATTTGGGTCGCTGCATGACCATGGGTATGTTGGAATAGAACAGCCTCTGTTGTATGTACATTCACAACACCATTCCGGATTCTGAGATGTCGGCTCTCTTCCAGGCTATACTTGCATGCGTCGATCTCATAGAGTAGCTTTTGGACGAGTGTGTGATACTTCCTTAGTTCCATTGAAAGAGGGGGCAGCTGTTTTTCAGTGTCCAAGCTTCTTGATGACTCCTGACGAGACCCATCAACATCACAGATACTAAATGTTTGGATAGAGCTGCTGAGCTGATCGAATTTGGAAGTGTTCACCTTCTTCTCTTCGAGAAGTGTGTGAATTACATTCCTTTGTTCGATAAGAGTAGATTTTACTTTCCTCCTGTTCAGGGTTAGAGTAAGGATTTGAAGATTTCAATGTTGACTTAGACATACTTGCGAAGTTCCCCGGCGTACATAATAACATGTAACATCAGCAACGTGGTTGACTTGAGCCTCTCCAAATTGCTCTTAAGGACATCCAAGTTCGGACCGAGGAGTGCAACGGTTACTTTTCGGGCCCCACGAGTAAAGCAATTCTTTTCACCATCTTGATTATGTTTTTCGATTGCGTTTTCAATTTGTTGGAAGACTGCTTTGCATTCCTGTAAGACTTCTTGTGCAATGCAAAAGGCCTGCTCCGAGCAAAGCTTCGCCTGGTCGTCTTGTTCGAGGGCTTTAGCGAGCTCGCTGAGAATGCTGCAGGTGAGTGACACGTCGCAGGAAAGATCTTGCATAGATTGGTTTGCGACCTTCACAGTCCGGTAAAATGTACAGAGTTTGACTGATAATTTAGCACCAACGTCCGCGATCTGGAGTATGCTGGCGACGACCCCGAGAACCTCGAGCCCAGACATTACGTGGTCAGACGCCACCGATAATTATGTACAGAGTAGCTCTGTTTTTGAATCAAGATGGGGTTTTGTTGCAATGTATTGCTTATGCTACTAATGTTAGATGGTGGCTGTGTGCAGATGCCAAGACAGCAATTGTTTTATGTGCATCGACGTGATTCTATAATTCCACACTATCACTCAGCAGAAAGGGTCAATACGACGGTCGCGCGACTTGAGGGTGGTTCTCACCCGGCTTCTCACCCTGTCCATGGCACACTTACCCAGCCATCCATCGCTCTATGATTGCATTCTATAAATCTATCCCGCATTTAAATTGACACATACGACCATAGGGTGTGGAAAACAGGGCTTCCCGTCCGCTCAGCCGTACTTAAGCCACACGCCGGTGAGTTAGTAGTTGGGTGGGTGACCACCAGCGAATCCTCACTGTTGTATGTTTTTGTTTTTGCATTTCTCAGCGGCACTCTGGGATGAGTGCGGGTTATGGGTGGACGTTTTATGCTCGACTGGAAGCTCCTCTATTGTAGTTGCCATCATATGAGACTATGAAGTATGGAAAAGAAAGACAAGGGAGAGGGTCAACCTTGGAACATTTGGCTGCTTACCACATACTGAGCTGAAACTACCACATGCGATCAGCTGAAAGATTCCAAGGTTCCAAGAGTAGAAACTGGTGTACGGGTGGGTAGGCTGTGACGTTAACCTTGGAAGGTAAGGAGCGCTAGTCCATTTATGGCAAGTTTGCTCCCAAGGTTGCTTTTTTATTTATCACCCTTAAGCCCCCCGGCATTTACACCTGAACATATCCCGAGGTCTTGTCTAGGCAGTGGGGGTCCACCAAGATACTTTTCTCTTTTGACTGGTTCTTGGTTCGTGTTACACATTGGTTTCACGCGTGGGGGGGGGTTTCGGCCGAACCGGTAATGTCTCGGAACCGACAATCGGCCCCGGCAGTTCGACTATGAACATACATAGACACGATCGGCAGTCCTAACTCTCCTCCACTCCTTTCTAAACAGTCTTTTGCCGAGTTGCATACCTCTTGATTCCCCGCAATACTCCCTCCCATGAAGAGTCCTAGGCCATTCTACCTATGACACTACTCACTCGCAACAGCATGAGCGAAACACGGCTCAGAAGGCTGGCTACAGAGCCTCTCGAGTCAAACTATATACCTAGCCTTCAACATAACACACCGCAGGTTCTGTGGATTGGATGCTCTGATAGCAATTTCAAAGAATTCACTATGCTCAATATTCTTGATGACGAACTGCTGGTGCTCAGAAATATCGGCAATATGATCATTGATGGCGACCTGTCCTGCGATACTACTATAAAACATGCCGTCGTTGACCTTCAGGTTGTCCTCGCTTCCAAAACCATTGCTAGTTCGTTTGTCTTACCTCGTCTAGGTGAAACACATCGTCATTTGCGGCCACTACGGGTGCCGCATTGTGAAAGCAACTGCTAGAGATGGGTTGAAAGGTCCATGGTTGAGGTAAGTCTTCTGCCTAGCCCTGGAGGAATTCCATGGCGTTACTAATAATGGTCATATAGCAAGCTCAATGCTCTCTATTCTGCGCATCAAGGTCTGAATCAACTTCCAGTGTCGGAGCGGGATCGCGCTTTTGTCGAGTTGAATATTCTTGATCAACTTCATTCTCTACGCGAACGTCCCGAAGTTGCCAATGGAATTGCGCTAGGGCGCTTACATATCCACGGGATAGTGTATGATTCGGAGGTTGAGAAGGCCTATCGATTATCGGAAGGGTAGCGGAACGCCTAGAACAGGTGTCGAGGCAGCCTTGTTTTCCCCCCTCTCCACCTCAGTGAACAGCTCAATTCATTTCATTCCAACTATCTACAGCAGGACGGAGATTCTTCACTTCCGGATGACTTGGCTACTACGTGCATGTGATGTCCACTGCGCGCAAAGAGGAAGAAACAAGAAGCTGAACTGATCGATAAAAGAAAAAACTGACTATGACAGAGATCACTCACTGCCATGGAGACAAGGGGGAAATGGCCAAAAGATGCCTGAAGATACAGCCTGAGCAACATGACAGTTGACAACCGCGATTGTGAGCACTCAGGGTTCCGAGTTGGAACCCGGCGAGAGACAGTATATTTTCTGCACATCCGCCAGCTCAGCTTCAAAATCGATCTTGAGGTCTTTCAGCAGGCCGTCGCCGAGGTCAAAAACCCAACCATGAACAATGGGGTACTGGTTCTCCTGGTAGCTTTTCTGGACGGCCGCGGTTTTGATGATATTCCTACAGGATTCCATCACATTGAGTTCAATCAATCGATTGTATCTCGCGTGCTCTTCGGGTATCGCGTCGAGTTCCTTCTCGTGCAAGCGATAAACGTCACGGATGTTCCGGAGCCATGGGTTAAGCAACCCAAGGTCAGCAGGCGTCAGGGCCGCCTTGACCCCTCCACAGTTGTAGTGGCCGCACACGATGATATGCTTGACCTTTAGGTGCCGCACAGCATAGTTGATCACCGACATGACATTGAGGTCGACATTGGGCACCAGGTTGGCGATATTACGGTGGACGAACACTTCGCCGGCCTCCAGACCCATAATTTCGTTGGCGGGGACACGGCTGTCGCTGCAGCCAATGTACCTGATTTGCCGTTAGACGAGCTCCGATATGAAAATTTTGACGAGAACCAGGCCATGGCTATGGTGCTTACAGATAGTCTGGCGATTGCCCAGCAGAAAGCTTGTCAAAAAAGGAGGCATCCGTCTGTTTCTTCGACGACACCCATTTCTTGTTGTTTTGGAAGATATGGTCCAGCGACTGCCGGAGATACCGATTGATATTGGGTTTGGCCATCCTGTCACTTTGTACAAAGACTTGGCAAGCGTGAATAGCGATTCGAGGGTTTCGTCGTCTCACACAGAACAGGAGGCTGATATTCCGAATCCGTTGGGACTTGTCGAGGGGTCGTGCTTAGATAAGCCCGTGCCAAGACCGGGATGTTCCGCCTGGAGGTATGTACATGTAGCTCTGATGGTGACTGCATACAGCAAATGTCGTGATTCCAAAATTAATTGATTATTTTCCATTAAGAATTGGTCCTTCTACTCGGCAACAAGACTAGTTCCCAATTTCTGTAGCGTTTTCACGTGCTTTTAGTGATTTTTTGAGATATCTGGTTTTTAGATCTCTTATCTTTCCCCCTCTCAGTCCAATATGGGTAGACGGCAGAAAAAGGCGGGGGGAGTGTCAACCTACGTATGACCAGGGATAACCAGAGACTATTTTTCTAATTCTCTCTTTTAAGGGTACAATCCTACAAAGGCAGAAGCCTAACAGTACCTCAAATATGTGCAGAATCCCAAAGTGATATCTGCGCAATTGACAGCACAATCTAGGTTTTGTTGATCCTTCTATATAACCCTCTCACAACCCCAATTTCAATTATCTCAGTTCGCATTGATCTCACCTACCCTGACACCTCGAACGGTCTTGTCTTATCCATTGCTGGAACTTCCGCTGACGGCTCGTGGGTATCCAGTTCCACGGGGGGCTCCTCCCTTTCATAAAGCAAGTTATACACCGTGATTCCGCCGTTGAACCTGCCCACAACCGGCTCCCCTCGCTGAAAGCCGCCGAAAGCCGCCGAAAGCCGCCGCGGTCACTAACCTGGTACCGCCGTCCGACGATATCTGCAAAATGCTGGACGGGTAGCGGCTGGACGACGTCACGCGGAAGCTCTTAAGCAGCTTGCCTGGGCTCGCGGGGGATGTGGTGACCATACGGCTCACACTGTCGCGAGACGGAGGATGCTCTTGCCATCTGGCATGAAGGCTACCTGCGTGATATCCCCCAGATGGCCCGGCAGACATGCCATCCGAGGGATACCGTCCATCTGCGCGTGAAAATTGGACACACTGGTCAGGTCATCCAAGTGCAGGCCAGCCAAAAGCGTTCCGTCGGGAGACCATGCCAGCGGCCCCCGGATCTAGATGGTGGACGAGTAGCGCTTGCGCTTCGTTTTGTGTAGATCCACGACGTCGACACTGAGCGTGGAATCCAGGGCCTTACTCCCGTGGGCGAGGGTATTGTGACACCGTTCGCCTGGATGCAGAAGACCAATACGACACATACTATGCATGATATGCTAAGATAATTGTGTGACATAGGACATTGTTGGAATTTCGTCTTCATTTCGTCTTCATTTTGATGTGAGCGGTATGGGCAGGCTGTCTCTAACGAAACAAGATTCGGTTGTTCAAACCAGCACAGGAAGGTAACAGGATTAGCACAAGGCTGCTACCAATCCCAAAATACCACCGGCCAATGGGAAAAGTGAGCGAACGGTATTAAGACACGCCCATCTCTTCAGCAGGGGGGCCAGTTGATTCTCCTCACTGGCGGGCTTTTCTGACGAGTCTTTCGCATTCGCAAACTCGAATATGCTCGAGTTTGTTTGTACCATGAACGCGAAGGTGTATGGAACGATAGCAATATCGAGAATTGCAGCCCCCCCAGTACAACCAACAACCCGACTTCAGAGCCAACCAAACAAAGCCTCCCGCTCCCAGGATGGCGAAAGGCGGCCCTAGCGAATGCCCCTTGTGATAAAATGCGGCCCATTGTTTTGCAGCTAAATGCTGGGAGGTTGAACAAGCCTCCAAGACAGCGGGCACTGCTCCCCAAGAGTAGGTGAATATTTCGCCTGTGTTATTGACGTGCTTAGTATCCTGCATATTTTCTTTTCAAGATAGACACATACCCGACAGCCAAATGGACGACGAGACTGCAGCAATTTGTGCTAAATTATGAGAGTTCATGTTGACGGTATAAGAGCTTGCCTTGATTCTCGCAAACTATTCAATCGAATCGTTACGGACTTTATGGGGAGGAAAGCCTAAATGGTTGGATCATCATTGCTTCACATTCCGGATATCGGGTTTAGGACAGCGCCAAAGCCCGGCAGATACCGAAGACGATCCCGCACTGTCACCTATTCATAAAGAATACTCGGACAATATTCTTCCCGCGGCCAAGTTGGCCCATTCTTATCCGCCCAACATCCTTTGGCTTTGGGTGATGGCATTTCTCCTATGCGGGTTTAGGCGTAGGTGTCCGGGACCTGGAAGCCTGGCCCCGTCCACACTGCCGCTGAGTCATCGGGCGTGGACCTCGAGGTCACCTGCCCTACCCGTCATCTATAGATTGTCCGAGGGACTAGCAAGTGATATATCTCTCAAGCACCAGAGCAACAACGCCTAGACCTGTATATGAAACGAGATCTGATATTTCTCTCACATTTTTAACAGTGTACTAGAGCAAGCTCGAGTATGAGAGGCTTATTCGTTAATAGTATTATATCATAACAGCTAATACAATATCGCCTATGATTGAATATCGACTTGTGTAGAAATAATTGGGAGCTACAATGTCAGGCTATGAACTAGGATGGTCGAGGAAGCTCTCAATTCCAGGGTTTTCTCCCCAACACGCGAGGAGCGATATTAATCAGACGTGTCTAGGTGGACATCACCACTTAATTATGTAGGATATATCATGAGGGTCGTAAACGATTACATTGTGAAAACCAAATTTCTCATGTGCAGTCTTTCACAAAAGCCAGGGTATATAGGTCTACCTAGATCTCTATCGGAATGTGTTGGTCTGAACCAACACTGGGAGGTGGTTTCCCTTTTAGGTAGTAGCATTTCTAAGAGGATGGATGTGATACTCCCATCTATTGAGGAAATTTCCGCTCTCAGCACTTGTTCTTTCCTCCCTTTGTCTATATCTTCATCTCCTCCAACACTTCCAAGGTCGATGAATCGCGCAAGCTAAAAATGTGCGCTGGATCCAGACCAGACTTCTCGACGAGGAATGACTTTTTATATTCGTTCCCGACTTCGGCAAAAATCGATCGAGTGACTTCGTTGATTAATCCCAACTTATGGCTGCTGAATATACAGGTACATTACCTAGGCACCTTTGCCCCGAGGTGCTTCATGTATTGGATTCCCGCAACCCCAACGCCCCCGGCAGTGTGATGAATAAGGATGGTCTAACCGATTAAGTCCAGCTCATGCCAGTGAGAAACCACGGCGCCTACTTCCCCTGACTGCAGATTCGCACGATGCTTCAGCCCATAAATAACAGTCGGGGAAAAAAATCGGCATAGTGGAGGATGTGTGCACGCATGAGCTGCTGTTTTCGTGTCTAACAGTCCTCTACTCCGCCACCCGCAATTGCTTCAACAGTTCCGCTTGAATGTCGTGTAAAATCTCCGTCATCTGCTCCGGGGTGTGGAAAGCCTCGTTATACACCAGCCGCAGTGTCAACTGATCACGGAACGTCCACACAAAAACCACTCCTTGGCGTGAAAGTATTTCCACGCCCACCCCAACATGCGTGATGCTAAACCCGCCCTCCGGGGTCCCATATTCGCGCTCCAGATATTTCTCCATGATCCCCATGCTGCTGATATCGATATCGCTGGGTGGCTCTGTTGGGACCGGCAGGTTCTTAATCAGCTCCACTAAAGTGGACGCATACTCCCGGTGCGCCTGGAGATACTCGCTGCTGATGCCCTTCTCGTACTCCGCCTGATACATGCGGGCATTCTCCTCCCACGTACCGGAGGCGTCGACCCGCACCAACCAGCCGGACGTGTATAGCCCGGCTGCCGCCGCGGGGGTCGAGTACGGTTCGGGTAGATACGGCCGCAGCGACTGTTTGATGGTGCTAGTGTAGTGGCGGCCCTGGTGCTCGGCGATTGCGTGCCGGAAGTTGACCGCGGCTGAGACTGGCATGCACGGCGGCCGTGATCCCGACGCCTCGTGCTTTTGTGGCGGCCAGAGCGGCGGACGTGGTGTCGGGCGACAACTTGAGCTCGGCCGCCTGCGTGCCGGAGGGTACGCTCGAGGCATCCCCGGTATAGGGCACCCCGAGGGCGCCCGCCGCGAGGGCAAAGGTGCCGGCTGCCCCGTGGGCGATAGCCTTCTGCTCGGCGCTCGTGGTGAGGGGCATATCTCCGGCTTCTTCGACCGGTGGAGCCAGCCGTGCGACCTCCGATCCCCAATGGAAGGAGTCGAATGGGTCTGGCAGCTTCGCCGAGAGGAGGGTGTCGGCGTGCGAGACCATCAAGTCCACCAGCTGGCCGAGGAGGATCAGGCCGCCGACTCCATCCATGCGCCAGTGTGCGGTGTGTAGGAGCAGTTCACTCGATTGGGGGACATAGTACAGCTGGGCGTCGGCTGATGGTGCAATGGTCGGAATCACCTCATCGGCGGACTGGGCGTCGGCCTCCACGGTAAAGGTCTGCGAGGCCCATTCGGTAAGAGCACCGGGGGAGTCAGGAACCGTGTAGACGACGTTCGAGTTGGAGTCGGGATGCGCAGCCAGACTGGGGTGCTGGAAGCGCAGATGCAACCAACTGTAGCGGATGAGGGTTGGTAGAAGGTCGGGCTCGCCCGACAAGGTCGCGAATGCCCCACGAGGACTGATGGTGGCTGTGTAGTTGACGGCCCAGTGTTCACGACCGAGCGGGTGGCCGGGATCACTGACCAGCTTGATAAAAACCTCGTTAGGGCCAAGGCGCCGGATGAAGGTGTTTGGCGAGTGCTCGGCCGTCGTCCACGGCATGTTGAGGCCTGGGTGATTTCTGGGTGATTTCTGGGTGATCGATGCAGGACGGACCCCTCGTTGGTCATGGCAGTGGATTAAATAGGGATGCGACAAAGATTAATTGGCTCTAAGCACCGCGTCGAATAGCGTTGGCCAAAATGCCCCGATAGCGGATCAGGGTGGAGAGGCGTCGTCTCCAAGAGAATAGGTAACTATCATTATTGATTGGATAGCATGATGACTGTGGAAGACCAAGCGTGGGGGCCAGCTGACTTGGGGCCATACAGGGGCTACCTAGTAGTGACAGACTGCGATGTAACCTGGATAGAGAGCTTACCCGAATTTAGCATTACCTAGGTAGCCCCCGTGGATTGATACAGGAAGAGGAACCAACGGGAGTCCCACGCCAATGCGGGCCGTAACCACTCGGCCCCACCATATAATTTGTTCCGTTACGTGATACCTCGCACTATACATCGTGAAATGGATGGGCTTTACAAAAGAGAAATCCTTGCACAGGCATTGCATATGACAACTAGGGAAATACTTTTCAGCATGATTCTATTCCTTATGTTGTGTTTTTCTTCGGCATGAAACTGCTAAGTGGCATGCAGTGAGGGTCTATATGTGTCCAATAGAGACTCCCATCGAGGAGTATCCATGAGAAGCGAATTAGGAACCTCCCTCTCGATGTACTGCAGAAGGAATGTTAGTTCAGTGATTGAATAAGCAACAGATGGCCTTCGGAAAACTCACGTCACGGTATTTGCTTTCCATCCTCATTCTCAAGAAGCACTTGAAAGGCATTGTGTCCTTGGTAAAACACTCGAACAAGGTTTCCCCCGGAGAGCCATTATCAGACACCAAAACCGTCGATAAAATCTCGAGGGTAATTGCCCATCCACCACGATTCTCTAAGCCCAACGCCCCAAGTAGTAGCCCGACGTGGTTCTGAAGAAGTGAATGATGCACCTTGCTCCAGACATTCTGCAAATCATCCGTTAAGGTGGCTGCTCCTGGCGGTAGTGCGTCAAATCTCACGCCGTGATTTCGCAATGTCGGGACATGCATTCTCACGCCTCCGAAATCGCGCACGGCAAATCCTTTGATTCGACCTGTCTGACGGCAAACACGGGTCACAAGATTTTGCCCGTGTCCTTCTAACCCGATTCCATACTGAACCAACGGGGGAAGTACGAGCTCAAACAGGACTGTAACGTATCTGTTCGATATGGAAATCAACATCTGTCCTGATTTTTTTCTGTCACCAACCATTCCACTGACCTTTGAAACCATTCCTTTTTCTGAGCGGTTGTTTCCAACCCAAACAGAATCTCTGCATATGTACGACCGTCTCCACTAGGCTTCTGGGCCAATGCTGCAGCAATAATAAGAGTTTCATCATTTGCCCGAGCCCTGGTTTCCAGGCTATCTCGAAGAATACAAGAAAGGTGGCGTGCGTCGTTGAAGTTTTCCTGACTGCCTGTTACCGCTGCTACCTCTCGGAAAACCCAGAGATCACTTGGAAGCAATTTCTCCAGGATCTCTGATTGAACAGGGCCACCGCAGGTTGTCCAAGGCGTGATAGTTCGCAGGGCGGAAGTTATCTGGCAAGCCAATGAGAGCTTCAAGTGGTAGTTGAATGCCAAATCTGGTCGTAGGGTCATAGTACGCATTGATGCCTGAGCGTCGGCACAATTCTCGATGAGCTTCAGGACGGTGGCGTTGGGGAATCTCTGGTGAATAGAGGGTAATTGCTGAGAAAGACAAGGGACGATCACCCGGTCACTGGTTGTTCCTGGAATCTCAAGTCTCTCTAGGAGTGGCTGCAGTTCTTGCTCAAAGTGGCCTGTAACACGAAGATCGGTACGTGGAACAGAGATAAATGCCAGAGTTGGCTTGAGCATTGCAGGAATATCGTCTGCGGTGACCTGTTTCAGTGGTGCCTGAGCATAACACAATCGATGGTACTGTTCAACAAAAAAATTAGAAAAGAGCTCAGGGGGGATTTGGTTTCAATTAATGGAACCCTACAGGATGACTCGGATGGCCATAGGTCAATGTACGTTCCCAGTGAGCAGACCTATCCTTGAGGTTTAATAATGGCTGGTCCTGACCAATCTCGAGCCATTTCTCTGAGTAAATCTTTAATACAAGAATGATAAGATGGCATCCATAGTATCTTACCTTGATTGGCCGCTGAGTTGCGCAACTCTCGAACGATTTCATCCAGTACGGTCTCGCTGGCGACGTCTCCGAACGAAGTACTGAGGACCTTGAATACTGTCCCTGGGTCGAATTCTTCATGATTGGTATCTGCGATAATCACAGGTGGCTGTAAGCTGTCTGGTCGTACAACAGACACCACGCGATCATCTCTCATTTCAATGATAGTGCTGGGTTTGATTGCCACCTTGACCAAGGCTATACCCTCAGGATTGAGTGTACTGAGTAGGCATAGTATCTGTGGCCCTTCGGGTGCAGTAATCTCAAGCTTTGCAGGAACTAGACCTTCGTTGACGATTTCTGCAAGAACACGCTTGGTTGTTTCGAAAGACGCTCGATTGTGCCTAGAAAGGATAGTCATGTTTTTCTGTTGGAATCATTAAAACAACTTTTTATGATCAAGAGCATACGCCCTCGAATATAAGTATGTCCTTGTCTGCCTGGGATTATCCCAGCTAGCCTCAGCGTCTCAACAAAACAATAATGCTGTAAGTATTGTAGCTATCTCAATTGGCTGCTTTTGTCCCGTCTATTCTGGGGCTGCTGAGAGATTAACTTGGCTTTGCAGTTGATCGTCAAATTCTAGCCATGACACGTAGCGCGTGTTCTCTCCACTTTGCTGATAGGTCACATCCATTAAGCCACAGAAATTTATGTTGTACAGTATTATGAAGTATCGTGAAATAGTGCAGGATTACTCCGTAGAGAGTGTCAAACTGTAAGATATGACATGTGACTATATAAGGTTCCCTCACACATCTTCCTATGTCTCCATCCACACTCATTCCATTCCAACATCATGGCCCAGTCATTCCCGCAAGTTCCTTATTTGCCAGATCCCAATGGGGAAACTCGGATTTTCGACTCTTTACGGGAAGGACCCATGGAAAGAATCCTTCCATATGGATTTCCCCACAAATTGGCCTCCGATATGGCTTGGAAAGGAGAAAATATCTCTATGAATTATTCTTCAGGCACTGACACTCCGTACCTGTTAATTCTTCAAGCTCCGCAGTTGGACGAGATAGACGCAGCGCTCAGACACTTCCAACGTCAGCCAGCCACCGTTCTACTTCCTTTCTCCCCGCTCAAGACTGACGAGTATCTTACAGATCTGAATCAGCCAATAGAGACCTTGGACGCGTCAACGTTTCCTTTGCCGTGCTTGCACCCAATTCTCCGGTCCGCATCAAACAATCTGCATTCAGGCTATGGATTCACACTTATTCGAGGAGTCCCAGTAGAACGGTATTGTCGCAAAGAGCTCACGATCATCTATCTCGGGATCTCTTCCCACATCGCCGCCATCCGCGGTCGGCAAGACCATCAATTTGAAGGGCGGCCAGCAGACGTGATGCTGGCCCACATAACCGACATGCGACACCCGGGTGACTCGCAGAACTTTTCCCTTCCAGCATACTCAGACGGCGAAGTGGTATATCACACAGATGTGGGGGATATCGTGTCCCTCTTCGTCTTAAGTGAACCCTCAAGTGGCGGTGAAAGTCTGCTTGCGAGTTCGTGGACCGTGTACAATGCTCTCGCAGAGACCCGCCCCGATCTGATCCGCGTATTAGCGGAGGACTGGCCGATACCGAGGTGAGCAGGAATTCTGAGCCGGAACTTTATACTTCGGGGAAAGGATACGATTTGCTGACGGCCTCACTAGTGCACAAGACCCCAGTCTGATCATTCACCGGCCGCTTCTGTTCTACCAACCAGCTTGCGGTACAGCCCCAGAACGGGTGATCTTGCAGTTCTCTCGACGATCATTTTCTGGATTTGGTTCTCGGACCCAGACGAATATGCTCAGCGCCATCCAGGTGGAGGCACTCGATGCTCTCCACTTTCTTGCAGAAAGGTTTCATGTAGCCATGAAGCTGGAGAGGGGCGATATGCAGTTCGTCAATAACCTAAGCATGATACATGCTCGTAACAGCTATGTGGATGGTCCAGACAATCGGTAAGCTGGTAACCATGGTGAGATACGTCCAAGACCGGCTAACTGAAAACATCCGAAGCCGTCACTTGCTACGTCTGTGGCTTCGCGATCCTCAAAACTCGTGGGTGACGCCGGAGCCACTGCGCAACCGTGCCGATCGGATTTTTGACGAAGCTTTTCGGAGGGGCCCGCAGGTATTCCCTCTGGATCCGATCGCTAGATCGGTGGGGAAGGCTGGAAAAGATTGAAATGATAGGAGATACTACCGGTACAGCTTTAGTAATTGCGCAGGCTATACCTACCTTGGTAAAGAGTGACTTTAGCGACTCACACTCTAACTGATACCTTGGAACTTTCGAGATCGCTTTCAACGATGAACTATCATATTTATAAATAAGAACTTACGTCTATTGGCGCAGAGCATCCCCAGCTAGCTTGACCGCTCATCTTGGATCTACATCTGTCTTGGGTGCTACTCCATAGACAGATCTTTCGAGGTCTAATACTTTCCTTTTATCATTTACCTTTTTTATATTATTCAGTCCTGAAACAATCACAATATGAAGTGGTTATGCGTCCACGGCACAGGGTCCTCCGCCACCATCTTCCAGGACCAGCTGGGTAGGCATTGTTTGACCGTAAGAAAGTAAAATTGATTTAACCCTGAATCTGTAGCGGCTGTCACAGCCCACCTCCCAAAGCATGCATTCCATTTCATCAACGGCCCCTTCACCTCCAAACCAGCCGCCGGTCTGGACCTCCGCTATCCAGACGGTCCCTACTACACATGGTGGCAAAAGGCAACCGTGCCTAATATTCGAGCTGCCTGTGAAAATTTCCATAAATATCTGATCCAGCACAACAGCCCATATGACGGGGTGGTATGCTTTTCTCGGGGATGTCTCCTGGTCGCTAGTTACATCTGGTTTCACCAGACAGAGAGACCAACCGAGCCATTGCCATTCAAAGCCGTGGTATTCATATGCGGGGGACCGGTCTTCTCGGTGCTAGAAGGGCTGGGAATGACCATTTCGGACGAAGTTCATGAGTGGGACAGACGGACCAAGTTAGCTCTACGTGAACGAGCATCTAAGGAAGCGATCCTGAAATGGGGAAAGGACCGATGGACTACTTCCGGGGAAATGGTGATACCGATCTCCATTTGGATCCGTCGGCCCCGATTGACCCCTCGAACGTATTCGGACTGGATACTATACAAACGCCGCAGAATCTGCGCATTGAAATTCCAACGCTCCATGTCTATGGGCGAGTTGATCCTCGGTTGCCTGCTTCGCTGCAACTACTTTATCTATCAGAGTCCACAAAACGATTGGCATATCAACATGAGGGCGGGCATAATATTCCACGGAGCTCTGCGGCAGCTGAGAGGATTGCGCGATTAATAGATGAATGTGCTCAGATGATGGTGGATACGCAATAATCGCACTAAGACAGTTAAAAGTGGAAGTAATCTGAGCTTTAATGTAAGGATGTGAACATACTTTCCGTCAATGGACCTAACATTGCGATTTCCGATTTCGTTGCCGAGATTGCATTTGATCCTTCAACCACTTAGCAGAATCGAGTTTCCCATCTAGAGGTTCCCCATCAAATCCGCAAACCTCGACCAATTTAATCCCCTGAATTGAAGAAAGCTCTCGAATGCCCAAGTCAGGCTTGAATTTGTCACATGGAGTTGTAAATAAGAGGTCGTCATTAAAAGCAAGACGCAGATACCTGAGTCTTTTGCACTGTTTTAGTAGCTGGACGCATCTCAAAACGTGAAGAGCAGGTAAGCGCGTGTCAATATTATTGGAATATAAGTGATGCATCCTGCTTTTACAATACACACTCGTTTTACTAACCAATCTTCTACCTGAAAGATTCTAGTATTAGTTCACCTCAGTTCCTATAGTTTAACATATTCAAAGGTGGATATAGTCTAAAATCACAAGGAACCGCGCTTCATCCATCGAGAGTGAAGGGAGCTGTTGCTGCGCGCTTCATGAGTAGCCCGGTTACCATTGCTATAACTGAGATCAAATGCCCAGACAGCCTGGAAGCAATGCGTATCCACCTGGGCTTTCTGGTTGTTGGCCTGGGCGTTGTACGAGCTGTTGGCCGGGAAAAGACCGATGATGTTGTAGAAGTAGGCCTCGTGAGGTGTCAGCATCTTCTCCGCAATCAATTCAGGGCGTGGCAAAGAATTAATCACGAAACTCACGTCAACGGCAGTTTGCAAGATGCGAATTTCAGAGGGAACTCTGTCCTTGGTTGTTTGGTTGATGGATTTCAGCTGGGCTGCGCTGCTCGACAAGGCGTCCATGAGCTCGAGGAGGGATTGTACGAACTAGCGTCATTAAGTATAAATGACTGACTTATTTTTCGTCCTCAACCTACATTTGAGTATCCCTCGTACACGTCCTGCTCCTTCCCCCTGATCGGTAATGATCGGCGTGTTGGTCATAAATTTTACATTTGTTAGAACCACAGTGACCATCGTGTCTATCTCAGTGTAGATATCCTGAATTTTATTAGGAGTTGTTTCATTCATGGTCCCTAAAAAACCCCCACTTACCGGAATTGGACCAGCGTCCGCAGTGGAATTTACTACCGATACGAGCTCCTTAGCAGCGAATCCTTGCTGTGCTAGTTCATTGAGAGAGTTGGCGATTTCGGAGGTTGAAGCAGCGACCGCCCAGCGCGTGCCAAGGCAGAGAGCCACGACGAACGAGAGAAAAATGCGATACATTGGATAAGAACGAGAGACTCGTAAATGCGCGGCAAAAATGGAAAGAGAAGTGGAATAAGAGAGTGGAATAAGAGAGTGGAATAAGAAATGAAATAAAAGAATGTGTGAGTGAATTATCTTGAAAAGAGTGAAAATAACAACTCGAGCAGATGCATACGAAGAAATAAGGACGAAAATAAGGACTATCATTATAACATATACGTTACTTATAAGAGGGCTTACTTCCCCTTACTAGGCCTAAAACGGATTGACACAATTATACTAGTTAGGCTAGACCCTCATCCTATATTTAGGCTGTTTCCATGTTAATTCTCGGCTATTCAGACATGAACAGGAACACTAAGTTTGGACTATATAACTTGTACAGTAGTCTTTCTATACACTATATACAAATCCAAAAGATGGGGCAAAGTCTATCGAGCCCCAGAAAATGCAACCCATAGTATAATTAATCCTTCAATCACAATACCTATGCCACGCAATATTCAGTTGACGTAAAATAGGAAAAGAAAAGAAAAGAAAATGCTAGTCAAGGTTGGAATGGCGATCAGGGTTTTGTGAGTTGTTCCTTGCGATAGAAGAAGATGCAGAGCACGTTGATGGATAGCATGAAGAGCAGGCAGACCCAGAAGTCTGCCTTTCCCAAGCCGGCTGCGACTCCAGCGGAGAAATCAGGGAAGACATCACCCGGGCCTAACTTATTCGGTGCTGTCGCGCGGGCGAGGATAGTCGCAATAGAACCGACCACCTGCGCCGCTAGAAGTGTGAAGGTGACGTGGAATCGGGTCATTGTGTTGAGGAGGATCATTCCAAACCCTGTATTGGCGTGAATCAGTTTGTGTTACGTTTTATGCGCTGCGAGAGGAAACTTACCGACACCCTGAAGGGAATCCAGAACTCCTAGCCAGAGCCATAGTGCTCTACCAAGGATAGCTCCGGCTACGGGACCACCGGCCCAGGGGATGTAGGTGGCTATATTCGAGGTTGCCCACAGGATCTGGGCCCATCGAGGAGCACCAAGACCGACGGCAAAGATCGGGATGAACCAGGCGTGTCTCTTGGAAAAGACGTGAAAGACCCAGAGAGCTGCCGCCCAGACAACGATGAAAAAGAGGAGGACCAGGAGAATGATTTGCCACACCTGTGCATGCTTGCTGGACCAGAGATAGAGCCAGTTTCGACCGTAAGGTGCCGACAGCCAGTAGTTTGATATGAACACCATGTAGAAAAACCACTGCAGAATACAGCGTCAGAATCAAAATTAGCTTGAGGGGGAACTGGAAGAGACATACAAGAATTATGCGACGGCGGAAGAGGGATAGGTAGAATGTCGGCACTTGACCTGGTGCTTGTCTATAATATGCAGGAAGTCCAAAGAAGACCAGGGCCCCCAATAGCCACAGAAGAGAGGCAAGTCCGAGTCCGACCCCGAGCAAAGTGCCTGGATCGGTTGTGGCAAGGCTGAATTGCATGCTCCCCTTTTGGTTGAGAGCAGCCATCCAGCTACCCCAGTACCAAAGGAAACTGATGAACAACTGCTGGCTGCCCTGGATGACGGTGGCTCTATAAATCCAAGACCTCAGAGGCGCTCCACCTGGACAAGCAAGTCAGATAACTTCCATACTTCCTAGAAGGATTGTTGCATACCTTCATCTCCAAAGTTGAGAGCGAAGAAAATCGAGCCACTCGAAGATGCAAATGAATATAAGCCGGTTCCCACGTTTTGTAACCATGTTCGACTTGTGCTGTTGTGAATGGGACCGGCAAGACCGACAAACAGAAAGGCAAAACCGTATATCTGCGGGTAGTTAGTTTACAACCTCGTAAGCCAGATAGAGGAACGTGAACGTACAAAGAAAGGAATCGTCAACACATAGACTGAGGGGACTAGACGAAAGACCATCCACCATATGATCGAAGAGGCAAGGTAGATGGATGCCAGAATGTATAGCTTTTCGGCCGTCTGTCCAATCTCACCGTTCAGGAGTGTGATCTGGTACGAATTCAAGGCGAGAATTTGGCCCTAGAAGAATGCTGTCAACCTCTGTAACGAAAGCTTTTGGTAGGGTTCCAACTCACAATAGCGAGGAACATAGAGTACACAGGCCAATCACCCAACTTCATCAACATGAAACGCTTCAAACCCGTGGGGGGAACATAGTCATTTGGGAGAATGAATTGCCCGGCATTTGGGTCTTCATCTGGACCAGTAATTGACGGGCCCTCTGGTTGGCCGGTTTCATGAACCTTGATGCGAAGGAGGGAGGGAGCAGGAGACGCCAAGGGGGACTTGCCCAGTTTGACGTCGCGGTATCGATTGAACCAGTCTTTTTGGCTCTTCTCGAGAAACTCTTCGATGCAGAGCTGGTCTTCGGAGTTCTTGCCATTCAGATCCGCAAGCTTCTTCTCAAACTTATCCGCATACTCATTATTCGCATCCGTGAAAAATGGATCAACTTTCTGGAGGTTGTAGTCTTGTTTCTCCTTTATTATCCCGTCGACGCTGACCAGACTCATCATGGATACCCTTGCGTCTCTTCGACCCAGCAGACCGTCTTCTGATGGTGCACCGGGAACTGGTGTGCTGGCACCAGATCGAGCAAAATAAAAAGTAGGTGTCCCAAGTGGCGATGGACGAACACTGTCGTCCTCTTGGGTGGCCCCAGAAATGCGCTCGGAATCTTCTCCATCGCTTACCGAAGAGTAAACTATTCGCGAATCGGCGAGAGGGTCGGAGGACAAAGGTCTGCGTCTTGGGTCGATGTCAGAGTCGGGCTCGTTGTCGGACATGTTTAGATTGGAAGGCGGATTTGTCGGCGAGAGAACGTGGTCAAAACCTGGTCGAGGTACAAACAGTCTCATATCAGACGTAATCGGCCTGCTCGGCGGGACAGACGCGGTGGAGCTGCGTGATCGGCTCTGTTCGCGGCTGTCTTTTGGGCTCGAGGAGACTTTGCGGATGCTTTCTGGGACAAGGGTGCTGTTATAGGAAATCCTCCATGAACTGCGATCGTGGCTCTTAGAGTACTTGACGTGCTTTTCGATTGAGGTGGCTTGTAGGATTTCCAGATTCTCAACCCACTGTGCTACGGGGAAGCGCTGCTTGCTGGATCGTGCACGCATGAGCGCTCGCGTCTCCTGGGACGATTTCAGAGCGTCGTTGATGGCCATCTTGAACTGTTGGATAAGATGTTTGGTTGTCATGGATTCGCTAGAATGGGTTAGTCTGAACATATCGTGAGAGAAGGAAACTCACATTGTGAACCACCATCCTGGCATCTGCCCAAGGCCACCAACACTAAAGAAACACAGGTTAGCACTGGTGGTAGACCAAGTCAGGTCAGCCATACCGTGATCCCACACCCAGCGCTCCTTTTCGTCCGAATTCCACTGCCACCAGACCAAACGGTTCATCACGCGAAGGAATCAAGGCAAATTCAGCCCCACTGAAAATGAAGGGCGGTAGAGGAGTGAACTCTGGTTTGGAATAGACACGCCCAGGGTAGAGCTCTACGAGTCGATTCAGTTTCAACGCGGCAAACCTGCCAAAGAGATCAATGACTGGACCAATGCACATCAACTGGACCTTTGGGTGAGCGTTCAGAATGGAGGGGAAGATGTCTGCAATCAGATCAACGCCCTTTTGCATGGACCAACGACCGACAAACACAAACAGCTCGGCCTCTGGGTCAACTTTGAGCCCTGCCCATTCTTGCGCTTGTCTCTTAAGTGCGGCACGACTAGCTTCAAACTCTGCGTCGATGATAACTTCTTCGAGATTGTTACTTGCGTTGTGATCCCACTCAGCTATGTCAGATGGGTCGGGGTTTGGCAGCGCTTCAATGTTCTTGAGACCCCAGAAAATAGGATATCTGGCGTACGATCTCTTGCCATATTTCTTGGAGACACCGACAGCTCCAAATCCGTTCTGGTGAATTTTCAGATAGTTGGCAGCTCCATGAAGAAGGTTAAACACTTCGCCGAATTGTACATACTTCTTGACCAGTGCATGGTCAAGGTTATAGACACTGCAAACCTCTCGAGTTTGCTGTGGGGTTTTCATTGGCCAGAGTCCTTGGAATTCAGCATTATGCAGAGACAGGCAGCATGGAATCGTGTGAGGTAGAAGATAGAGAGGGGCAGCGGCGCCATGGTAATCGTTGATGTGATAGAGGTCGATAGCCGGAAATCTCCTGATAGCTTCGGCGATACATTGATTCCAACTGGAATAGAATATAGCCGAATTCAGGTCATCCATGCGGGCAGGGTACGGCTCTGATTTGGACTGCGCTCGGAACACAGGCGCGTCTAACAAGACGTATGTGATGTTTTGCAGCCGATGATATTGGACATCCACTTGGTAGTTATTCCCGAGAACGGTGATCACCATCGGCTCACCAGGATCGTCCTTAGGGTAGTCAACGCCTCCAACACAAGGGACCACCCATATGAGATCCTGCTGGGTCAGATGTTTCCCCATCAGCTGGGCCATCACACCAAGCCCGCCGATCTTGATCTTAATGCCCCAATCTTCAATATCGTATTCCATTGTTGCGATGAGCACGGTTCGTCGGCGGGTGTTTACTGTGGCACCGACGACGCCTCCACTCTCAGACGGTAACGGGCCCACATTGGTTAGAGCAAGTCCGGGATTGGATTCCTTCTCATTAGGTCGATGGGCCACCTTCTGAAAGACGCTCACTAGTGGAGCGAAGCTTGATGTTTTCTCGGTGACACCGATTTGGTTGAATTTGACCTGGTAAAATGCCTTCAGGTAAACATAAACCGCACCGACAGCGGTGACGACAGGCACAATCGCTAGCACGATAAAGATGGCCAGCTGAACCCACCTGGATCCTGTGGGCGTGGCGTAGACCTTAAGATCGCCGTCACCCACCGACAGCTTGAAGGAAAGATAGGGCGAAGGGGGTGGGATGGTGACGTTGAATGCATTGGTCAGCAGCGTGATTGGAGGGACTTGATCCAGAACGTTGTCTCCA